TCCCAACAGCTTTGTGGTTGTCACAAACGTTCAGTTATGCATGCTACCTTACACTAGCTGCCGNAGCATATTATTATATTGGTAACACGGGCCACATGGAAAGTCCTGNGACTTTGGTCATCAAACATGGTGCGATACACTATGNGAATGATGTCTTTATGGTTATACACGNGACTATTGCAGGTACTATTGGAGGAAATGTCTNAAGTCGCGCAGTTCAGTGGGGTTTCCAACCTTNGATTGCTGGAGGCTNGAGGAAATTTCGAGATGGTTCTCTTCGTAATAGGCTTTGGTGGCTACTCTGGACAGGCANAACGTATGGAGCAGCATTTANAGTTGCCGAATTGGTGCCCTTCTTTTCATCATTCATTGGCATTANGACGTCACTCTTCTCTTCTTTCTNGACATTTATGGTGCCAAGTGCTTTTTACTTTTGGGAATTTTGGCACGACACTCGTTGGTATCAAAAGCTCTTACCCTTCTTTTGCTTTCNAGTCGGCTTTCTTATGTNGACGTTGGGAAGTTATGGAACTTTTAAAAGCTTGGTTGTTGCCATCGAGAGCACTGGAAAGCCTTTCAGTTGTAATCGTAAATTCTAAAAACTAATACCTGAGTTTATAGTAAATATAATATCGAGGTTTATCGATTTGCAATTTCTGATACTACAAAAAGTAATAAATTGTTGAAATTTCCTCGAACAACTTTGGAGTCAACTTCTTATTAAATAATTTGCAGTTACGAGAATGAAACATTTTACAAAGTCACAGCTTCGGCTCTGTCTATAAAATAATTAAATCTAACGTCGATTGTCATGGAAAGTTTCAAAGTACGCAGTTCACAAGTTGAAATATCTATCATTTTGAACTTCATTGGGTTTTAAAGGCATAGGATATATTTTCTTTTTAAGACAAAGATCGAATCCACCAATTCGAGATTTTATAGATTACCACTTTTCGAGAATCGATAATTTTGGTATTTTCCAGCATAGCTTGGTGATTGTTTCCAAAACTTTTCTAGTACCAACAAGCCACAATGAAATTTTCGAAGCAACTCTCTTACAATGCCGTTGCGGAGTGGCGTAAATGGTATCTGGATTATTCCTATTTGAAGAAATTTCTCAAAAACTTCGAAAATCGAAAGTCCTTGGATAGTTTCAGTGGTGGAAACGTGGAAGAGGACAGTACACCCTCAGTTGTCCTTCAGGAACAACCAGACTCCCCGCTATCTTCACCTCGAGCGTCTTTGCAGGACGAAGATCAGTTTGAGGGAAACTCTTCCAAATTTGTTACAAGGTCGTTCTCTTTGCCTGCGGAATCAAAGGAAGGCAGCTCGAATCGGAGGAATTTTTCTCCAGTTGAAGAGTATAGTGGGGATAGCATCGAGCAACAGACAAAACTTGTAGGTTCACAAGGAGAAGAACGAGTTTCGTTAGGCAGAACAGATAGGGAATTATTGCAAATCTCTGTTGAAGATAATATGACGGCGGAAGATAAGTTTCAAGAGCTTGAAAGTCAATTTTTTCGTTTGTTATGGGAAGAAGCGAACAAGGTCGACTCATTTTATCGTTTTTTGAGGAGGCGCTTAGACTCGGTCACCAATAAGCTTATTAATATGCGAACCGTTTCCGGTGTACAGCCTAAAGAGAGAGTTAAACTTAGACAAGACCTAGTGGAACATTTTCTTGAGGTAGTAGAGTTACAAAATTTTGCGGCTCTTAATCGTACAGGTTTCGAGAAGATATTGAAGAAACACGATAAGGTGAGTCCATCAGCAACCAACGTGATGAGGTGTTTGTTTACTCAACTTTAAAAAAGTTACTAGGAATGAATACCAAGGATGCATTTCTTTCTCGTCTAGGACAGTATTCGTTTTATGATGCTCAAGAGTTGAATGCTTTGAAGGAACGTTTGGAACTTATCTACAGCAATTTATTCTGCAATGATGATCTCAATCAAGCGAAGAATGAATTGTACGGTTCAGTTCGAGAAATGATCGTTTGGGAAAGAAATACCATCTGGCGTGAAATGTTGCAACAAGAGAGGAAACTAGCAAATATTACGAGTAGACAGTATACGGGTGATGTGAACACATCCGCTGGAGCTTTTCTAGAAACCAAACCGTGGCAACTGTTTCTTGCAGTTGTTACTTTATGTCTGATTCTGTTGATGCCCATTTTCTCTTCCACATACGCCGCGGCACATCGTTGTTTGGCAATGCTTATATTTGTGGGAATTTTGTGGGTGACTGAAGCAGTTCCACTCTATGTTACTTCACTAAGTATTCCATTCTTATCTGTTCTGTTGCGTTGTTTTGTCGACTCTCACGGGAAAGCCTTGTCTCCTCAAGAGACTGCAACACAAGTCCTAGCATCCATGGCAAGTCCAGTAATTATGTTGATATTGGGAGGTTATTCTTTAGCTGCTGCATTATCAAAACATACTATTGATAAATGGCTGGCTACACTAGTATTGAGTCGTTTCAAAGAACCCAGACTGTTTCTTCTTTTAGTGATGCTGTTGGGAACGATTCTTTCTATGTTTTTGAGCAACGTTGCTGTTCCTGTATTATTATTTTCAGTATTACGACCCCTACTTATTGGTCTGCCTCCTTCTTCTTTACCGTTTATCAAATGTCTTGTTTTAGGTGTCGCGTTTTCAGGGAATATTGGCGGAATGACCACACCAATTGCCTCACCACAAAATGCTATTGCAGTCGAACAGTTAAGTGCTAGTCATCCCATTGGATTTATAGAGTGGACATTGTTAAGTGTGCCATTATCCTTATTGATTGTCGCCATTATTCACAGACTGCTTGTTCTCTGGTATCGCCCAAATTTGGAGAGATTGCCTTTATTGCCTACTCACTCCATTCATTGGAACAAGGAACAACTTTTGACTTTATTCACATTATTTTTGTCGATATTCTTGTGGGGTTGTAAGCCTGTGTTGAATATTCTAGGTTCAGAAGGAATCATTGCTATTGTGCCTGTTGTGATATTCTTTGGTAGCGGTGTTTTAGCAAAGGAGGACTTCAATAGTATGCCTTGGAATGTCATTTATTTAGTTGCAGGTGGCATATCATTGGGAACTGCGGTGAAATCTTCTCAGTTACTGGATATAGCCATCAGTAGCTTAGAGTCCACTATTCTCCGACACTCTCTGTGGTTAGTGTTTTGCATCTTTTGTATCTTTACAATGCTATGCAGCTTGCTTGTCAGCCACACTGTTAGTGCCATCATTATCTTGCCAGTACTAGCTCAAGTAGGAGTGCATATGGGTCATGTCAGACTTTTTGTAGTAGGAGGAGCTATGGCTTGCTCTATTTCCATGGCTTTGCCTGTAAGTTCATTTCCCAACATGTGTGCTTTACATGTTGAAAATGAAACTGGAAAGAGATATGTTCAGAGCAAAGATTTCTTATCCACAGGAGCCATATCGAGTATTATTGCTGGAGGGTGTCTTTGTAGTATAGGCTTTGCATTGTTCTATCTTACAGGCTTGTAGCAACTTATATTTGTTGAGGACAATTGTATTGTCCAAGAGAGTAAGAATGTCGTTCTTTTGATATTGTATTGGTTACTCTAGCTTGAAAAATTCGGGAGACTTTTTTTATTGAAAGCAACACAGAATCATATCATATTATATTACATTATATTATAGAATGATAGACTTGCATTTTTCTTTTCTTAAGAATTGAGAGAGTCCCTGGATCAATGAGGCTTCTTATCTTCTTGCTGCAAATTTTGAATGATGCTTTTTAGAGAGATCCAAACCAAAAAACAGGAAATGAAGCAAGTGACGCAAATGCAATATCGACATTTGGTTTTTAATATTTTGAGCAGTCCTACGAATTCATACTGAAGAAGCATTCAGTGGTAAAAGATGTTCTATTGAGGGATGGCAAATGGGAATCTAAAAAGTATCCGAGTTTTATTCAGTTGAAAGAAAATCCTATTTCTTAATTTTTTATTTTTGTTTTCATACTCTCACGGCATATTTGCGATATGGAAAAGTTTATCTGTTCTTGGATTGGTAAATTCGATAAGACAAGGGGTTCAATTACGTCTGAGGCGATATTTTTCTTGAAATGCTTTAGTATTTCTAGTCTATGCTATAATGAGGACTACTGGGAAAAGGCTATCTACTTAGAATGTATTTAGAAAATTGAATGATTGAACGTGGACATCTTTGAGAGAATTTCTTTTTTCTATTACAGGATAGTCTCTTTGTAAGAAAACGGAAGTTTCTTTCATAGAATTCGATATAAAAAGAATTGTAAAGAGCGAATGGTCACAAAAGACCCTTTAACATTTGCTGATTGGGTAGAAACAGCATTTCTTCCAATGCACACGGACATTTGTAGAATTCTTAAGATTTCTTTACCTCTGCTTCTATCGCCTTTAGCTGGTGGACCCGGAACTCCTCAGTTGGCAGCCAACGTAAGCAACAGTGGCGGTCTTGGTTCGTTAGCATGTGCATACCACAACGGCGATCAAATCCGCTCTGCCATAAGACAAACCAAACAACTGACAGGGAAGCCATTTGCCGTCAATATCTTTGTTCATAATGATCACTTGGAAAGACAGTTTAGCGTCGAAGAGTGGAAGGTAGCCATAGATCGCATACGAAAGCGTTATACTCCAGTCGCAGTAGAGCTTGAAGTTGAAACTGGGGAAAAGATACGAGTTGAGAACGATTCGGTCGAATCCTTCTTGAAGAATTTTAGACTTCCAAGCATGGAAGAACAGCTTCACGTTATCCTTGAAGAGAAGCCTCCTGTCTTTACCTTTACCTTTGGCTTGCTTTCGTCAGGTTGGGTGCAGAGGTTTCACTCCAAGAACATACTCGTAGGTGGCACATGTACCACAGTTGAGGAAGCCAAACAACTTGAGTCACTAGGTGTTGACTTTATTTCCGTTCAGGGAGCCGAGGCTGGTGGACACCGAGGAAGTTTTCATTTCGATGCAAATCATTCGTCAACCAGATATTGTTCTTCTATCCAACTGGAAACTTTGTTATTGGACTGTTTATCTGTAATAAAACTACCTTTGATAGCAGCGGGGGGTATTTCAAATGGAAGGCAAATAAGATCACTTTTAAGAAAAGGTGCGAGTGGCGTACAACTTGGCACATTATTCATGACTTGCAAAGAAGCTGGAACAAGTGCGATACATCGTCAAATACTTCAAACTGCCAAACCATCGGACACCACGATTACTTCTTGCTTTACTGGTAGATCTGCAAGAGGTTATCGTAATCGTGTAGTTGACTATATGGAATCTTTTGGTTCAGAGTTTTTACCGTTCCCCTACCAGAGTGGCATTACTAGGGGCATTGGAAATCATGCAGCGAAATACCTTCCAGCTATTCGAGCAGCAAATTTTATGCAGCTTTGGATGGGTCAAAGTGTACCTGTCAAGCACAACTCGGGAGCTAATGAACTGATAGAGGTTTTAAGGAGAGAATGGCTCGATTCTGATTAAAAGAGAGACTATGTTTGGATGTTGATTTTCAATGGAATTCAATTGCCGCTTTTTTGTTCTTGCACTCTATGTAAATGCTTACTCTGCATCAATAAAAAATGAGATGATGCTTCATTTTCATAGGGACCCCCAAGTGGGCTGAGAAACTGGCCTTCCTATGGCATTTCCCCCAAATCGATCATTCGTAGCATTCGCACCTTCATGTGTATCATTCGGGTGATCCAACTTGAAGATGATTGGTCTAACATTTACTGCAACACACTACTGCAACAATTACGGTCATTCGTTGACTCCTTATAGACCCCATTCTGTGCAAGTCAGGAAAAGTTTGATTAGTCCTTTTGCCTGGGAATTGTATCGTTGCTCAAATATTTGTTATAGTTCTTTTGTAAAGTTCGTCAACTGTAAGGGAATAGTTTTTGAGTGCAAGTCTTAAAGTTTGCTGGTCAAGATACTATGTTTGGACAAGGACCTCATTTACCAAACCCTCTGAGTGGAGCAAGTGCGACCCATGCTCTACCTTCGGGACAAGGAGTAGGAATACCGGCCTCGTATCCTTACGTTCCAAGTTATCAAGGTTATTATCCTTCTGCGATGGTTGGAGGAAGCTACTTAGCGAATCAATATCCTCCTCCCTCATATCCAGTACATAACAACATTCCAAGTGCGACGGAGCATACCACTTCACCTGGATTTCAACAGCGAAACGTAGCAATTTCTGCAGCTCCAAATCCTAGCCAGTATGCACAACAATTATCGAGCGAAACTGCTCAGGTATTTGGTTCTACGCAAGATAACGAAAGGTAAGAAGGTTTCGTGGTTGAGCAGTTGTATAGTTTCAAATTGGATAATAGAGGTGGCGCCCTGATACAAACTTCCAAGAAAATCAAAGAGCTTGCAGACTTATTGAGCAAGGAATGCGAGAACTTCTCTGGGGAAGTGGACTCTTCTAAGAACATCAATGATGACTTGAGAAAGAAAATAGAAGCTCAGGTTTGTTGGACTATATTTTTAAAGTTTTCTTGCTAATGAATTGATTTTTTTGAAGGTGGTAGAACTGTCAGTGATGGAGAGAGCTCTAATGGATCTGGAGAGAAAGCACAATCAGATGAAGCAGCAGTATGAGGAAGAAATTATTCGCCTTAGAGCTCAAGTAAATCAAATGCAACAATATCACAATTATTCGGAGGCTATAATGAAACAAGCGGTAACCCCAGCAAAGACACAGCCAAGCAGTGGCAACAATGCAGACGTTTCTAATCCAACAAATAATGCTAATCAAGGTAACCTCTTTGATCGTGGGTCCAGAAATCCAGTGATCTCGAACAGCAATCCTACAGCATCTAGTCATTTAGGACCTGAAAAGAATTCAGACTTGCCGTCACAGAATAGTATTGGAACAAGTTCAAATGTTATGGCGCCATCGAACGAAGCAGTGGAAACACTCAAGTCTTTTCGCCGGGAGCAGGTATAGAACTGTTCTTATAAATATTTAGTTATTTGTTGATAGAATTTTACAAGATTGATGATTCTACTGGACACGTTGCTAGCTCGTCGGGAGTAGAAATACATTCGGCACCGTCCACTAGTCGCTCCTTAGGAGATGGTTCTCATCCTAGCAATTCGGCTACAAAAGCTTTGGAGAGAATGACCGACATGCCTGGTAGATTATCAGAAAATGAAGTGGTTTATCCTGGACACCTTGGAAACAGAAGCGTCAATGTGAAACGTTGTCATTTGTATGAACTAGAATCGGTTGTTTGTTGTGTTCGATATAGTATGGACGGACGCTATTTGGCAACAGTAAGGATTTCTGATGTAAACTAATTTTGTCATGAAAATCAATGATTTCTGTATAGGGTTCTAATAGAGCTTCCGATCTCTTTGATGCTTTGACAGGAGAACACATAGCGAAGTTTTCCATCACAAAGAATGAAAGAATGTCCTTGCCTTCTACAGATTCTTCATATATTCGTGCTGTTGCTTTTTCGACTGACGGTACTTTGTTATGTACTGGTGGAGAAGATCAGGCCGTTAGAATTTGGGACATAAAGAGACGTTCTGTTCGTTTTACATTGAGTGGACATCTCGGTCATGTATACTCAGTTGACACTTGTAATGATGGAAGGTTATTGGCGAGTGGTAGTGGAGACCAATCTGTGAAGCTGTGGAATATTCAAAATGGTCAAGAAGAGAAAACTCTGAATTGTTCTAGTCATAAGAAGATCAATAGTGATGGAATAACCTCTGTCTCTTTTAGTCCTCGTGGTCCTTATCGTATCGCAACTGGTTCGTTAGAAAGGACTGTGAGAGTTTTCGACGTAGAGACTGGTGACCTGTTGCATAATTTCCGTCAACATGCAGATTCTGTATATTCTGTCGCCTTTTCGAGTGATGGAAGATATTTATTGTCGGGTTCGCTCGATAAGAATGTTATGTTGTGGGATCTTGCAGCTCCACCGCCAAATAATTATACTACTTTCAAAGGTCATACAGATTTTGTTCTATCTGTTGCATTTAGCTTAGATGGTATGGATCCCTTTCTTGATGCTTTTGATACCTTGATATTCATTTATTGTTAGGTCGTCTTCTCTTGAGTGGCAGCAAAGATCGTACCGTGACTTTCTGGGACCCAAGAGTTCCTTCTGGTAGTGTTAGTGTATTAGAAGGACACAAAAATTCAGTTATTAGCGTGTCCCATTGTCCTATCAGTGATAAGTTTGCGACTGGTTCGGGCGATTGTTTGGCAAAGATATGGAAATATAGCATTGCAAATTCGGAAAATGAAGGACAGTAAAGATGACAGAAATTATACTGCTATGGTTTTCTTCTATGTATAAAGAGTCTACTGAACAAAATTTCAGCAAGTTAGCACCCATTCACAAAAAGGACCTATTATGTTGTTATTTCAACTAAGATCCACTCTTCTAAATAATTTCATTATAAATCCGTCAGGGTCCTTGAAACATGCTGCTTCCACCATAAATCCACCAAGACTTTCGTGATAAGGAGTTTTTAAAAAGGTGAGTTGCCCATCATATTGTGACTCTGCTCTATTGACCACTTCGTCCAGAAAATCTTGCAAACTTGTACATTGCCAAGTAATATCAAATGACATTTGAAACGAGTCATGTTCGTTCCTCACTGCCTTGTGAAAAATATCATTGCTGTTTTGGGTATCAGCAGACTCCATCAACTCCAATCTCGCTCCTAACCATGCAGACTCAATCAAAACAGAACGATATCTGCTCGACAAATAATTCTTCACTTCTCGAAAACCAAAAAGTGAGTAAAAAGTTAGCGAATGTTCCATATTGCTGGTTCTTAACGATATGTGGTGCATAAGACGCGAATGTAAAGAAGGCAACGGAAGACGACGAAAGACCATCTTGAAATGAGGAATGCTTTCTTCATAAAACTCACTACCTAACGTAGAAAACCCCAAACTTTCATAAAACTGAACTACAGGAGTCTATCAAACACTCTTGTTGGTCAGAGTTCCCCATAAATAACTAAACACACACCTGTGAATGAAGGTAGATAACGGCGTCTTCTTCTTGTATTTCTCGCATCATAAAATGAAGTAAAGTTTCTCCAATATGCTTTCTACGTTCCTCTTTGCGAACTGCAATCCTTCCGAAACAATCAACGTAACGAAGCAAAGACTTAGAGCGGTACTCACCTTTCCAATTTTATTCCAAACATAGAAGTACGACGTGCTCTACCAGCAGCCACCACTTCGGAACCTAACCAAGCTATGAAGTGCTTCACCTTCCATCTGCGACCGGAACTTTCAAGGGTTGGATCCACTCGATCATAGTCATCTTGCTCTCTATCTTCTCTAACACCTTGTTCTTGAACAAATACCAGCTTTCTAAGTTCCAAACAGCTTTTAAGGTCTTTTTCTGACTGGACGACTTGGCACGTAACTTTCAGTCTTGGCAAGTCCATGTGCATAAGCGGCTAACCCTTGGAAAGCGGCACTTGTAGGAAAGCCAAATTATACGAAACATCAACCGAAACTTTATGCAGTTAAGCGAATAATAAGATATATGGCTAAATGCTTGTTTTATTTCCAAACGAGAAGTTATACGGCGTTTCCTGCTCTTGAACATATCAAGGTACCCCGTTGCGAAGAGATAAGGGAAATTTGACCCTTTGCTAAAAGTTCTCTTATCGCTTGCCTTGCCAAACTGCCGTTGACGTGAAGACGCTCGGAAACGATTGCAGGAGTTATAAGCTTGTATTTAGGAACTTCCTTGTATAATTTCTCATAAGTTTCCTGGTCCAAAAACACGGTATTGGTCACTTTTTCTTTAACCTGTAAAAGTGCTGAACATATCAAACGGACTTTTATTCAATCAGGACCTACCTTTCCCTTTGACCACTTCTTCTTCTTTGCTGCTCCACCGGACCTTGAAGCTCCTGCTTCTCTCACCATATTGTTTAGCACCAATCAATTTTCCCTCGTCGGCGTCGATTGTAATGGACTTTTCTAAAGATATGTGGAAGATTTCATATGAATGAACGAGCTTTAGCGATAATCGAAATAAAAATATTTACAATAAACGAAGTTTTGCTGATATATACTAGAATATATATAGATGTATGAGAAAGAATAAGAAGAATAGATTTTCATAAATAATATAAAGAGATTCGTGCTGAATATAGCCCCTCATCTGAAACCATTGAACCCCTACTGCCCTTGTTTTTTCAATTAACGCAACTGTCAAATTAATTGCGGTTGTGGACAAGGACCTTCTGTCAGTGAAAGTAACAGACAACTTGAAGTTGCAAATATGGGCTCGGCTTCAGTCGCACTCGTTGTAGACAATGGTTCTGGAATGGTTAAAGCTGGTTATGCAGGAGATGACGCTCCAAAAGTAGTGTTTCCCTCTATTGTGGGCAGACCAAGACACAAAGCTATTATGGTTGGCATGGGACAGAAGGATTGGTAAGTAGCTTCTGTTTGACAAGAATTGTAACCATATGTTCATTTTACCAGTTATGTGGGAGACGAAGCACAAGCAAAAAGAGGTTTGCTATCTCTTGTCTATCCAATAGAACATGGTAACTAGGAGGTTCATTCCATTGCACCTGTCGAGATTCTAAAAAACAACATAGGTATTGTAAACAATTGGGAAGACATGGAGAGAATATGGAGTCATACTTTCTACAATGAGCTTAGAGTTGACCCAGAAGACCATCCAGTCCTATTAACAGAAGCGCCCTTGAATCCGAAGGTACCTTGGAAAAGTTGTTTCTGAACAAACAACCTGATAATAAGTGAATAGAGAAACCGCGAAAAAATGACACAAATTATGTTTGAAACATTTCACGCACCAGCCATGTATGTCGCTATTCAAGCCGTACTGTCGCTCTATTCTTCAGGAAGAACATCAGGACTTGTGCTTGATTCTGGAGATGGTACGAAAATATATGGTTTTTTACAAAGTTTTCACCACCAATGAGAATTATAGGTGTTACTCATATTGTCCCAGTATATGAAGGATATTCTCTTCCACATGCTATTAAAAGGTATGTATCCTTTATATCATAATGCGATATATTGAATATCTCTAGGTTGGACTTAGCTGGTCGAAATCTGACAGAATATATGATGAACATACTGACAGAACGTGGATATTCCTTTAAGACCAGTGCAGAAAAAGAAATAGTTCGAGATATGAAAGAAAAGTTGTGTTATGTTGCTTTCGTATGTACTCATGGAATTCTTTTCTATTTGTCGTAACTTTCATTTTAGGACTTTGATACAGAGATGGAACAAGCCGACAAGACACCTTCCAAAGTGGAAAAAGCTTATGAGTTACCAGATGGGCAGGTGAGACCATATTGAGAACATGTAATGTGGCGTGCTTAATTATCTTATATCTTTGAATAGCAAATTGTTGTTGGTTCAGAACGATTTCGCTGTCCAGAAGTTCTCTTTCAGCCTTCTTTGATAGGAATGGATAGTGAAGGTATTCATGCAGTAACCTATGAAAGTATTATGGATTGCGATGTCGATATGAGACGGGAACTTTATGGAAACATTGTCTTATCTGGAGGCACAACGATGTTTCCTGGAATGAGTGAAAGGATTCAAAAGGAACTTCAAACCATAGCACCAACGAGCATGAAAGTGAAGATTTCTGCACCTCCTGAAAGAAAGTATTCTGTATGGATTGGAGGAAGCATCTTAAGTTCTCTCTCAACCTTTCAGCAGATGTGGATCACTCGAGAGGTATGACGCTCTTTTGTGAAATGGGCTTTGTTTGTGAAAAAGGTATTTAGGAATATGAAGAAACTGGTCCATCCATTGTCCATCGCAAATGTTTCTAAAATTCATGGAGTGAATACTAATGGAGCTATTACGAATCATTAGTGGAAGAAAAGCTTCTTACACGACAAACTCTTGGTTTTTTTGTTTTGTGATATTAAAGTTGACAATTTGTTTGTAACGAGGTTCCCTTTCGTTTCATATACAATGGACTCGTGCAAGATAAGACGAAAACGTTGCAAAGATTAATTTTTTATAGAATCGAGAGCACTTTCAACTTGCTGTTTCATGTTATCTGCTTTATCCGCCAAAGACAAAATTGTTTTTACAGTGTTTTTACGTTGCTGGCGAACAACGTCGTTTTGTCCGTGCGGAATTCCATCAACTGCTATGGTTCTCTGAGTTAGTGTTTCTTGAAGCTCTGAACACTTTTTGGAAACTTTTTCTAAACGTTCAACGTCACAGAGAGCCTTGGCTACTTCCAGTTCAGCAGAAAGAGCTTCTATGTCGTGACTGCCTCCCTTTCCTGTTAGTGAAAGTGTTTTTGTTTCTTCTTCCAAAAGTTTACGTAATCCTGCTACTAACTTTATTGCTTGGTATGCCTTCCAGTTCTTCTGTATGATAGTTGCTGCTTGCTCTGCACTTAAAATACTTTTGCAATTTCTAGTGACTTGCCTATATGGCTTTTCTTTCTTTTGTGAAGACTTTCCTCCTCTTATTTGTGTTGTTGAATAGTTTGACACTTGTCGTTGCTTTTGCTCTCTCCCACCTACCAAACTTGTGTTAGCACTCCTTCCTTGACTGTTCTCTGTGGATACTGTCTCACAAGTGGTGGGAGAATTCTGCTCATAAGACCCCAGGTTTCTCTGCATCCAACGCCACATAGTTCCAAAAACCAAACAATACACTACTTGAAACCAACAAACAATTCTCAAACTTTTTCAGTGATCCTCCTCATCCGAAGTAATCCATCCTACCATTATCAACCTCTTTCTGTTTCGATATGAGTTCAACTCATTCTGCAGATGTACTCGGTTTTGTTCAGCACCCAACTTTTTTTAGACCTCTGATTGAACGAGGTAGGTGATATTTTTATTAAATATGGAGAGAATATGTTTAGTGTTGAGAGCCTCTCAGGTTTTGACGGTCTAGCTCGACAACTTCCTCGTTGGACCTATTCTCACCGCAGCCATGAGCGGACAGAGTGGAAAGGGATCAATCAAAAGAATAGTTATAGCGTAATGTCGGCGTCTTCTACAAAGCGTGTGGCCGTTTTGGAAGGAGATGGAATCGGTCCTGAGATAATGTCTGTCACTTTAACGGTGTTGGAGGTAGTCGAACAGTATCGCGTTTCTTTTCGAGGTATTAACAAGTTTGGATAGGAAGTATCAAGATATTATGACTTTCTTTTGAAGTTTGAAAAAGCTCCTTTTGGAGGTGCTGCCATAGATGAAGTTGGTGATCCATTTCCACCAGAAACTCAAAAGCTATGTTTGGAAAGCGACTCTGTGCTATTAGCTTGTATAGGTATGAGTCAAGTGAAATCATTCTTCTTTTATGTTTTGTTGATTTTGAAGGTGGCTATAAATGGGATAATCTACCTAGAAAGCAACGACCAGAGACTGGTCTATTAGGACTGAGGAAGACTTTACAACTGTTTGCCAATCTTCGACCAGCCAAAGTTTTTGATCGACTGATGGACGCTTCCTCGTTGAAACCTGAAGTTTTGAAGGGGGTAGATCTTGTGGTAGTTCGTGAACTAACTGGTGATGTGTATTTTGGCGAACCGAAAGGGATTTCTTTTCAAAATTCGAAAAGAATTGGATACAATAATATGATCTATTCAGAAGACGAAGTAGAACGTATCGGTCGCGTTGCTTTTGAAGTTGCTCGTTTGCGTAATCGTCGATTATGTTCGGTTGACAAGTCCAATGTTCTAGATGTGAGTCAACTATGGCGAGAAGTTATTGTTTCCTTATCCAAAGAATATCCTGATGTTGAATTGAGTCATATGTATGTCGATAACGCAGCTATGCAAGTAAGCAAATATGTGTTTGAATATAATCTATTTCTTCTCACATTGTATAAGTTGATTCGGAATCCTCGCCAGTTTGATACAATTGTTACCGGAAACTTGTTTGGAGATATACTATCGGATGAGGCTTCTATGTTGGTTGGTTCTTTAGGAATGTTGCCATCAGCTTCATTAGGAAACCCGAATAGTCCTGGAGTCTTTGAACCTGTTCATGGTTCAGCTCCGGATATTGCTGGTCAGGTATTGAAACTACTTCAAATATATTCATGACTCGGTTATTTCATATGATTCCAGGACAAAGCCAACCCATTGGCTTGTATCTTATCGGCAGCAATGATGCTCAAGTATCAGTTTCAGTTGAATGAGGCGTCGATTGCTATGGAAAGAGTAAGTTGGGATGGAATGTGTTGAGCGTCTTTATTGAAACTTTTATGAGGCTGTTCATCGTGTTTTAGAAAAGGGTTATCGAACTTCAGATATTATGTCTTCTGGAAAAACTTTGGTTGGCTGTAAGGAAATGGGAGAAAAAGTACTGGAACAACTGCAACTCATTCAAAGTTCCAAGTTTCAGACTGCAGGTATTCCAAAGTAAGAGGATAATAAATATGAAACGTTCATTCATTCCAATAACTGAGATTGTCTCGTTCTTTCTCCTTGTACAGATTCATTATCATTGTGTTCCTCCCATTCGATGTTCACTGAATCAAGTAATGGAGCTGCTTCTTCTTCTTCTTCACTACTCCAATCTTTTGCCAGCAATTCTTCTTCTTCTTGTGTGGAGAGATTCTGAATATTAGATGAAAGAACTGATTGTTTCGTCATTTCTTCTTTGGCTATGGCATCTAGCTTGTAAAAATATAGACTCCAAAATCGACAGGAATCTATCTTGGCAGGGACATTCCATTCATATACTTCCTAGACACTTTCTCAGTTGACTCAATGACTGGTATCAAAATGAGAAACCAATACCTTGAGGGTCGTGCAATGATGAAGCACTTGTGGTGATAAAAACTCGATAGTTTCCTCCATTTCTTTACCAAACTGTTGTAACTCATCTTCCGAAACATTCGAATCCAAAAATAATGCAGGATTTGTATGAACTTCCAGAGCCTTTTTACGATAATTGGAAAGAAAAGGATCTATCAAGTGGCAAAACGGTTTCGGAACCCAATATGAAACGTTGTCAACAACCACACTTTCTTCCTGATTACAGTGACTGCTCTTCTCTTCTTCAAAGTCTCCCTTGGTTTGCACACTTCCAACTGAACTTTGAGCTATTTGCTCAGACCAATTATTCCAGTCTTTACTGAAAGGTGCCATAGGTAAGATAGAATCTGTGGTTACTCCGCGTCCTGATTCTTTCTGTTTTTGAGACTCCTTTGAAATAGCACTCTGCATTCCTTGGACTTCAGAATAGAGTTGTTGAGAGAACTCTTCCAAGTCTTTTTTCACTTTATCCAAAGTCAAACCTTGAGTTTCTTCTTGTACTGCAGCAGCTATTCTTCCTAAATAACTTTGGGCGGAACTCCACAAACCACCTTTGGAAAACCACGACAGCGGCTCACTTTCTGGACGAGTTTTGGATTCTCTTACAATATGAGTAAGTTCACTACTAGTTTCGGTGGTACTTGGCTCCGAGCCTTGTTGTGAAGACATCATTACAAAACAACGAATAATTCTTGAATTGTGATTTGTTATCCCTTGCTGCTTCTACGGTGTGAAAGAAGAGACTAGTCTGCGAAGACCATTATGCAACAAACAAATATTCGAGAAAATATTTTTACTTTGATTCAATCATGCAAGCATTTCATCTCCCAAGGACAGTGGAAACAAGCTAGAAAAGTAAGTATGGTTATGTGAAGCACATAAGATTGTTCTTGTGCTGATCACGACTTTGTTGTACTTTTCTTGTTGTCTCTAGTTGTTGATTGAAAACAATTCGATATTGCAACTTTGTACACCGCAATTATTCGGAGAAATGTTGGAGCAGACTTTGATGGGTAGGTAACCTGTTGGTTTGTTATTGTCAACTAACTCACTGTTTCCTGTTATAGACGAAGACAAGGATTTGTTGCTTGCCCTACTACGTGGAGTCTCAGTGAATTGGCACAATGAAGATTTTGAAGTGCTCTTGAGCTATTTTCATTGTCTTGTGCAAAAGTTGCAGGGACCCTTGAATCCTATCGTCGTGGAAGAACTTCAAAGTTTGGGTCAGTATTTATCCCAGAAGAGTATTGAGCAACAGAAGGTATTGGCAACTGTCTTGCCGTTTCGTTCTTTGTGTATCCAAACTGCAGATGCTGAGGAATTTTATCCACGCTTTTTAGCAATATTTTTGAAAAGTTGTGTATTATCCAAGTCATATTCCGTTGGTAGCAGGTTTATGGAACACAGAAAATTGATATTGAAACTAGAAGAGAATGCTGTGGACCCTTGTGATGTTTTGTTGACTTATTATTATGCGGCTGTTATTCAAGTGGGAGTGAAAGACTATCTGAAAGCTTTGCAGTGTTTGAAGTTGGTCTTTTCTGTTCCATCCAACGTAGTTTCTGATTTGGCAGTGGATGCTTATAAGAAATATGTCTTGGTTTCATTAATAGCAAAAGGAAATGTGGAGCCATTAGCCAAGTTTTCAGGTTTGTTTATTCAACGACAACTCAAAAATTACTGTCCCGAGGTAAGCTGAATATTTTGTGTATAAATTGTATATCCAACCCGAAATAAGTATTTAGCTCTTGCGAAAGAATTTGCGCAAAGAGATGCCACACAACTACGACAAGTGATGGAAAACTACAAACTAGTCTTTATCAACGACCTGCATTGGGGATTGGTAAAAGAGACTTTCAAGGCATTGTTAAGAAGCAACATTAAAAATTTGACGCGTACTTTCCTGACATTATCCTTGGAAGATATTGCAACAAAGGCAAGCTTAACGGATTCGAAGGAAGCAGAAAGAATGTTGCGTTCCATGGTATATCAGCAAGAGATTTCAGCAGTGATTGACCAACGTGCACAAATGGTTCGTTTTGAATCGAAGAATGGCTTCAAAGCTTCGGGGAAATCCAATACGAAGACAGCTTCAGCAGTATTTGCCGAGACGAATCGATGCCTTGATTTATATAATCAACTTTTTCAGTTTTATCAAAATCTATTGACAGATCCCCAATACATGTTTCGTGAACATTCACAAGATGGAGAAGAGATGTTGGATCACTCATTTTGTTAGAATTGCATGGAATTACATAGTCTTGGGCATATGTCAATAGATATATAGAAATATTGAAGAAAAATAATTCCAACGAAAAGAAAGAGAAAATGATTGAAGATGGTCAATGCCAAAGATGATTTCTGTATCTTTGGAAAGAACGAAAACCTGATCAAGGATATTATTATAATGCAAACCAGACAAAACTCTCAATTACTTCAACAAATTGCTTTATTATCCATCGAAATTAAACAACTGTTGAACTCTCGTACATTTTGCCATTGTCTTCGAACTGCGAGTAATAGGATCTGTCATATAAAAGTTCTCAATGGGAGGGCCGAAAGGCACAGTAGACGATTCTCCTTGTTGTCTTTGAAGCATGTTATCGCGAGGTCTTACGGAAGGATCACCCGATTGCACCTGATGGGAACGCAAAAGATGTGGGGCAAGAACTTCAACTCCCATTTGGGGAATGTCCAAAACCAAATCTGGGAATACCAAATCATGAAGAATTTCTGCATCTTCTTTTGCTTGATAAGGTGGGATAAAAGCTAAATTGGTATGTTGAACACGACCCTCCATATTCACAAAGGTTCCATTCTTCTCAGTGTACGCAGCACCTGGAAGTATCAAGTTAGCTATGGATGCACCATAATCACCATGATGTCCTTGGTACACAACAAAACAATCCTGCGGTAACTGATCTAGACCATCTATATCATCCGCATTTAGCAAATATAAAAACTTGGTACGTCGCCAAGGATTCTCACGATCACAATCGATAGTTCTCAAACCACGATATTTGGAATCAAAACCGATATCCAAAGCTCCCACTGTATTTGCTCCAGTATGCACTACGTTGAATCCATTCCAATCCTCTCTTATCATATGACTATATTCTGCAATATGTTTAACCATTTGATATATATTTTCACCATCATCTCTTTGAAGTGCTCGATTACCAACAAGAATAGCTGGCCTCTTTGCAAGAGCAAGCTGTACACAAAATGAATGTCTTCCTTCAGCAATCTCTCGAAGAGTTTTTGGAGAAATTCCCAAATGCTCGACTGGATAAGTCAGATTTTCATAACACCCAACAGACGCAACCAGAGCTTGATTATACAACACAGCCTTACGAATACGAGTGTTTAAAAGAGGAGCTTCAGTTCGCGGATTCGTTCCAACCAACAAAATTACATCGGCTGTTTCAATACCAGGTAAAGTTGAGTTGAGTAGATAATCTTCTCTGAAGTCTGTATGCGGCACTGCTCCTCTTCTTTCTTGGAGATGAATCGAACCACCCGGAAACCAATAAAGAAACTGCCTTCGGAACTGCAACAAGGCCTCTACTTCTACTTGAGGACCAATAACGGCTTGAGCTTCAAATCCACCCTTGTCAACATATTCTCTTTCTAATCTTATGATTTCGTTCTTCAAAATAGCTCGTGCTTTTTCCCAAGTGGTAGGTACCAGTTGTCCTTGATCTAAACGAATGAAAGGGACACTCAAACGTTGTCTTTTCAGGCCATCATAAGAGAATCTAGTTTTATCTGAAATCCACTCTTCATTAACGTTTTCGTTTAATACAGGAAGGATTCTCATAACTTCATAACCTCGAGTGTCCACGCGAATATTAGAACCCACTCCATCTAAAACGTCCACTGAGGAGGTTGACTTGAGTTCCCAAGATCTTGCTGTAAAGGCATAGGGTTTGGAAGTTAGTGCTCCGATAGGAATGAGACAATTCTGAAACAGTTGCTTCCTTTCATCTATTCCATAGTCCTTATCACCGTTTTGTACTTGTCGAAAAGAACCAAAGCATCTTGTTACTTTCCAACGTGTTTGGAACAAAGAAGACAGTAGACTACTAGCTGAACTTGTCAAAACTTTCATCCTTCTTAAGATAATGAGACAAGTTTATGTCTTTCTCCCGGACCACTCCTCTCAACAATCCAAAAAGGTGGAGAGTCGTTATTGAGAGAAATGTGTTGGTTTTGTCGATGTCTTCCAATGCACAAGTTACCGAAGATATTCTAGAAGTGACTCCTGAGTTTCGACTACTAGAATCTTCATTTTTCAGTAATCTTTATAACTATGTAAGGTCTAGTATTCAAAGTATGAGAAGTCGTTCGAGTTTTCGAAGCCACACGGACATGAACCCTTCGACTTCAGTACAAGTAGAAGTTGCACGAACTAGTTTTTCTTCTCTTAGTTCTTATCAAACAGAAGAAAACTACTCTTCAGAATTACGGCCACGCCTAAGACGTACTGACATATATGACTGTGTAGAGTTTCATACTCCAGCCTCCTTAGTCAACGTAAGATGGGCATTCCCTCGTAGTCCACGAGAACAACAGTTTTTTGCTGCTCTTCATCTTTTTCTTGCTGTTTTGACAGGGATTCTAGTTGGAGTGTTTGCACTGTCTATTGAGCAAGGTGTTCGAGCTATCTATTTGGCCAGTTACAAAGTAACTCAGAATATACTCATCGAAGAGCATGATTCTTTCTGGGGAGCACTCATATATTTCGTTGGTTTTAGCTCTTGTATTGCCCTAACTGCCACTTGCTTGGTTCTGTTTGTAAGTCCAGAAGCAGTTGGTTCGGGAATTCCACCTTTGAAGGGATATATCAATGGAATTCAGTCGCAGAGACTCCTCTCATTCCGTACTTTTGTGGCAAAGTTATTTGGCAATATGTTTGTGGTTGGTTCTGGATTGATATCAGGCAGTGTCGCTCCTGTTTCTCATATTGGCGCTATAACTGGAGCAGGACTTTCTCAAGGAGTCTTTGCAGGTCTCAATATTCGTTTGAATTGGAAATGGTTTGATATCTCATGTATATAAATCTACTATTCCTTATTTGACTTTCTGCCTCATTTAGGTTTCGTTTTTATCGTACGGAAGCTTGGAAAAGGGATTTTGCTTCTATTGGTTTGGGAGCGGGATTTGCAGCTGCTTTGGAAGCTCCTTTAGGTGGCATGTTCTTTTCTATAGAAATGTCGAATGCACATTGGCACTATCGACTCGCTTGGATAGCTCTATTAGGAGGAATCATTGCAACATTTACTATGGGAACTCTAACAAGACTTAGTAAAGGAAATACTTTGATAGTTTTGGAATTTGCTGAATACGGGAGTTTGGTTTCAGCTGGAATGCAAATGTATACTTTTATGATGCACACACTTCCCTTTGTGTTATTGTTAGGAGTACTCGGTGGATGCTTAGGTGGTATTGCTGTGGCAATAATGAAACAACTGACGTTATTTAGGTATGTAGAGAAAATATACTTGGTCAACTTATCAAATATGATCAACAGAAAAAGATATATTATAAAATGGTATCATAAGTTGTTGGAAATGCTTTTGGTGAACATGATTATCAATATACTCCGATTTTTATTGCCCTATTGGGGTGGTCAATGTCAATCTTCGAATCATTTCGTCATAATTCCAGAACAGACTGGAGTAAAATCATTCAAATATCGTGATTATTCCAGATTTTTTTGTACTTCTTCGGAGTTCAATGACTGGGCAGCACTTATTTATAATCCTCTAGAAACGGTGTTGGACGTAAGTATGGAGTGTAAGAGTACTCGTCGCCATAGGAGATAATGGAAATGTATTCTAGTATTTGTTTCATTCATCGGATGTTACATTGTTGCCAATCGGAGGACTTTTTGTTGGACTGATTTATTATTATGTTTTTCTATTGTTTTCTGCTGGTCTATATGCTCCTGTAGGTGTCTTCATTCCTTCATTTACTATAGGAGGTAAGAAATAGGATTGGAAATGGGATACTCTAGTTATTGTAATATTAGGGTTTATTGGCAGATTAGTTGGCAAACTTGCTAGTTTGGGTTATCCAGGGAGCCCTGGTTTGGATTCCTCCGTTCTTCAAGCTAGTTTTGCTGTCATTGGCAGTGCAGCTTTTGGAAGTGGGTTTTTGAGAGTACCGATGACCATTAGTTTGGGACTATTGGATGCGACACAAGTGAGACACACACACACACTATATATACATAATATAGAACTATTCAAAACATTGTTTTTAGGATATTCGAGCAGCATTTTGTTCCTTAACAGCATCCGTTATTGCAAGAAATATTGGAGAAATTTTTAGCGAAGGTTTCTTTGATTCCCAAGTGAATCTATCAGGAATGCCTTTTTTAGATGCCACTATAACTGACCCTCATTTGTTTCATTCTGTTCGTGCGAGGTAAGTGGTATATAATGGTTTAAAAATTCATTTCAATGAATCACAACATAGAGACGTGATGCAAAGACAAATGGCCACGATACATTTGAAACCTAGAGTTGGTGATGTGGTATTGTTGTTACAAACAGTAGAACATGGAGCATTTCCGGTAGTTGCTCCAACTGAAGTGGCAACGACTCCTTATATTGCGGAGTATGCTCGTAGTTCCAAATCTTCCGATCGTCCTTCTCGTACAATGCCACAGAATGACGAAGATATCTCCCCCCATTCAGAAAGCAATGATTGGAGACAAGTAGAACAAGTTAATCAACCAGCTCGAGGTGTGGTTGGTACTATTAGTCGTCATATTTTATTGCAACTGTTGAGACTAAGGCATTATTCTATTCTGAATGATTCCGCAACTACACCACATACATCATCTGTACTGCCCTGGTTATCCATATCTCAGTTGGATGAAGCGTGGCCGAATATTACAGATAAGGAAGCGGAAAGAGTTGTATTGGAACATTATTTGGGTGGGATGCCAACTTCAGTTGTGAATGCAACTTTGGATTTGGAACCTTATATGAATCCCAATCCCTTTATTGTTTCTGAATGGTCCACAGCTGCTGATGTAAGAAGAGTCATTTCTATTTTTTTTACAAGGAAAATAATGAAAGTTTTCATATAGTTGAGAGCAGGTTTTCGTCAAATGGGTGCTCGTCATATTTTAGTTGCTAGAAGTGGAACAGGAGTTATCGATGGTATTTGTACGCGAAAGGATATTATGCCATCTGTTTTGAGACAAATTGCTGAACAGAAACGTAGAAGTAATCATTGATGGAATTTCCTATGAAGAAGATTAGATGAGAAAAACAGTGAATACCATTTCATAATGACACACACACACACACACATATATATATATATATTACAAAGACAATTGTTGCATTCATCTGCCTTATTCACTCTCGAACCAAAAGTTGTAAGCTTTTACAATGTTGAAAACTTTGCATATCTTTCCTTGAATATTATCGGTTACATGCCCACAAAGTGTATTTACGTCATCATTGAATTTGGAATTCTGGTTGGCTACATAACAAGAAAATTGTCAACTCTGTCGACCTCTTCAAGGGACTTGAGAAAAGCGACTCAGACAACAACAACGTTCTTTGGTATCCATGGTTCGAAAATGTGTATCCCCGTTAAAAGCTTTGGTTTATTCTACCATCCATCGTCGACTTAGAAGAAGGGAATATAGGAGAGACTGGATAGCTCAGATTCAAGCGGCTGCTCGTGGTCACGGAGTACGGTATGCAGGGTTTGTGTACTTTCTTAGAAACAACCAAATCATTCTCAATCGTAAAATATTGAGTGAATTGGCAAAAACAGAACCCGCCACAAGTTCTAGTTTATTGACATGGTGTGCAAGATCGACCAAAGTGATAGATTTGAAAAATAAAGTAGAACACAGTGAATAACTTGTATATTCCGTGGTCAAAGACTGTTCTCTAAAGAAAGAAAGAAAAAAATAAATGAAGCGCTCTTTTCATGAGTCATTTATTACTTACTCGGGATCGTTCGTTTGGTCGACTTCGCAATATTTTGCGTTGGCAAGTCCACTCTTTCGACTATAAGTAGTATAATAACCCCTTTTTATAGGACCAGTGAGTCGTTGACTTTTCAACTTGTCGACGACAATAGTCATGTTTGTCTCTTCTGTGTTTATCCTGCGTTTTGTTTGGGGCCTTTGTTATATGCCTTTCCTGATAGCGTTCAACTATTAACTGTTGTTTGTTGGACTCGCGAAGATTGTCAACAAGCTGAACAATTTGTACAACAACAATATCCTAATCGTTTCCATTGTCAATATGTACACTGCAATTGTGAGTAAGTGAGCTCAACTTTTCTTCTGTCCGTCGATCATTCGGCGTCCATATAGGGAAACCTCACTAGCTTCTGTTTTAACAGAAAAGTATGATATCATTCTTTGTTGGGGTTGGTTGGAACGATTGTTTTCTTCCTTAGAGTTGGTAAAGGACTTTTTGACTCAAGTTTCCTTAAAGTTGCAACCAAAGGGATTCTTTGCTGGCATAACCATCAATAGCAGTTACATTTGGACCATGGCTCAGAAATACTTGGAAAGACATGCGGCTGCTTCTTATCCTATGATAATCGAAAACCCACTTTGGACTTTGATACTTTTACAGGGAGATGTGTTTTCTTCCATCGGTACGCCGTTGAGTATTCGTTATCACAGTGAAATGAGAACGTCACGGCTACCAGAAACAGAATATTTAGTACATGCACCTACATTGTTTCATTATTGTGATGCTTTTGGTTTGGAGTGGATCGATTGGTTGAGTGGTCGTGACTGGTGGTCTGCTCATAAGAACATTGGATTTCAACGTTTGATGGAAATGGGTGTGATAACAAAGGATTCTCGTCATTTGAGTAAAGAAGAATATGAATTGTTGGGAATATTTGCATGTTTTATAACGATTAAACATAGTTCGAGTCAATGAATGGTTAACAGATTGGACAGTTTTTCTTGCCATTCCGTAAGCGTAGGTAAGTGTTTCTCCTTTGCCAGTTGTGTTTGTGTAGCAGTTTCACGAATCACGATGGTATCTGAACTAGGCGATTGACTCTTTTCATGTCTCCATAGTGATGTCACCACCGCAGTACTCGAAGCCACTATTCGAGAAGGATCCAACCAATGCAAAGCAGTTTGCCAACCAGTGGATTGTAATCGGAAACTGATTTCTAGCAACGAATCTGTTCCCTCATGAGTCATATTGACTTTTTGTATGGCAGTTTGTGGAATTCGCCAAAGTAAGGTTATTGGACTATGTCGAGAAGAATCCTTTGTTTGTTGTTTCAATGCGGTTATATGACTCGTAGATAAAATGAAATAGGTTTGATAAGGAATGTCTTGTTCCCAATCCTCGTGTTGAATATGCATGATGTATCGTTCACGTCGTTGAGGATCGGTTTGTCGAAGTAAATATTGACCCTTTGCAGCATAAGGATCGTATTTCTTGATAGGATAACCTTTCATCACATATCTTGGTAACCGAATTCTTTCACTTTCTGTGGCCTGCAATCCTGTCATATTTCTTGTCCCTTCAGCCACATTCGAAATAAAAAAGAAAAATCCAGAAAGAGGTAAAGAAACAATGCTTGTAACGGCTGCCATTGAAGAAGAAGAAGAAGTATCCGTTGCAAATGAGTCATCGCTATCACGAGAAACACTTTCGCCAAATGGAACATTACACATGTAACTTAAACACGTGCGCCATCTTTGTAATCCCATCAAAGTCCCTGGAACCCATTATCAACATTAGTATATCCTTCGTATAAACCATATGTACACTTTACCATTCCAAATATCCGTTGCATGCTTCCATTCTTCTTCATGTGCACTTAAAGTAGAAATGAATGCACGATTCATACTTCCGTAGGCAATACCCTTTGATAAATGCAATCAAACATCGATACTTTCTTATTCAAGCATTGTTCTTTTACCTTTGCTAAAGCCCAGCTTAGACGACTGACTGGTTGAGCTATACTATAAATACAAGAACGTCCCAACATAATGGTTCCTCTATGAACTCCTCTCCATAGGGAATGAGGCTCACCAGTTAAGCTTCCTCTTATCGGTTCTACAAAAAACTGCAAGGTTCCTTGACGCAAATGTAATACTGTGCTAGTCATATCACCGAGAGCAGAAAGACCACCAAGAGCAGTAAACATGTTGCTCCATAAAGACTTGATAACATGCCACAAAATGTTGCGACTCAAACCATCTAATGTCTCGACAGCATTGTTCAACTCGAGTTGATCAACCCATAAAAGATTATCTTCAATTTCACCCAATAATAGACCAGTATTTCTCATCCACGATTCCATAAAAGGCAACCAACCTCTTTCAAAACTACCTTTCATAGTAAATGAAAAACGACAAGCTACAGGATGCAATATGACATGTTCAAAATAAGAAGGTGTGTCGGTACGATTCAAATGAGGCGAAATCAACTTTGTAAATACTTGCTCTACTGATGGCAAAGAATCCCCTCGAGACAACCAAACGTCTTCCAAAATATGAAAACTATCCAATGCTTGACTAAAATATTTGGCTCTTTGCTTAATAAACTCCAATAGCCGAAACAACAGTTCATTATCCATCTTCAAAGCAAATTCAGATACCAAAACATCTATTTGATGGTAGTGATTGACGGTTTCAAAGGACTGCATTTCTAGAAATATGAAGAGAAAGGGATGTTGCAGAGATGCTAACAATACGGGACTATCACTTAAGGTGATAGATTGGTCACATTGAAAATGAGATACTGTCATCTCTACTTTCCTTATGGATGACTGTTGTTTTAAAGAAAACAATAAATTCGATAAAGAAATGTAAAAACACTCTTCCCAAAGCTCCTCATCGTCTATAAAAGATATGCCAATGAACGGAATCGTCACTTGAAAATGGAAGGAACAAACTTGACTAGTTTCTGTCGATTCCACAACTGCTGTCGACTTGGGGGTGGCAACCTTTAAATATTTACTTCGTTTCCATGGAACTAGAAAATTCCAACGTTGTGCTACCGAAGAGTATAGGGAATGTGTCCAGTCATAAGTCTCTTTGCGTATACTTTCCAATCGAATGGTCAAAACTCTTCCAAGTAGTTCTACTGTAGCATTCAACTAATTCACATGTGATAATGAAAAGAAAAGTGAATACACAGACTTACTTGATAAAAAGAAGAGTCTGATGCATCGTTACTCATTAATTGCTCCGTAAGAACTTGAGTACCCATATCTTTGATATTCAGACGAAATTTAGAAATGCCTTGGCGATGTTGAACGAATAGAGAAATGACCCTTGTTGCTAAAGGATCGCTCCATATCAATCGTTCACTTGTTTGAGATGGAACAAGTCTGATGTCATGCAGATACTTTTCTTGACCATATGCAATCTATTTGCTTTGAATGTGAGTAAAATTCACATTTTGACTTCGATTTCATTACCAAAAATAGCGTCCAGTTTTTGATTTCTGTCTTCGTTTGTGAATAAGCTTTCTTCAATATGATGAATTGTGTTCTCGTTGAAGGATCCCGTGAAGTCCTTATCTACATCGGAAAATATCAAACAAATAAATACACCAAAGATTCTTGTCTTACCATCCAAAATATCCTATCCAACATAAAATCTTCTGGATAAGGATAATCAAAAACAGTGTGGGGTCTTTTCCAAATAGAATCTGAAACTTGTAGAGATTCAATGCGTTTTAATTGTTCCATTTCTTTAGGAATATTTACAGCGACAGTAAACTCTGAAGGAGCGTTGACAGCAAACCAATCACTCCAAAGAAAAACATAGTTTCCACCGTTTCTCTCCACTTCGTCTTGTGCGGAAGAAACGGAAATTGACTGAGTTTCATATCCTTCCTCTTCATATTTACGAGACATTCGGAACCCAATCTATAAAATATTTCAACAACAATACTTTGGATGATAGTTGGAGACTTTGACCAACCCGAATACATAATTTTGTTCGTTTTCTTGTCGGCATATTTTGAAAAAGCAGAGGCACTTTGTCCTTTAAACTAACCCACTGAAATAGCTTGCGTGTAGCGTGAGTCTCAGACTCGATCCGTCTGTCTGTTTTGCGCCCATTATGACCAAGATAGACACCATGAAGAGCCACATGATCCTAAAATGCAGTTCAACTGGCTGACTACTTCTGAGAAAGTTGTAACGTACCATTTCGACTCCAAATGAAGCAAACTTTTGAATGAGCGGGTCATTGACCAAGTCTTGTTCTTCCAGTTGAAAACAAAAAAGGGTTTCAGGCAAAATCGATAATGCCTTGGAATCTTCATAAGAAGGATGAAACTGCGTATAGACACTTAAACGAAGAAATGCAGCCGCTTCAAAAAGTCCTCTTCGTAACGAGGAATAAATAGAAAGTTTGGGTATTCGATAAATAGATGAATAAGCAACTTTCAGTGTTACAGAATGATAACCCAAAATACTGACAGGAATTGCACGACTCTTAGGACATTCAGGTATCCAAATCGAAATGTAATGAAGACCTTTGCGACCAATTCGCAACTATTTTCAATAGAGCCTGTCTTAGTGAAAATGACAATAGGAAAGAGTCAAGCAAATACCATTCCAGCCTTGTCAAGATGATTCAGTGACATCATAACAGGGAACGTATCTTCGACACCTAAGACACAACACTCCATCGATAGATATCTTTAAAAATTGTTCGAATACATACCTGAATGAACGTTTTCTATAGTAGAAGAAATACCACTGGCTATACCAAAAATATCTCTGAAAAGTAATGGTAAGCCAGTACAATTGGATACCCAATACGGACTGCTTAAACGAGCAAGTAAACTAGAATCGTTCTCTCCTAGGAAAAGGCCAAAGTGCATTTGCAATAGTCGACCATCCGAATGGTAAAATGTAGCCTTGGAACAATGATGAGCAAAACATAATATTTTCTAAGAAATGACTTACATGATGTTCTTTGAGGCATCTTTTAGTCTCCATTGTGTTCCAGCTGTCAATCAAACAATCAGAATCAATAGGAAATAGGACTAACTTTTTCCAGGATGATAAATTATCAAAATGATGAACTTGATTAGGTTCCACAAAAATTCCCGATAGATCACCCAACTGAAACCATTCGATTGCTAAGAGACAAGATGAATACAGGCAATATTTCTTTCTGCACTATGAGCATGAAATATTCATGTGAAATACAATCGACTTACTTGAGTGGTTTCACCTGGTTGAAGACGTCCTTGAAGTTCCTTCCAAGAGATCCAATACACATAGCCATTATGTTGTCTTCCCACATACATTCGATAAGAGATTGCAACTGCCAGTTCGTTCCTTACAAGCAAAGGAGCCATAATCTTCCAAAAAATAACCAAAAACTATAAAACAAGCCAAAGATTTTTTACCTTCATTTCTCCACAGGATAAACACTGCAATAAAACTGCTCCTGTCACATCCATAGGTCTTTTATAGAATCCATCCCTCTTTGACGAAGAATGCGAGTTTTCTTCTATTCTTTCTGCAAGACAAACCGAACTTTGTCGTTGTACACTATTCTCTTGTCTTTTGTATGAAACTGCAACGATATCTTCCTCGAAAAGTTTTGTCCATCTTATTGGAAAGGATACTAAAACATGTTTTTCTTTTAGAATGAATTCTTCTTTCAACTGAACTGAAACACTCCAATGAGAAGCTAATGCATCATTATCATCATTCCAACTCTCTACTGCAAATCGAACATAGCACGTCTAATACTCCAGAATGAGTATACCAACGACTCAAATGAAATGGAATACTTACCCAACTACAAAATACAAAAGGAATAATGAAATTCGAATCAGAATTCAGAAAAGATGCCTTTTGAATAACAGAACCGCTCAAACTTTTCTCATGTGACGCAAAAATTTCAGACTGACTATCCTTCTCTACAATGGGTACTTGATATAACTGCAACATTATCTTATTTACATCACTACAAGTACTAGAAGATAGGCTTGGATCATAAATATTGCCAACAGAGTCTTCCAAAAGAAATAACAATCCAAAGTTGGTGTTGTTTACAAACTTGAAGACCGAACGAATGACTATCTCCCATTGAGTTTCCAACAGAGACACCTTCAAGAAATAATATGTGCCTTTTCAAATTGTAAATTAGCTTACTTACTTGCAAACAAAGAGTGCCCATTTCATTCAAGTCATCCATTTCAAACACCGGTAGAAAATAGACGTCTTCTTGAAATAGACGTATTTTCCCTTTAGCTCTTAAAGGAATAGGTAGAAATGTAACCTTTTGTAGTTCATTTCAAATTATTCTGGATAACAATCGAAAACTTACGGTTAGTTTGACAGATTGTTCCAACTTATCAGTGAAAGACTCATCTCTGTCTGCCCATCGATGAATACGATCCAAAAAACGACTGTGTATATAAATAACTTGTTCGCTATTTCTTGCCAATCTCATATCATCACAAAATAAAATGTCTTCCTTTTCCCATCTGCATCCTGTCAACATGAAATCTAAACCAGTTCCATTTCTATTGCAATAATGAAATTCGCTCGTTCCAAAATACTATCCAATCCATTCATTACCTGATAAGTACAGAACGAATTGAATGACTTGGCTTAAACTCCAAAGACGAATCTGCACTTTGTAAATGGCTATCTGTACTCTCCTTACTATTGTTGTTAATCAGACTTTCAAATCTTTGCAATTCTATCAAGGAGACTTTGGAGAAGAACAATACTGAAACATCTTTCCATCTCGTGATATATGAAATTAGAGAATGGAGCCAAGTTTCTGTCAATGTGATTTGAATTGCATCTCCAAGCAAAATATGAACTTGTTGTTTACGATCAGCACATTCCAACTTCCTCATAGCTACAAACTCGACTTGACAGGGTTCTAGTAGGTTATTCCACGTCCTGTAAACGATATGTCAGCAGCAGGAAGATCTCATGGAAAACTTCAGAAACTTACCCATGTACAACTGCAAACTGATAAAGTCTCAATAACAGAGACAAATGCAAAGAGTATTCGCTAGTTAGTGACCAAAACATTCCACTTCCATGAAAATTGCTAACAACTGTCTCCACAATACTAAAAGAAGAACCTCGTTCATAGCTGATTAGACTGAGACGAATGTCTTCCATTTGAATATCCAGATTGTATGAAAGTTGTTCCTTGTAACAAGGTACGGATAGAACTCTATTCATTTCCGTCTTCCTCACTGTATGTGAAGTATTCGACAACTGAAAAGAGTCCTTGCATTCCTTAATACAGGAAAGAATAAGAACGACATCTTCCATCAACAAATATCCTTCTACTCTTGTCATACTAAATACAATGGATTTTGATGCAGAGTCTGTATTGATATTGTTGGAAATAACCGAAGATGATGCTGTCTCATCTGGTCCCACCATTACCTTGACAGAAATTTCAATAGGAACGATAATATTGTAGGACTTGTCTTGAAATATACTCCAAGAACGATGAATACACACAAATTGATGCAACAGACAAGACAACTCATGAATTTCCAGATAAGGCTGCGTCTGAAAGAATGTAAATGCATTTTCAAAAAGAATCAAAAATGAACTTACTTGAATGGTTCCCTTTAGATTAGGATTAACTCTCAAAATCAACTCATGAAACCCATCATTGATTTCCACATTCCTGGCTTTCGATATACCAGCGATAAAGTGCAACTCTATTGGCAGGTCGATATCCCATGTGAACTGCTTGTCATTACGAGTATCTGCAGTTGCTGAGTAGACTTCATTACCAACGCCACGAATGCTGTTCAGATAACTTGGGATTTCCTTAACGATATAGACGATGTTAGCTACCAACTGTCTAGTACCGGTCATTCCCAAAAACAACTGTAAGGATTGGTTATCTTTTGAAGTAACCTGTATTCCAAAAGATGAAGGATCCAACGAAAGAGAAAACGCAAAACTTCCAATAGTAACTAGGGAAGAAATTCGTGAGAAATAATGCCATTCATATAATGAGGAGTATGATTCTCCAATGTGAATGTTTTTCGAAGCTATATTCATATGAAGTTTGGTTCCAGGCACTTTATCATCGACCTTTCCACCGAGAAATATTTCTAATATAAAGTTATTGGATAATAACTCATTTCTGATCCATTCAGTATCAACAAAATCATTCCAAAGACTCCAATTTTCCAGTTCTTCTAAAATATCCAAAGGCATGTCCATGGCAAAAACACTGTTTGGAAGGAGCAATTCTGAATTCTCATCAAACCACTTGATAGAAATACTATCAAATTGGTGTCTTATCGAAATACTCTTATTGGTCGATGGTTGTTCCTTCATAGGAGAATTACTATTCCCTTGCAACAACGTATATGGATACGTCACAAATATCGGAAACACCAAACGCAAGATGTCCAATATGGAAGCTTTTCTAAGAAGTATCGACAAATGAGAACTAGAAATAGATAAGGTTAGAGGTTGAGAGGATCCCATTAAAATATTCAAGTTCATATGACTAGGATAAAGCAATGGAACCAAAATAAAAACTGAGTCTCTTGCTTCTCTGCGAAAAACGAACCCTTGATCAACCTTCCAATCCTCGCCTTTAATGATAATACTAACTTGATGATTGCCGTTGTTCTCAGGTGAACCTGCTCCTTCATTTTTGACCATGATTCCGAGTTGGACATTACGAGAGTTGCACTGCAGATAGTTTGATAACGAATCAGTGTCATCCAGGCATGGAATACCGATAGTTGGATTATCGATAGTAAAATGAAGACTCAAAAGGATGCTTGTAACGTTGTCCTTCTTTTTGTTTGAATTTCGCATATTTCCCAAAGCAACGAAACGAAGAATAACTACTACAAGGTCCATAATGGCAAAGTGATTATATAAACTATGAAGTTGAGAAAGACGAAATGTGAGCAACAATGTATTTTGCGTTTCAGTATCTGCATTCAAAGACATATCGAAATGCAATGGAAACAACTTGTCGTCTTTGGGATGAAAACTCAGAATCTTTTCTCTTTCGGCAACCAATGTCACTGCATTATTCTCCATCAGACTGTGAATAACTAATGTCTGAGGTCCAAGATCCGCAAACAATCGTAACTTCTCACTCTTGAATGAAGTATTCAAACTAAAATGAAGTTCATCGAAACTCAAAGCCAATTTTCGGAAAACTGCCAAAGTTGATGAACGTTTAGACAAATTAGGATAAATAAATTCAACTTGACTAGAAAAAATTCGTAAATTCAACCCGAATTGAACTTGAGACTTTTTCTTCAAAGTTTGCTGAGCGTTCTTGTCGTTCCTATCTGGGTTCAACAAAGAATTCATCTGTTTCAACAATTCCAATATTTCAGTAATTTGACTACTCCAAATTACACCTTTTAAAGAACACAGAGCAACATTTATAAAAAAATTTGTTGACAAGTTTGACGTGGTTTCTTTGGTCGCCTGCAAATATAAAGAAGAAGGTTCTATTGAATTCGAGTCTTCAGCAAAAACAGTTATGGACGCTACTACAAACATACGTACTTGATATCGTAGGTTCCACATTCTGCAACTTTGGAGGAGCGGATAACTCGACACGGATTTCTCTTTGACTGGAATTTTGATTACCATACCATATCTTAATCGATTGCAAATAGGCTTCCAAATTAAACTTCGCAGATGAGAACATTCCAAGTAACTCCAACTTTGTAAGTTGGCAAATTAAGCTTCTGGGATATTCTTCTTCCTGTGACTCAACATGGGAATCTGGCAATTCTAATTGCAAGGTCAGGTCAAGAGCAATACAAAAATCTAGTTTCCGTTTTTGTGAAGCAAGAAATGGTTCGGAAAAAGGATGTTCTAAAAATAAAGTTAAACCTTTGTTATAAAGCCAACAGTTTCCAAAACACTCACTTTCATCAGAAACTTGCATACTGAGCAAACGAATGAAACTTTCCAATGAATGAACACTGTCTGGCTTGAAAAGGCACTCTTCATTCCCCATTTTTTTCCTTAGTTTTAACGTGTCTTTATCTATACGACAGTTTGTTCCCACTTCAACGTTTCTCAAACGCTCGCAAACTATTGCATCTTTGCAAGATAAGCATGAAAAAAATTCCAACCTACAAACATAATCATACCGTTATCAAGGCCGTTGGTGCAAAGACACAATAGACCATCTTGATACAACTCAATCAAACCTTTCATTGGCACCTATTCAACTTCTTATGAATACTTATCAAGAAGACAATTTCCAAACTCACACTTCCTTGCTGAATTTTACCCATTAGAGTGTAAATCAACCTTTTGGATGAATTCAAACTGTGTCGAACTTTCTCCAAGATTTCTTGAATAGTCTTTATGAGCTTGGAAATTCCCTCAAACTCACTGAGATCGACTGCCAAATACAGGCTGGAATTCGCATTTATATTTAGAGAAGGCAAATGAAGATCCGATGCGATACTACAAGTCGAAAACAACAACTGAGATGGATGATCTGAATGGAGGTGAAGAATTCGTAGTTTTTCGGTGGATGTAAATTCAAGAGAAAAATCTGCGGCGACTCGTTGAAACTCTATTATCCAATCTTGATACAGATATATCCTTGGCCAATCTTCTTCACAACAGGGTGAGATTGTTGTCGTCGGCAATGCATTGTGAAAGCTCAATTTATCCATATGTAATTCCACATAAGTTTTGGATTGAATATCTTTGCAGAGCAAGTCAATCTATTCATTGCAAAATTCAGAAATCTATCAACATCGTTATTCTTGAACTATCCTCCTACCTCTGCTGAACCAAGGTTTATACGAAGCTTTAGTCTCGGTTGTTGAACCTTGCGACAAATTTGAGTCCAATATTCTTTCTGACCGAATACTAAAGAAAATAATGCTCAGTTTCCTAGAACAAGGTCCTAATTGGGTCAATGATAATATTACCTCTGAAAGGTGTGAGAGTCTCCAAATGAATAGGCTTCCTGGGAATACAATGTAATGAAAATCGAATAACTCTTGTGAGAGCATCCAACGATGACAACTCTGCTTCAATCCCACATATATCAATGGATAGGAAGGGACCATCTCTTGTAGCTAAACATTGCAACCATTTTTCAGTATGAAGAAACATTTTAGTTTCCCAAACAAGTCTAAAATTTCTATGCAGACAAAGAAGCAAGTTCAAAGATGGGTTTCCTCGTCCAGATAAGAAATGAATGGTGGAAAGTTTTTGAAATGTTGGAGAATATTCGTCATATAAGTTGAGAGTTAGTGAGTCCATATTGATCCATAAGTATCCCAGCATGGGATGCTTGCTGTTACTTTCATACATCGATAGACAATCGTTCGGTAGTTGCTGAGCAGTTGAAAAAACTATTCCAAGATCATTACCTTTCAACGATAAAAGAGGATAGCATAGCCTCTTATCATCTTCGTTGTAATCATAAGCAGCGGTAATCAGGTTCGACAGTGTCAACTTTATGGCTGTTTCAAAGAAAGTAGGCTTGTTCTGAATACTCTGATAAAAATTCCATACAAAATCGACAAACATATGACAATCCTCAACTTGATTAGACTTCTTCATATTCAAAAGTCAGATTGGCTCCATAAAATGAAACAATTTCATACTTGTACCTTGTCTACATCTGCAGCGGAATCACCATTCATCGAAGATATTCCGTTCATATTGGGAAACTCTCCTTTCTGATAAGTAAGATAATATGCAGCTGTTCTTCCAAAAATTAACTCCTCCTCCAATAAAACATTTTCCAAAACAATGTTATTCGATGTTTTCTTTCGAATAAAACGAGATTGAACTATAAGGGAGTATACTACAGCGATAAGAATTCTGCGATTCCCAAATTGCATCATATCCTGTATTTCAGAATGTGAATTGTGCAAAAGAGAAGATCCTATCGAAGATGTGTAAAAAGTGCCACCATCAACGCATTCCAAAGCTTTTACACACAACGGACAAATTCTGGTGGGAAGATTAATCTGATCAACAACACATCGCAAAGCATACTGCCACCATTCTGAAATATTCAAATCTTTCTTAGGTCTGCAAGTCGGCAGGTGACTTTTTAGTCTTCGCTGTGTCAACTGCACATGAAATGCCATGTAAGTGGCTATGTACGAAATACACCTGATTTGCTCAGCACTTGCAGTCACATTCAATTCGGAAGCTTGAACATCGAGGGAAATTTTCAAAGATTCTGAAAAATCCACAGGAGGAAACAGCAAATTGAGACTTCCATTGGCACAAAATGAAGAAATGAGACACTGCGACTCTTTTCCAGATCTTTTCATTTGTTCCAAAAACTGACTAGCGGAACTAATATGCGATATAGGAAACTCGTACGAATTCAAATAGACGTTCAGATTCTTCAGATGAATATATTTATGAATGTCCAACGCCACTTCCAGAGAGTTGATATCCCAAACAAAAGGCCTGCTCTTAAAGAATGCTCTTTCAACCAATAACTTTTCTACAAAAACTCCACAGCAGAGCGGACCACTCAAAGCTGTATGACAGTCCTCTAAACGGATATGAAGATTTTCGACTGTTACCTGCATAATACTCTTTATAGGTTGAACAATCCTCGCAACGTAATACATACCTTGAATTGCGCAAATATTTTCGCTGCAGACTTCACCAACAGCTGTCGCAGAGAATCGTCGGGTACTTGTTGTGGATTAAAAAAATAGTCTCTCAATTGCTTATCCAATAGTTTTAAACGTTTCTTTTTTCGCTTCAAGTAAAATGCCCGTAAACTTCGGCTATACGTTTCAAATTCAAGTTCTGATAGCTCCGATATGGAGAAAGTTTCCAGACAACAGGAAACTTCCTGAATTGCAATTTCTATATTGTGGAAAAACCAGGACTTTAGCTGAAACTTCAGAAGAAGCTTTCCAATGTACACAGCCTTTAAGTGCATTGGCAACAAAGGGGGGATAACTTGGAAGTGTTCGCCAGGAATAAAAACCTTTTGAATAACAACAAGTCCACTGTACCAATCGAAATCAACAGAAGAGACATCTATCCCTGGAAATACCAGACTTAGAAGCTTCCTAAGAAACCAACTAAGGACTTTTGAAAGAACCATCTGCTTCCACCAAAGAAATTGCAAAACTACATCGACATTATTTGGAATGGATATGTCCAAATCCCCCACATTCACCTTTAACAGAGAACAATTGTAAGAAATAAAAACTTCAAGTTTTCCTTTGATGCTTTATTCAGATTGAACGTTTGATTGTATTCACTGCTTTGTTACAGCAGGCTTCAAAAAAGAAGTGATAACTGTATACTCTTATAATAAAACGAAACAAAATGGGCGGGTACAGTGGTGATCATTTTTCTAACCAACTTTGCCGTTGTGATGCACGTAACGGATCATCCACTCTGATCGGTTCACTTGTGATTTTATTAAGCCTGGATAGCTTATTCCAGCAACTTTCTTACTGTGCCTTTATCGATTTCTCTCTTAAACGAAAATGTATGACCAAATAGATATAGATTGCAGTTTTGAATTTTCTGAGAGTGATAGTCCTTGAAGATTCTTAAACAGTGGGAAACTCAATTTAAAAACAAGCTTATAAGTAACCTCAATGCAAAGGCATTCTAGGATTGGCTATGCAAAAACTGTCAAAATCTTCTGTCCAACAAGGAAATCCTATCTTTTGTTACTCAAAATGCCATTTGATGTAGTAATTTGAAGAATTGTTAAACTGGAGAGAAGGTGGGGAGACCCGGAATCTATATGGAAGTATACCTTAGACTCTTATAGTGGAACTTGGACAGTAGAACGTTGCAATATACTAGTAGCAAAAGATAGTTTTGCTAGCGGCAGTTTCCGTTTCGCAAAGAAAGCCCTACTAATAGAAGACGAGGTATATGGCTCCCTTCAAGTTGTTAAAATTCTGAAGGAACATATTTCGGCAAACACACCGACTGTATATTTTATTGACGTCATAATACAAAGCTTGGCAGAGCTTTTTGCTCAAGAATTTAACAAAATATATTGTGGCGCCAAAGTATCTTTTGTTCCTACCTGTGTCGTTGAATTCACAACCAAATATTCTGACTTGAAGTCTTCTCGCTTCGCAGTAATGGAGCCTCTCTTAGCGTGTCATAGCGAGAAATTTCAAAAATACAACGACAATCAAGGAGGATACCAGTCGGATAGCTATTCTGCACACGTTGCAAATGCGTTTAGTCACTTTTCACATGTTGCCTCAGGTGGAGAACTCGTAATTTGTGACATTCAGGGTGTTGGAGAATATTACACTGACCCTCAGATTCATACTGCTCTTTTGCCTGAATTTTTGGAAACTTTCCATTCATTGCCAGGTTTGAATAGACATGGAAAGATGCCCTTTGACGTTTTTCAAGACTTTTGCTTCTCGAATATGTCACTAGGGCTTGGCAATTTTGGATGGGAAGGTTTACAGAGATTTGTAAAAAGTCATATCTGCAACTCTGTTTGTGCGGCTTTGGGACTTGAACCTTTCATCAGGGAAAATGGCTCTCTTCCGTTTACATCTTTGCGTTCCGAGTTTCCAGGCCAATTGATCCTACAAACAACTTGCAATTCGTTGAAAACCTCACCAGTGCTAGAAAGAGTGAAGACAACTCTTTATCGAAGTATTCTCACGGCTTGGCCGTCAACCTTTTGAAGGCGCAAATTGTAGATATAAACTTCAAGACGAGTGCTCTATTCACTTTATTCTCTTGAAACTGACTTTCTAGAAGCTCGTACCATTTTCTTGTTTTGAGCTCACTTTACTACGCTCGTCATGTGTATCGTATTCCAATTCACACTCGACCTCACGTCCATCCCACATAGTGCCGTTCAATTCTTCTTGTGCTTTTCGAGCCTGTTCGAATTGTGGGAAAAATACTAAACCATAAGCTTCATCGTTTGTAGTGGAACGGCGAATTATAGCTCGAACGACATTTCCAAAAGGTTTACAACGCTCACGAAGCTCTTGCCAACGCATTTCAGGTACCAAGTGTCGAAACACGAGCCGATAAACCTTGCGCTCTCCTTCCTGAAATATAGAGCCTCTATCTTCTCTCACAACAAGTGACCTGCCAGCAATTACGGAGTTATTAAGCAACTCAACAGCTTTCTGTGCCGCTTCTTCCGTCATATATTCCACCAAGGCACTGCCTTTCGACCGTTTTAATTTATCCAAAAACAGGTGAACGTACTGAACTGGACCTGCTTCTCTCATATGATCTTTTATTTCTTGCCAGCGAACAGTGTACGGAATATTTCCCACATAAACTCTTCTGCAGAATAACGAGTTGAAATCTTGAAGATACAAAAACTAGAATAGTTACCTCTTCTGCCTCTCTTCTATTGAAACCTTATTGTCATCAGTTCCCTAAGTGCTTTCAAAGAAAACCTAACTATCCAACCACTGCCATACCTGTGGCGAGGACTCTGACACGTCGTGAACAGCGGACAAAAACTGTCTTTCAGGATAGTTATGACGAAGCACAGAATTCTACACAAGATACCGTTAGTTTCCCACTTTTTGAACGAAACTGTTGTCCACCAACCCTTTCCCAAAGACCCGGCCTACATAAGAACGGATGGCTGTGGTTTCTACCGCCATAAAAGTCCTTTCGGAAAATATTCGAACAACAGAGAGTCTTCCTGTATACACTAGATGAAAAGCTTATACTCAAGGGAACACCAGTAAAATTCAGGCAACGCTGTTTTCCCATCTTGCTCCAAGTTCAATACGAGGAATCCTCCTTTCCTACAAATATTATCACAAAACCGGCACCGTTAATCCAAGCCGCTCATTCAGACTCTTCGGACTTGTATGGCTTAAGCACACATGGCTTACAAAATACATTTCGAAACTTGTGCGCAAATAATACTTTCCAATATAGCACATCATAATGACATTTAGAAATGCGTCGATATAAGTAAATGAATTGGTGTATTTTTACATATGAGCATATGATTTCCAATATGTGAAAGGGTCATTCTGCGTGACTCACATTCTCCCATTCAACTAGAAAAGATTGAAAAGCAACTTTTTCATTCACAATAGATACGCATCAACAAATTGTTACAAACAAAGGACTTATTCTGTATGCTCTAAAGGTACTACTAGTCTGTTTTATTTGAATATACATCGGAATAAGAAGCAACCACCAGGCGTAAAAATAAAACCAAAAGAATTCCTGTCGCCGAACCTGCAATATGACCTATATGGTTGACAGCAACAGCAGTCCACTTATGTGAACTACTGGAAGCTGCAAGGCGCACTTCTCTTCCAAGTATCTGATAAACATATTGTCCAAGGATCAAAAATTCTAAAAGTCTTTTCCAATTCCATGAAAACCGCGTTAAAACGCAAATAGTAAACAAACCAAATACAGCACCACTTGCTCCAACAGAAACGGAGTGTTTAGGTAATACCATCCAACTCAATAATGCTGATCCAAAGGCACAAATACAATAGCTCATTATGATTCCAAATGCTCCTTCTTCTTCTTCTACGAGTTTACCAAAAATCAAAAGAAAAAAAAGGTTATTTGATAAATGTGCCCAGGACTCGTGACAGAAAGAATAAGTCACAAACTGCCACCAGCGTGGCCCACTATGTGTCAAAACTAGCAAGGCAAGTAAGTTTGGCCAAATAAAGCGACTTGCAACAAATAATAACAAGTTCACGAGTATAAGAACAAAAACACCCCATTCCGACGTATTACGTGCAAGCTTTTGGAGAGTTCATAAGAATACAAAGCATCGAGGTTCTTCACTTACTGGCCAGTTGGAAGACTGAATCCTTACGGTTTTTCCTAAACTGACAGCCCTCATTTGTGGTTTATCTCCTTCTACAGGAACCTGGTTATCCGGTTTATGTTGGACAGCAGCTAGTAGAAAAGCGTCCTGTCGTTGTCCATCAGCTTTCCATTGTCTCCTTAATATATCGTCCTTCTGATTCTTTCGTGCTCTATTTTGGCGAATATTCAAAAGGCAACGTATGCAACCAGTTCTGGAAAATGAAGTCTTTACTTGTGGTATAAAGTGACTGGCACCGGTGAACCACAACATAAAGCCTTTGCAGAACGAAAGGGTTGTGAAACAATGTGAATGACTTCTCAAAAGCGCCCCAACACATCCAATTTATTCGAACCCTAAAAGTATCGATACATCATTATCATCGAGACTTTGAAATTCCAAAAACTATTCTACACTTCATTTGAACGCTGTTATTCACAATCTATTCATTGCAAATAGTCCTTCAGACAACTCTCAACGGTAGAATTTCTCAGTTTTGTGATGCCACTCAACAATAGTTGTCGAACCCTCTCCCTGCTACACGACATAATTCTCCCGCACTCCTCCAGAGATCGAAATTGTCCATCTCGGAGGCCATATCTCAAAAGTAATGCCCTCGTTTCCATAGGACAAAGGTATTCCTGTAACACTTTAAAAAGGTCCGCACGCAACAAACACTCTGCCAGGTTTTCTTCTGTACATTCCCTGCTATCTGCCACACAATACACAGCCCCCTTACCCAGACGTCCACTATCTTCTAACAACTCTCCTAACCTTTCCAATGAAACAGGTTGGTTAGTAACAGCCTACAAATTAGACATAAGGAGGTGCACAATATGAAAAAGAATACGGAAATACCTCTATACAAAAGCGAAGACGGGAACTTGAGACACCAAGTAACGAGCAGACTTCACTCTCACTTGGTACTTTCTTCTTACTTTCCAGTTCGACTGCGACTTTTTTCGACTGATTGAAAAGAGCAAGAACCTTGGCAGGCACTCTAACGGAGCGATTGTATTCATTTAGATATTTGGATATGCTGGCGCGAATCCACCACGTCGCAAACGTTGAGAACCTCCAACCATAAGAAGGGTCGAATTTGTCAGTGGCTTGGATCAAACCTAGGATGCCTTCTTGTATCAAATCTACTAACTGCACAGGTTTGTGAAAGTTCTTATTAGAATCGTGAGCGAAACGTGAGGCAATGGAATGGACAAGTCTTAGATTGGCAGTAATAAGTTTTTCCTTCGCATTGTTTCCAAGTATAATGGCGTCATGTAGATCTTGTACGGACTAAAAAAATGTCAATTACCTTTCAAACATTATCATTGCTTTATATAGCCTTACCATTCCTGCTCTTATAGCCCATTCTTCTAGAGACAATTTTCTACCGAATTTCTGCATCATTCTAAGTGAGGCTTTATTTAGGTATCCAAAATGGATCAAGAATTGGAGCCTTACCTTTGTTGTATATCAATCAACCGTGTTTGTTTCTTCAGGTAGTTTGCAAGCTCTGCTTCTTCTTCTTGACTTAAGAGGCGGCTTTTATCGATGGCATGAATGTATCCATCTGAAAAAAGAAACTGGGCATGTCCATTGTTATAAGACTTCTTGTAAGACTCGTCTTCTTCCTGAGCAGCTTTTACGACTTGTGAATTTCTAGATGTCTGTTCTTTGTGGACTTTCTTCTTGATATTCCACGCCTTCGACTGAGAGTTTGGCTTTCTACTTGTGGCAGCTGTCGAACGAATTTTTTTGCTCTTCAAGGGGTTGGAATTCGTGTGGAGCGGCGTTGTGGCTTTCTTGGCACCCTTCAGAGATTCTTGACTTTCGCACAACTTTGAAGACTTTGTATTTTCGGACTCTCCCTGGTCATGGTAACATTTTACTGTTGTTGATATAGGAGTTTCAGGTTTCCTTTTTTGAGACCCAGCTCCCCAGCTGAAACCTTTGTTCAAAGTGTGTTTTGTCTTTTTCCTCTCTTCTCTGTTCTTAGTGGACACAAGAGAATTCGTTGGAACAAGAGCTCCGAGAGTTGTGCCACCCAACAGGCAGTTTGCCTTGTCTATCTTGCAGTCACCAGTTACGATAACCGTTGTAGTCTTTGATAATTTTCTGTTTTTTCTTCCGAAAGAATTCTTATGATGCACCACTAGAGAGATTTTATCGCAACTCACTGGCTTGGTAGGCAACTTGAAGAGAACACCTTGAGCACAAGTAAACGCCATCGTTATCAAGCTACTATTTATAAACAGAATGCCAGGAAACTTGACTACAGAACGTTTACAGATACAACAACTGCTAGCTATGTATACAATGAGTGAAATAAATATCACAATTCAAAATGAGCCATATACAAATGTGTGCACTGGGATAGTCAATAATCTCCAAATGATTGGTTACACCAACAATCGAAGAAAATCCAATGGGCGAAGAATAATTGAGAGCCACACGATTGGAAATGAAAGGTTTACTAACGAACAAGAGAGAGAGATATTTTCTCGAGTTATACAACACGACACATCACTAGAAAAAATGAAATACTAGGACAGACGAGAATATGAAAAGGGTATCTTCTCTCAAAATGGCCATAAAGGGAAGCTTGAATATACTCATACGATAAGTCATAGATCTGGCCACCTTACGGCCCTCCAAAAATATGAGCTTCCATTTGTCCGATGACTGGAATGATCCTCCGTTTAAAAAAACTTCCGGATAACGCGCATTCTATAAAGATGAAAGGGTAATACGCTCTTCTATTGGACTACGCTAGAGTATTCGACGAATTCAAGATGCTGCCTTTCGTCAAACTCGTATATAAAATCTGTTAGTAAACGATGAAAAACACCGTGGCCAGAGACTATATCTTGTACCGTGAAATTTTCCCAACCGTGTTTGAACTCGGCTCCCCAAAAGTGAACAGCATAGTGACCGTCGTAAAAATTGCGACCGAGGTCTCTATAATAAAGTTCTTCGATACCTTCTTCTGTCCATAAAGGATCAAAAAAAGCTGTATGATTCAGTACACATATGGAATCACTCATTTCAAAAGACATAATTTTGGGTAAACGAACAGAAAACCAATTCCACACAAAGTCATTAAAATGTCGATATTCTAGGAACCATTGTAGAAGGAAAGAAGAAGAAGAATGTGCGACAATGACTGCGTTAGCTAGTCCGATAAAGCCATCCAGTCCTTCTTGACCCAAAACCATAGGAAAATGTCGTAACTCATCGAAGCTTTTCAATGGGAAGACGTCCATGTCCTTCAAAACTTTGAGACTCATGCGATACAGGATCGGACAATTGACTCACCAAATAGATACCACCATATTTGAGCAACATTTCTAAACGTACAACATCCGCCTTATGAGCAACATGATTGAGTGGCTTCCCAAATACCTGTAAAGGTGACTAGCAAACTTCAATAGAATTGACAAAACTCTTCGTGAGCTTACCGCAACTTGATTCAACACCAAATATGGCTTTGTACGTTCCCACCACGTGCCATTGGGTAAATAGTGATAGTGAAAATAAACCTTTTCAGGTCGTACTCTTCGTATAGTCGCTAGTACAATCAGATGCTCAACTATACCAAAAGGTGGATTTTTCTCCAACCCATATACAAAGTGAACAATATTTGGCACCATCTCCGAAGACGGGGTCATATAATTCTTACAGATGCCTTTCGAGTTGTCATAATAGACTTGATTGGTTCCCGAAATGGGAACAATTAGGTCTATGTTAAGGCAGGCCGTTAGTAACGTGGTTTAGTTAGTTCAACAAGAGACTTTGGCTTACGGTGGAGTCTACTGACTATCCTAAGTTGATATAAAATAAATGAGTATAGTATGACTGGAAATAACCACTTCATAGGATTTCTTGAAAGGTCAACAAGGGAGGTGAACGTATTACAACAATGTGTAGTCCAACTCTCCTTCATTAGCATTTTTTTTGGGTCAATCTAAATTTTTCCATTTGCCGTTTTTGCTTTCTTGACTCTGTTAAATAAAAAGACTGTGTTCCTTATATATATTCAAATTAGATTGTGAATAATAGAATGCAAAAGGAAATAATGCTCAATAGTTATCCTAGTGAAGTCTGTTGGATTCTATCTAATTGTAGAAAGCAGAAATTGATAAGAGATTGAACACAAATCTTGTGAAACAGATGATGATGGAAACTCAAGCAACGATGTGAATGAAAAGCTCAGCGACTTGGAGTTTCGACGTTGGGCAGAGAGAAATTGTGAAAAATATCTTTTTCTATCATGCGCTGGTTCTCTACTGAAAATATAACAACTCGTCTCTATGTACTTAGTTTGGTGGTTGCGTTTGGTGGCTGCACTGTCGGAATAGATATTTCACTTGTTAATGGTGCACAGATGTTCTTTGTGTCTCGTTTTCATTTGAACGATTCTTTGCACGGCCTAACCAGTGCAGCAACGCTAATTGGAGCAGTGATTGGTTCCTTTATGTAAGATGCTATAGCTATTGTTTTAGAGATATCATATAGGATAGGTCTTCGATTATCAACCTTTTCTTAGGGAGGAAGGGAGCCATGTTTGTCGCCTCATTTGTAGCAGTAGGAGCAGGGTTGATAGAGGCATTGGCTAATGTATGGGGTGTGTTATTATTTGCTAGAATTTTCCTGGGGACTTCTTTTGGAATTTACAGTGCTACCATTCCAATTTATTTATCTGAAAGTGCTCCAGCTGTAGTAAGAGGTGCTTTGACTGCTATCTATCAGCTTTCCCTTACTTTTGGACTATTTTTTGGCTCGATTGCAGATGCAGCATTTGTCCAAGTTGATAATGGCTGGAGACTTATGTTAGGATCAGTTATTGTTCCTCCTTTTTGTTGTCTAATTGGTCTTATTTTCACACCAGAGTCTCCGAGGTGGTTGATATTCAAGAGGAAGGAAGCAGAGGCGTTCCAATGTCTTTTAAAATTGCGAAAAACGGAAACAGAAGCACTTGAGGATTTATCACGTATCAAAGATTCCACGATGATAGATTCACAACGAGATACTTGGTACCAAGTATTGAAAAAGATATTGATGACCAAACGTATTAGACGTGCAGTTTCTGTGGGAATCTTTTTACAAGTTGCACGACAACTATCTGGAGTGAATGCGATGTCTTATTACATCGACATTGTTTTAAGAAAGGCAGGCTTGTCCATTTCCACGACTATCTATATAAGTGTTGCTTATATGTTTGGCACCGTATTATTTACATTACCATTATTCTGGATTGTGGATAGATTGGGGAGAAGAATCCTTTTGGTTGCCACTATGCCTGTCATTTCCCTCATGTTGTTATTGATTGGTTTTTCCTTTTATGGAAATGAGCACATTCGCATATCCTTATGCCTTGTGGGATTCTTTATCATGCGTGCATTTTTTAGTCCTGGTTTAGGTCCTGTCAGTTGGATCATTACTTCAGAAATATTTCCATTACAAGTTCGAGCAGAATGTCTCGCTATTGTATCTTTTGCTAGTTATGCCTTCAACTTTGTCATTTCTTTTGCATTTCCGGATATGCTAAGTCAGATGAAAGCCCAAGGAGCATTTTCATTCTTCTCAGGTTTTACTTTGTTGAGTTGGATTATTTTTTTTCTATACGTACCAGAAACCAAAGGAATAGAATTGGAAAGTGTAGAGCAGTTATTTGAAAAGCCTTGGAGTGAGTATTCCCGTAAACATATTCAACAAGCTGCCGAGTTTTTATCTTGTAGAAGAAAGAAGGCGTCTTGTATAGATATGATTCAGTCATCGAGCTCCGAAAGGACCGCTTCCATCAATGAAAAGGAAAGGAAAGCAGAAGAATAGTATACTCAACTTGGCTCAACATCGATCATTCTGGTGAAACATATGAAAGAAACGCCAACTTCCCAGCCATATCTTTGATATTTCGAAACATCTCATTTGAATATTGATATACATTGTAAGCATTCCTATGCTTATGATACATATTTAGGGAAGAGTTCTGAGCATTCTTTTTTGAAAACCCGTTATCGTCTTCCTCATAAGAGAAGTATGATAATAAAATGAAAAGGTTTTGAGGCGGGAAATTGGTTTCTTTTGACAATGGTGAAAGGAGGGGGGAATGTGACTACGCCACTTTCAAAGTCTTTAACTATCCTTTTTCTTATATTAGCTGTATATATGTGTAGTACCGAGTTGTATATAAGGAAAGGAATATTTAAGAACACATCGAGTTCCGTTCCACTCAGTTTCTTCCCTAGTTACTATGATGAAAACTTGCTGGAAGCTGAACCTAGTTTTACAACGGATGAACCTCTCAACATTTCTCTCTTATGGTTAGCTCCTTTCAAAGTAAGTATTCTTTGTCTATATTTTTTGGTGATGCCCAAACTTGCTTTTAGAGTGGTTCGGGTTATGGTATAGAAGCAACAGGTTTTGTCCAATCAATCGAAAGTGATATATCTCATTTGAATATTTTCCAGTGGGGTGAATTTGAAAGCGCGAGTTATTTAAACACGTTGGATAGAGATACTCGTGGACTTCTCGATCGTTTATGGAGTGCAACAAGCCAAGTACAACCATTAGTGAACTATTTACAAGCTGCAGCAGATGGCTCACTTCCTATCAACTCTCAAGAACCTTCCAAAAAGTTCGATATTTTGATTGCTCATATTCATCCTGGAGGATGGCTTGATCAGTTGAAAGAAATGGGCCAGTATCGAATTGGAAGAACCATGTTTGAAACGGACAGAATTCCAGATGGTTGGATCGATCGTTTTTATTCCACTATGCATGAATTGTGGGTTCCTAGTAGTTTTACACAAAATCAATTTATAGCTGCTGGTTTAGAACCTTCTCGAATTCAGGTTATTCCGCAACCATTAGAACGTTTTTTATTTCACACTTGTAATCAATCCCTTCATGAGCCAACTTTTGTAGTTCCTAAAGCTTGGCGCTCTACTTTCCACACATGTCATGAAGATGACTTTGTATTTCTTTCCATTTTCAAATGGGAGCCACGAAAAGGAGTTGAGTTCCTATTGGATGCATATTTTCATGAATTCCGATCCACCGATCATGTCTGTTTGGTGATATTGACCAGTTTTCGACAGGTTACTGAAAGTCAAACAACTATCGATCATTTGGTGGAATCCATTGCTAGAAATATTTCATCTCAGTTTCCCAGATATTGGCTTATTCCTTCCACTGTATCTCCTAATGATATGGCATCTTTGTATTTATCAGCAGATGCGTTTGTTTTACCTAGTAGAGGTGAAGGTTGGGGTCGACCTTTGATGGAAGCCATGGCTTGTGGTTTACCAGTGATTGGTACAGGTTGGGGTGCTCCACTAACATTTATGAATGAAGACAACTCTTTTCCTATTCCAGTTGAAAAGTGGGATCGTATTCATCCGGGACAAGGTTTAGATGAACCTTTTTGGGGACACTTCTGGGCAGTGCCTGATGTACAAAAACTTAGACAAATAATGAGAAATGTAATGGAAAAGCCATTGCAGGCCAAAGCAAAAGCGAGAAAAGGACAAGAAGAAGTTTTACAAAAGTATCAACCGAATACAATCAAAAAAAGGGTATTGGGGAGACTGGTGCAAATCATGTCCAACAATATATCGGAGTCCATTCGATGAGAAAGTTGCCAACTTCACATCTTTTCTTGCTATAGCTAACCCAATACTAACCAATATTGGGCAAATCCTTCACATGATAAATGCGAACCAACCAGTTACGACTGGTAAATGCCTCTTCAAAATAACGGAGCTTGAATTTCTTTTTCGCTATAACTTCACCTCGGACCTTATCATAACCTGCTGGATTTCCACGATCAAACTGAACTTCACCAAATCGATAATAACAAAGCTTATACATCAAGGACTCCACTAGAGCTGGACCTGCTCCTTCACCCACACGATAATTTCCATCTGCGGTAAGATATGCACTTTCATCCACCGTCGAATCAACCGAATGTGAAATTCGAATCGGCCATAGAAACCTATACACAAAATAAGTCCGTTTCTTCCTATCACCATCTTACTTAACTTGTTGATATCATCTGAACTATATCCCAATGCACCACCAAATATGACCAACACATAATCGACATCCAACTTTTTGCATATTTGAAAAGCCTTTCTTTCTGGTGAATTCAAGACTCTTCCAACTGTCGCAATATGAGAATTATTCCATGTATTGTTATCTACAATAACAGTTCGATTGGCAAATCCCGATATTTGATATCCATAATCCCACCTACAATTTTTATATATCGTCAATCATTCTATTCAAATGACCTATTCGTCAGAAACTTACCAACTCAATATCTTAGCATCTACTTTGGTATTGTATCGCAACCAACTACTACGCTTCACTGGAAAGCAACAAAGAAAACGCGTTCACCAAAGCAACAAAGAAAACTCATATACAAAGGAAGGTTCTGAACACGCAATACGAAGCCGAACCAAACACAATGACGCGCAGAAGCAAACAATAACAACAACGAACCACCCAGAAGAAAACAATACCAACACTTCCAACCACCCAAAAGAATATAAGTCAACACCCGAATCAAGACAATAGAATCTCCTGACGACCCCAATCCAAGACGATGCCACTCCTTTTATTTCACTCCATTGAGACTCATCCTTCTTTTGTTCCCATTTTCGTAATTGTGCAACATTAGGAACCAACAATTTGGAAAATGCTATTCCACTTAACACACAAGCAGCTGGTGCCAATACCAACATCAATCGGACCATAACTCCAGCAAAATAGGCAGCAAAACTTCCATAAAGAATCAAAAATATCACGCCATCGTTTACATTTTGGAAACAAAAGTAAATACCTGCTGGTACCAACATACTAAGAATATGAAGATCAAAGAAATAAGAACCCCATGCAGTTGGTTGATGTTCAGCAACGGAAGCAATGATTGGAATATGTTTAGAAGCATAAGTCGGATCCAACAAGGAATAGAAACGACCTGTCCAAGGACCCAAATAGCCAGTAGCGGTTGCTAGAAAAGCTGCCAACATGAACATGGCACCTACAGCCAAAAAGAATATTCTATAAAGGGTGACAAATACATCTCTGGGAACCAACGAACGAATCCAGTTCACAAAGCAGTAACATTGTAAGAATACAAAGACTATCAAAGCACCCATATGCTCGGAACTTTGAACTGCTTGAAACCCTACAAAGCGTATTTGCATCGATAAGAGTGTTCCGATGACATAAAAAGTAGAATATGCCACATATAATCGTTGAGAATATCTTCCACAAAGAATCAACACCAATACATAGATTGGATAAATATTTGTGATAAATACATAACCACCCCATGAGGCAACCATATAAAGGTAAGCTAAACAAGTCAATCCTGACCAAAACAAGGAACCCGTGTGTACACTTTTGACGATCAGAAAGAAACAAAGTATCATAGCAGTGATTGCCACACATTCGTTATCATAACTTCCCGCAACTGATCTTGAAAGGTATCCTGGAACCATAGCGATGAAGCAAGCTGCGAATAATCCTGCTGTAGTGTCTGAGACTTGCTTTGTGAAGAAATAAGTGACAATATTGGTAAAGCAGGAGAAAAGTGGAGCCATCATCACACACACATCCTTAATATCCACTGGGAATGTCAAAGCGTGTAAGATGTGATAGATGGTAGCTGCAGAATACATGATTCCCTTCACAATCAACTCAGTCATAAACCATCAATAGTCGAGACAATTCAACTTACTGGATAAACAGTACCCCCCACAATCCTTCCCAAAGGATACCAACTAGCCGAGTCAAACCAATTCCAAAACTCAAAAGTTCCTTGTTCCACAAGAACTTTGGTGGCTCGAAAGTTGAACCAAGGATCAAACTCGTGGATGATGCTTTCATATCTGATCACCGCAAAGAGACGAATACAGAAGGACACACAACACGCAATCAAAAGTACAGCAAACCGAAAAAGTAACTGTTGTTGTTGTTTGGTTGATAACCCAATAGTTCTCGTGTAGTTTATGGATAGTTGTGTTGGCATTCCCATCCAATCATACACAATAGAGCAACCAAAGAAATAAGAAAACTCATACAAGAGAGGATGGAAGGATTTTAAAATAATCAAGTGCTTATTTTCTATTTATTATTATATAAATATTATCTCTATGGAATCTTGACTCTTCCACTTTATATTTGTTCTTGTTGAATTATTTTTATATGAAATCCCACATGTCTGTTTTACAACCTATTGTAGCACCTTCCATATTATCAGCTGACTTTGCAAGACTTGCAGAAGAGTGTAAACAAGTACTAGATGCTGGAGCAGATTGGCTTCACGTGGATATTATGGATGGAAACTTTGTAGACAACTTGACTATTGGTCCTCCAGTTGTCAAAAGTCTAAGAAATCACACCAGTGCTTATTTCGACTGTCACTTGATGGTAATGGATCCAATGAAGTGGGTCCAAGTATTGAGCAGTGTTGGAGCTTCTGGTTATACTTTCCATTTGGAAGCTGTAGAACCCGATCCCCAGAACTGGACTAGAGCTTCGGAGAAGGTGATTGCACTTTGTAAAGATATTCGGCGTTGTGGTATGAAAGTGGGTATTTCTATCAAACCGAATACACCTTGGCAAGCATTAGAGCCTTATCTATCGGCTGGTTGGGTGGATATGGTGTTGGTCATGACAGTAGAGCCTGGTTTTGGAGGACAAAAGTTTATACCAGAAACAGTATCCAAAGTAGCCTTTCTTCGAAAACGATTTCCAGAATTGAATATTGAAGTAGATGGAGGAATCGCACCCAATACTATTGAGCAAGTAGCCAAAGCTGGCGCCAATATTGCAGTTGCTGGTAGTGCCATTTTTGGTTCCGAGGATAGAAACAAAGTCATTTCTATTTTGAAACAAACCTTGTATGAAGGAATCCATACAAGTGGTTCCCTTGAATAACGAGTCGAGTTATTTCTACAATTCTGGAAAATGAAAACGATGTTTTTCTATAAGATGAGCTGCTCTTCTGGAGCCTCGCACTAACCATTTGGTATACAACTCTTGCATCTCTTCCTGTGTCAGATTGGGTTGGATACAGCCTTGTAACTTCAAATGATAAAGGAACATAGCACATGACACCGAAAGATTGAAACTCTGTGTAAAACCTACCATTGGAATGTATACTTTCATATCTGACAACTGCCGAATACCTTTACTAAGACCTCGTTCTTCATTTCCAAACAAGAGACAAAGTCGAGAGTATTTTGTAAAGTCAACTTGGTCAATAGGCACTGCATCTGGGTCTAAACAAGCCTATATTGCATACAATGCTTGCTCCATAAACAACTCTACCAAAAGAGACAAAAGTGAATACTTACGGCAATGAGAACCATATTTTGTTGTTTTAAAGTTTCCACTGCATCATATAAGTTCTTATAGCGATGAATGGTCATCCACTTATCTGCACTCATGGCAACTCCATCTGCATATTGAAAGGGTTCAAAGGCTTCTACCACGTGGACGTGTTGAATACCGTGACCTTCACAAGTACGAATACAAGCTGCTCCATTATGTGGGTCGTGCAAATTCTCAAACAACACTTGAATGGAGCCACAACGTTGCATAAGAGTCTGTTCCATCTTTTCTAGCCGACTTTTCTTCAATTGCTGACGCAACAAGTCCAATAAAGGAGTTCTCTTGATCACACTTCCGTAAGGAGAGTCCCAACCGATATTGTTTGCTTTTCCGTTGGCTTCCAAATATTGTTCTTGAAAAGTACAATTCAACGTTTCGAACTCTGGACAAGAAAAACTTTCGTTCTCACGTGTCTAAAACTATTACGAACAACAAGACTGAACATAAGCTTAGCTTACATTTTCCATATAACAAAACTTTTTCACAACACCAACAGAATATCTAAAACTTTTTACTCTCCTATGACGATGGCTTTTCCAAAAGTTGCCAGTTCGTAAACCGCCGAACAAAGCAACCATCCATGGAATGTTGGGATCCACATAGCCAAAATGCATCCAAAGCAATGGTCGATGCAAAAAGACTAGCAACATTTCTTATCTAAAGCAGACTTGGCTGCCTGTTGAATACGATGGAAACGAACAGGTCCCAATAAAATACCCTACGATGAATATAAACGTGAAAACTTATTTTCTCACTATTCAATGTTTTACTCTACCCCAAACCATCTACAGACTACCAATAATACATTTTGGATGTCACGCTTCTATAATACAAATAAATAAAAGAATAAAGAGCAACCAAAATACAAGTTTCCTTACGACAAGTAATTGCAAAATGCGCTGTCCTGCTCCTTTTTCTCCATCATCGTCCCAATCCTATGTATGACAACTGTCCATTCAATGTTCTCATCCAAACAGGATAATATACCAACTTGAATCAAATGGCCATGAGGTGTCAATATTCTCCAAGATGCAATAAGATGGGTAGCTGAACCAATCTTACGGTGTCGATGCAAAGCATTCAAAAGACTTGTAAAGAAATTCTATGATCATGTGATCCAAAATACAACCAACTAAATACCTATCTACTTTGTTTTCATCATCAACTTCAATGACTAGCCCCTGAAATATACTCTTTCGATCCATCACTACTTCACCTACACACCATTCTTCAATACTATTGTCTTCTCTATCATGCCAATTAGGATCTTCCAAAGTAGAACAAATATCTTGGGGCCGCTTTTCCTCTTTCTCTTCTTCTTCGTTGGACAGATGGCCATAGTAACTATCATAACTAAATACAACTCAATCCTATTCAGAACGGATATCTGTCTTCCTTCACTTACACATCCTGAAGCCTTTCTCGACAAAATTCTGTCATTTCATATACTACTGGTCCTATGCAAAGTATAAACTCTAGATGAATTCTATCCGACTACAACCAACCTCCTTTTTCACCAAACTTTGCCATCAACAGAGATACAATCTCAAGCTAAAGAAAAAAAAAGTTAATAACTGACTGTAAAACAATTCCTTACATACTCGAGTTTCTTCCGGTATCCAACGTGCCTGAACCAACACTTGTGGCTTGCCATATTCGGGATATTCCTCAATAGCAACATACATTGTCAATCTTACAACCTCAAGACAAAATGGACTTACAGAAGGAAGATAAAACTGAACCAAAGCTGTCCTTTACATCAGTTTATTGTTGACAAACAACACCTTTAAGAACGGATAACTAGGAAGCTCACCTATTGGATATCAACAACTGTACACTTAAGGTGCCTTGCTTAAGGTTCCAGAACAAGTCTTTTCCATAAATAAGCTAAAAAATGGGTAAGAGTAGGCTACTAACACAAGTTGTAGGTCCTTATAGTCTAACCTTTAACGCTTCTCGCTCTTCAGCCAAAGATTCTTTCATAAATGAAAAAGAGAATAACCGATTGTTGAGAAACAGCTTTACTATTTGGTTCGATCCAAAAATAATCCAACACACTTTGAACAAACAGGTCAAGTTAGTGATATTAAACTCTAGCTTCCCAAGGAATCTGTAGAAAGTTTCTCACTTGATGTATTCTCATTCTCATGACGAAAACTTTCACTGATTCCTTTTTGATACCNACGAGTGGTGAATTCATATGTCGCAAAGGTTACTACACAAGCTGGAACAGTTCTTGCCAAATTGGCTAAAAAACCTCGATAAAAACCTCGAATACCTTCTTTTCGATATATTTCCTTTGACATGCTTACAAAACGCAATTGACGTGATGAGGATGCCATCTCTTTGGACCCACTAATTTGCAACCTTGATCGTAAAACCTCATGTGGATAGGCAACACAGCTAGCTAAAACCTATCATGCCTAGTCAGTCAATAGTATTTCGTGAGGAATCTTGTCTACCTTGGATAATGAAGAGGCTATGAAAATATCGACTGTGGTACATTCTTGGTCCATTCTATGACGACTGAGCAGGGTCTTGATATGTTCATAAGCTGGAAATTGTACAGCAACGTGTATCAAACCTAACAAAGTGGGAAGTAAACCTCTATAAAGAGCCCAAAAACCCTCTTCTTTAGTAATCAAGGCCAATGTACCCCAAACAGATCGATACTTGCAATATTCAGGTATCTTTGCCTAGCAAAAAACAATATCAAATCTCTTCCTCCCCTCTTCCATATGTACTTACTTCAGCCTGCATTCTCGTTTTCACTAACCACAAGGGTGCCGTCACTAGAGCGGTGACGGTTCCTGCTCCCATAGCTGATAACATGAAGTTGATGGAAGCCCAGTGTTGCAGTCTAGGAGCCAAGTCTCTTTTCAACTCCTCATAAGTAACCCAGTATATACTCCAGTTGGGAATAAATGCCCATAAACTAGCAGATAAACCTCTGTAATATCCTCTCACTCCTTCTTCCCTGATCATCACCTTCAATGCGTCTATCATCCCTCTATATTTCAACGCTGGATGCGTGTGTCTACACTGTGCTTTAAGATTGGCAGCAATATGATGCTGTACTTGCAGTCTTGTTTTCGCCACATCCAAGGGGCTTAACACAATAGTATTGACTATTCCTGCAGAAGCACCAGCTGCTGCTTGAACAAAGCGTAAAACAGGTAGCGAAACAGCAGGTTTACCAGCTTCCTTTCTAGGAAATCCTTCCAGTTTGGAGGAAGAGTCATAGTGGTTGTTTAAAGAAAGGTAAAACTGTTGCTGTTGTCCCATAAAGAACTCAAAACAACTTGGTAGTTGCTGTAACCGTGTCATAGGTTGTAAGCCCGCACTTGTGAATACTGAAGTATGACTGTTTTTCAAAAAGAAACTATTGCTTGTCTATTTATGAATATCAATCGATGTTAAGTTTTCTTGTCAGTAGTATTTTCATGGAAAAATAAAGAGAGAACCAAGTGAGTGACTTACTTGGCCTGCTTTACTCTCTCCATCATCATAACCAAAAGTTAGAGAAATGTTTTGTTGGGAGGGTCTACTTGGTACAAGCTACCTTGGTATCCAAAACTATTCCTTTGAAACTCTTTGTACAATATTATTTATACTGTGTATATAACTAGTAAACATATGCTAACAATATCATGAAATCGATATCATATTTCTACAAAAATGAGCCTCTTTTCAGTCAAGTCCATAACTTGAACAATTCTCGAGAAATTCTTTTGGTTTTCTGGGCGTAATTTTCAAGATGAGCTCCGCCTCTCCTACCAAAACTCCTAGAGAGGATAAACTTCGAAAGAGTTCAGCACTGGCAATGTCCAAAGTCAGTGGCATGTTTAGAGCTATTACACCCAAGAGCGAACTAGAAAGTACCATTTTAAAGGCAACTGCTTCGTCGCTGAAAGAACCCAACTGGAAACTCAATATGAAGGTAAAAATGGGGATGCCTCAAGTTAATCTTTGAAAAACAGTTTCTAACAAAGCCATATATTTTTCTGTTTCAATAGGTATGCGACTTGATCAAGAAAGAAGCGCCTTCCTCTAGCAACCTGCAAGAGATTGTACGCTATATTTGCAAACGCGTAAAGCATCCCGACGAGAAAGTGGCTCTTAACGCTCTCGTATTGCTAGAAACAACAGTGAAAAATGGCAAACCAGTTTATTACAAAGCAGTTGCTGATAGAGGGATCCCAAAACTCTTGAAAGTGGTTTACAACCCCCTCACTTCGCAAGACGTTCGAAACCGGATTCTACAGTTAATAGATATTTGGGCAGATGCTTTTCAACCAGTCGAAGATAGTATGCCACAATTCAAAGAAGCGTATCAGGAACTGTTAAAAAGAGGATTCGACTTTCCTCCAAGGACAAATGAAAGCCTAGTTCCCGTGATTCAAGTCGAGGAAGACCCAGAACTGGCAGCAACACTGGCTTCTTCTAGAGCAGAAGCTTCGAGTTCGGTACGTTTGATCCTAGTTAGAGTATGCTTGAGTAGAATAATAATCTTTTGAGAATAGGTCGATACAGATCATTCTATACCGAGCCTGCAATATTCTCCAAGTTCTAGTAGTTCTCGAGAGCTGGAAAGGTTACACGATGAGCTGAAGGAGACAACTGGAATCGTCAGACTGTTCGAGGAAACTGTTTCTTTCATAAAACCAGAGACAGAAGACCCTAGTGAGGTGGAGTTAGCAAGAGAACTTTATGAAAAGGTTTCTACTTTGCATGAACGACTTTCTTCTCTATTGGAGAATATTTCTGATGAAAGTATTATCAACAAATGTTTAACCTTGAATGATTTTATTTTGCAAGTGCTTGCGGAATATGAATCGAAGGTCTCTATCCACCAGTCAATGGTAGATTCAGCAAAGTCATCTACAGAGACGAAGAGCAGTCAGAATCCATCGGAGGATGTATCAAAAGCTTCCAATCATGAAGACGATGCTGCGAAATCAGTTCCGGCTTGGTTAAAAGCAAGTGTCCCTGTATCATCTTCTTCTGCAGATTGGCTCAGGAACCATTCAAATGCGTCCAACAACCAATCTGTGGAGAGCAAAGTGACCGATGTTAGTACTACTAGCGACCAGCGTATGAATAATGAAGTATCGAACTATTCTAATTTGAATAATTCCTCTCCTACCGACAGCAATTCCGGTACAGATAATGTAGACTTGATTGGTTTAAGTGAAGAGAAGAATATAAAGCCTTCAACTGCCAGAAAGGAAATATCAACATCCAAGAATGAGACTTCGGATCCTTTTGATGAGTTATTTGCTCCGACTGTAGTGAATAGTGAACAGTCTCATTCCTCGAAGAAACTTGCTAGTTCTTTTGCTGATTTACTCATAGAAGATGAAAACTGAAAGTGTATTCTATTTGTAGTGAATTGTGTATTTGTTGTCACTTTAGAGAGAAGAAACATTGTCGCGTTTTCCATTGTACAGTGGGCGTAAATGGATAAGAAATAAAGATTTTTACAGAATCCATATATGAATGAATAGCTTTCATCACATTATCCGTCGTCCCATTCAATGGACATTCATGAGAGCACAGACGAGGATGCTACAGTTACTATAAATGAAGTTTCTAAAAATATCATCACTGTTGCCATAAAAGGAGAGGACCATACCCTAGGAAATGTGGTACGTTACCTGCTCTTGAAAAATAAACAGGTTGAGTTTGCCGGTTACAACATTCCGCACCCCAGTGAAAACGTACTACACTTGCGAGTTCAAACCAAAGAAGACGTCGACTGCAAACAAGTGTTGGTGGAAACTTTGAAAAATTTGAAAACCATATGCGACAATCTGGAGGAGAAATACACACAACTATTCACCCAGCCTATGGAAACTTGTTAGGTTGTTCCCCTGTTTGTCAACAAAGTAAGAATTGTGAAAATAGAATACAAGCTCCTCAATAACTTTCACTAGGACCTTTTTGGAGTCGATGTGAGCAGGTCTCTACAAAGAAGGATTACAGAAAGTGTTGTCTGTAGAAGAAAACTCCAAGTTGGTCTCATGGATTCACTGAAGTGGTTATCAAAGTGTCCTTGAAAGTATACAAGTATGTATAATAGTGTTGACAACATGACAAACAAATTGAGTTAAACCGACCATACTTTGACAGTGCCATCGAGAGACGCCGACACAACAGCCTTGGACTTGGCATAAGAACAGAGGCTACTGGTTCTTGTGCTAAAACGTTCCTGTACACCATAGTCTCTCATTTCTTCTTGACCTATGTCTACCAAAATGATATCTCGAACAGAACTCGAATGTCCTTGAAATCTCGACTGTCTTTGATAAGTATCGATATCGTATGCATATAGATTCTTATCGCAAGATAATACAAGCAAGTCTTCATCAAAACACAAGGCCCTTGATACTCCTTCTAAAGACAAATCTTCATAACATTGACCATTTCGCAAGTCCCATAACTTTACAGTATGATCTGAAGATGCAGAAACCAACTTGGCTTCATCAAACTGAAGCGCATGAACACTACCCATATGTCCTCTGAAAATGCGCTGACAATCTCGGCTCCTCAAATCCCATAGACGAATAGTACGATCGCTACTGCCACTGACAACAGCATATTGCCAAGCTTGTACTGTGAACAAACCTCCCTCATGACCCCTCATTGTAGTTACTTGTTTTCCAGTTTCCATATCCCACTGTGCTATAGTCTTGTCCAATGAACCACTCAATAAGGAACGGGTACTCAGGTCACCATGAAGTGTTGAAACGCCTGCTAGATGTCCTCTTAGAATTTGGCGACGACGATGAATGTTACTTTGCCAGTCTACATCATAACAAATATCCACTTTTTCGTTTTCTACACATTTCTGGAAAGAGGATAAATCCCAAAGACATATAGTACAGTCACCAGAGCCTGTTGCAAGAATATGGTCAGCAAAAAATACACTATGAACCCAACCAGTATGTCCATACAACATGGCAATTAATCTGTTGCTGGCGAAATTCCACAATAATACTCTTCTATCGCTTGAACCTGTAGCAAGTACATTGAGATCAGGTTGAAAATCGAGCGAAAGGACACCTCCCGAGTGACCACAAAAAGTATGAAGACATATAGAGCTGCTCACTTGTGGGGAAAAGTCTTCACAAGCAGGCTCATTTTCCACGTATTGTTCGCTTGTGTTTAACTTGCGAATGAAATCCTCAAACTTCTTTCCTTCTTTGAAAACAGAATCAAGCTGCAAGTCAAGTTCCTCAATATCCTTTTGAAGAATATCGTCTTTTTCTGAGAGTTGTTCAAGACTCTGAACCAACGCCACTCGTTGTTCTACCAACTCAGTCAGACGAGAATCAACTGACTTTAGTTCAGCGTGCAACTGCCAACGAGTATTGTCCAGTTTCTTTCTCTCATCCAGTAAGCTTTTTCGTTGCTCCGAGAGTTTTTTGATAAGTTTGAAAATATTTCCAAAAGGAGTTCTTTCAACTGATGGATCCATTTGCTCTGGTAAGTCCAAACCCATAAAAGGACTCCTCACATTCAGAAAGAAAAATGTAGGCGCCAATTCAAACGACTTTGAAATGCAACTTGCACAAAACAAATTTTTTACAAACCAGTTGTCAACAGAAAAAGACCTGAACAAGTTATTGATATTTAACAAATTAATGCTTGCTTCAAGTTATCACAAGACTAGTTGCAGTGGTTACAATATATTGGGATGAAAAACGGTTAGAAGTTTGACTGGGATTTCTTTTGAAAATTTTTCTAGACAGCTCACAGTTTTAAGAAACTAGTAGAGCATAAATTTTTAAGCTTATGGCCAAATTCTTTTGTAAATTTTTTGCTGTTTTGGATGCTTTCCTGTTTGGGAGTTCGTAAAGCAACGTTTTGGATGGCTTCCATACGAAACCAAGCTGTTGTTTTTTTCAATAAGCTCAACAATGTCAGTCATTTTTATTCAGTCAACGAGAACGAAACATTTTTCCTGTCCTGTCCAGAAATGGAATTCTATTAAACTCACCCAAAGGAAAGACAGTACATCCACAATTGTCATTAACCAACACTGCCAATGCTACATACCAGCCAAATCCAGACAGTGATAAACCAAAGATTCCACCAGGTATTGTGCTATGAATAACACCAAAGTCTGCAAGTATGTACAAAATAAGCATAATAACAAGAGACGTAAATGCTCCCACTGCTGCGACATGATGTGTAAAGGTTGCAATCCATAAGAAGATGGAATAGATAAGCCAGCCAACTAGGAGGAAACCGAGAGCATGATTTCCTTCATTTCCACCGAACACGTACACTTTTTCACCTTCCATAGTTATAAGAAAGCCCAAGGCAATCCAAAATGCACCAAATGAAGGATATACCATAACACCAAACATATTGTTCGTGAAACAACACACCAGTCCATAGACAAACTGAACAGCGCCGCCATAAAAGAGAGCTTGTGGAGCAACAATCTGTAGGAAAGAGGCTGGAACCAGCTTCAATTGAACCACTGCTAATAGAAAATTAGTTAGACTAAATGCAGCAGTACATAATGCACTAGGATCCGCAATCTTTCTTTGCTTATTAGCTTTCAACTCTGCAATAAGTTCTAAAAGTTCTTCTCTCAAATCTGTTACTCCTTCAAAGAACAAAAAGTAACCAAACTGTAGAGAGAACTCCAAGGGCTAGGCTTACCGTTGCATTTATTATAAGGTGCAATATCAGCTGCAGACGTTTCCATTGACTTTATTCAACAAAATAATATGGACAAATGGATAAAATATTCTTAGGGCTTTTAAAATTGATCTGCATTTCTACCCTGCGAAATTCGCCATCTAGAAGTGAGCAGAAATGGATTCTGGATGAATATGCTCGTGGATGTCTATTTTCTTCGCAAAGACTATTGCATTAAAACGAGATTCAGCCTTCAAATTTCTTATTGATAAAGAGATTTATAAACTTGTCAGTGCATTCATATATTATCTCGAGTAAATAAAAAGAGTCAGGAGAACGTATGGCCGATACATACTCAAGTTTCCATAGTACAACTTCAATGATACTATGGGCCATTAGAGTGTTCCTGTATCTCGTGATTCTAAGTAAGAACTTTCTGCTTTTCATTAACTCAAATGATTCAAGAAAAACATGACAATAGCACTTTCTTTGGCGATAGTAGGAATGATAGGAAGGAAGGAAAATAATGTTTGGAACACTACTCTTCCTTGGAATCATACATTTGTGGACTTTTGTGCCTATGAAGCATCTACGATTAATCCTGGAGATATATCTGTAGGAAACCATCATACATGCCCGTACGTTGTGGCGCTGTCAACAGTTAGTTCCATATTTTATCTAACTCTGTTTGGCCTTACCGTCATGGAATCATGGCAAGTATTCCTCAGCAAATACTGGCCAATAGAATTTCTCCTGGACCTATTTTTTTTCTGGTGGTGGTAAGAATACATTTTTTTATTTATTTATCCACTCATTAAAGCAATGTTTGGGCAGGTTGATTGGTGCCGTGGTGGTAACATCCCAGAGACCAAGTTCAATAATCTCAACAATGTTCAGTCTGACGAAATTCATTCATGGAATTGAAGGATTGGCATGGTGCAACTTTTCACTTTGCTTTTTTGCTTGTATCACAACTGTAGTTACTGGCTATTTCACTCTTCTGAAGCATGAGTCATCAAGTAATGCATTTGAAAAGCAAGGACTTGCGATTTGAAGAAGAAAAGGCAAAAGAATTTGATTGAATTTAGAATTGTTAATAAATGTCTTCCTTAATAATTATAAACATGTTAATCTTGTATACAAAACAACTAGCGTAAATCATCATATCGATTAGAGTTCTTAGAAACTAATAAGTTGTGAGTCTGCAGTATGGAACACCTAAGTAATTTCGAGGCTACAACAAATTATTTTTAGATTCAAGAATTAAACAGAAAATAATTTTAGGAAGACCTTGCAGTTTCTAAGGATTCTAAACACGGCTTTATACTTCAACTGTTGAACGAAAGAACAATCTTGTATCAGTTATTATTTAAATGCTCAGAAATTAATTTTTGTTTTTTGCTCACTCGTTTTTGGGCCATTGAGCATTGAGGAGGCTTAATATTAGATTAATATTGCAGGAATATATAGATATATATATTTATTTATGTATGTATTGGTATAAGAAGATGACGAATATTGGAAAATTAAATTTTAATTATTCATAAATTATGTCTACTTTTATTATTTCTTAGATAACTAAGTGTCGATTACTTTTTGTTGTTATTCAGAGCGAAGCTTTTTTGGTAATTTTTTACTCTTTCAGCACATAAGGTATAGTATTATTCAAGTGTTGCAGTCATTTATGAAACTGGGGTTTAAACTTTTAGACTATGGAGTTGAAAGCTAGAGTAATAAGGTAATTTTGTCAAAATCACTGAATGTTTTTGAAAATGGACAGATCATTCCAGTGGATTATTTGATTGTTTATTTACGAAGTCTTCGTTGAGACTCTAGCCAAACTTTTTAACCCATAATTTTTTCTGTTTATTATGGCAAACAGTTTAGCCTTGACTCGACTCCAGGAGGAACATCGCCAGTTTCGCAAGGACCACCCCCATGGCTTCTTTGCAAGACCGTTTGACGAGGACGGTAAGCGCAATTATTTTAAGTGGCGTTGTGGAATACCAGGAAAAAAAGGAGTGAGACTGTCATAGTAACTTCATGTTCTATTTATAAGTGTGTTTTATAGACAGAATGGGAAGATGGAACGTTTCACTTGATTTTGGAATTTTCCGAGGATTATCCAACGAAGCCACCTATTTGTAAGTAGTTTTGGAAGTCAATCGCAATCGTTTGTATTTTACTTTTTCTACATAGGTAAGTTTGATCCACCACTTTTTCATCCCAACATTTTTCCGTCGGGAACGGTTTGCCTAAGTTTGTTGGATCCTTCAAAAGATTGGAAGCCTTCAGTCACAATTAAATCGGTACGTTTTTCTTATGTTTATGCTCTTTTGAGTCTGACTTTGCTTGCAGATTTTGTTTGCAATACAGGAGCTTCTTGGTTCACCGAATTTAGATGACCCCGCTCAAGCCGAACCTTACAGGTTGATGAAGTAAGAGTTTTTACGTTGACTGATGGTATTCGTATTCTAAAGTTTGGTTAGGGAGTCACCGGAAGAATATCGCAAAACTGTTCGTGAAATTGTACGAAAAGGCTTTACTCGTTCTTGAAGAAATTCGTTTTGAAACCTGTCACTGACAATCGCTATCCTAATCTTCCACGTTAACCATATTCTTACAAGTTCACAGAAATATCATAAAGAACATAAAGAGTGCGGATAATCAGCATGTCTTTGTACCTTGTGCAGAGAACAATAATTCAGCGAGTTCGTATTGACAAAATACCACTTTCAAAAGATACCAAGACACGCATCACATGTTGTGTCCATCATCCAAAACCCAAGGTGTGTAGTCTGAAACCTTCTGCAAGGCACGAGTTGCTTTCTCGACTATTTGTTGAAAGTTCACGTCGTACAAAAATGAGAAACCAGAAAACACACCTGTTTGTTCCAGAGCGAAGTTAAGTTCTGCTATGCGCTTTTGAATAGCAGCCTCCACTCCATCTGTTTCGGACATGACTTGTGGCAAGTTGCCTTCCAAAGTCAAAACTTCTATTTCAAACGAAAGTGTCAATAGCTCTTCCAAATCCCTGGAAATATTTTCTATGGATAGATGCAACTAACTCAAAGTTACTCGGATTCTGACAACGCAGAGAAGACTGGTATACCTCAAGGTTGCCCGCATATTCATTCCAGTCACTTGAGTCCGCACCTTGTCTTAACAAGTCCTAACATTTATTGAGAACTGATTCTTTCCAATTTGCTCAACTGTACCCTCAAACTAGTGCCGATATTCTCTACCAACAGGTTTACACGGTTACTAAAGTAAGACTTTTTCTCTTCAAGGGAGTTGCTCATAAAACGAAAGAATAAGAAGTCCCGAAGCTAAAGAAAGAATCCTTTATTCAGTTGGGAGAAATGATCTCACAAACCATCCATTCAAAACATTCCAACACACCGCTTTCTTTATAGACTTTTATTACCGTCCTCTCGAAACTGCCCTCTCAATATCTTTAAACTGTTGCTCTAGCCTTGCCTTGCGTTTTTCTGGGATAGGATATTCTGTACCAAAAGTTGTATAATGCCCAGCCACAGTATTAATAGCAGTATAGATAGTACTAAAAGATGGCGATCCAGCGACGTTTGGATTTCTACGGTAAAAGGAGACAAAGTCACTCATTTGCTTTCTAATTCTTTGAACAGTGCTATCATGTTCAGGAGTATCTCTTTGTAGGTCACAAGCCATTCTCAAACTTTCTACCATATTTCGTACGTCTGCAAATATATCATAAGGGCACATAAGCATTACAACGAATATAAAAGTTACCTTGTTCATATTGCCCAGTCAATTTGAAATTATGCGTCGCTGTCGCAGGAAAAGCAGACAAAAAAGGCGCGATGGAGACCGTCAAGAGACCTTTTATCAAGTCTCTTCGATTGAACGAATATTGACTTGATGAAGAGTTTCGACAACTCCGAATACAAACACAAGCCTGTCGGTGAGTACGAACACGCAGGCAAGGAGACACTTGGATGAAACCCTTGTGACAACCAAAGTATGTCACTCTACTACAACCAAGACTAAAAATTCTGCTATTCACAAAGCAGTCCATTCAAAAATAGAGAACAGATCAAACTCCTAGTGGAGTGAATAATCTTGCGACAAGGCACAAACCACGCAATCTTCAAGAGATGAAGGAATACCTCAAACACATGCGCACCCTCAAGTTTAAGGGATGGATGTGGCCGTCAATTGTTTTCGTAATGAGAAATAAGGAATTCGATTGTTCCATTTGACGACTTTGATATTTCTATTTTCTTCTATTTGCAGCCACTGTGGAATCCTTTTCACTATTTCATAAATTTGTTCTGAAAATTCTTCTTGACTAAACGGAATCATTTCTTGACCTTTCAGTTGCTGTAATAAAAGGTCAAATGGTAAGACTGTCTTTTTTGAAGATATAAAGATAGATCGAATGGCGTCTGCGAGTTTAGGTAGTCTGCTTAATACAATTTGTTCTCGCTGTTGTTCTTTCATAGTAGCTTGCTGTGTTTCTCGACGTTCTCTTTCACGAACTTTCTTTAATAACTTTTCAGAGATGGATGAATCCTTCAAAGATAACTGTGTTGGCTTATTATCGTCGAAGATGTCATCTGTTTTCAGAAATTTTTTCGGTAAAGAGTCATCCTTTCCTTGTAAACTGTCATTGCTTCTCTTAAATGAGAATTGGCTACAGTTTGTTTCGTCTTGTTGGTTATTTTGGCTTTTACAGGGATCATTCGTATCCAGTTGTAGCATCCCTTGTTCGAAACATTCTACCAACTTGCGATGAAGCAATATTCTTCGAGCAGCAATAGCCGTTTTGGCGTTGGTTGCCTCGCCTTGCAAAATGAGTTGAGACACATCGCAGATTATCAATTCAACGTCATCACTTGACTCTTTCCATTTTGAAAGTTTCAGTAAGTCCGGACATAAGTTCGCAATTTGACAAACATGTTTATAATGAAGTGTTCTTTTGAGAGTCCTTTGAACGATAGGTTGGACTCTACTGAAGAGAACCAACTGCCTTCTCGAACGAAGAAGAATCCAAGCGCTTTCTAATCCTTGTAGAACATCCAACAAGAATGAAAAGTGGTCAGGTAGAAGGCTTTTATCATATTTTATCCATTCATTGTTATTATCTTCCTGTGTCGAAGAAGAATAGTTTGAACAATTGACATGCGCAGTAGCTTCCGGTGCCTTGTGGATATTCCATGAAGACGATGATGGGTTATTCACCGGTTGTTGTATCGAATAAGATGGAGGAGTTTCAATGAATGGAATCCCTTTTTCACAGCTCTTTGTATGGGGTAGTTGATCTATTTGAGGTTTTTTCATTGAAGAAGGTGAGTGTTTGTCCTCCTTCTCATTCCAAACTGTCGGAATACTATCTGGAAAGCTATTTTTCTCGTGGTCTGGTTGTTCTTTTAAGAATATTTGGATCTTTTCTTGTGATGCTCCATTAGGGTCCTTGTGACAAAGTTTGGCAACTTTCTCTTCACCCTTTGCAAGGGTGGGCTTGCTTTTGTTTTCCGCAAGAAAAGACAACTCTCGAGGTTTCTTGGTCTTGAACGCTTCATTTATGTACATTTCAAATATCAAAAGATGTTGTTTCACGAATAACAAACTCCAAATGGGAAGAAAGTATGAAGAGAAGAATCGCTCAATGAACAGCAAGTAACGATTGCTTTTGGTGAAATTTAAAAATTTTTTTTCTGAGGGAGTGGGAGGAGGAGGGAAGAGGGGGAACTCTTTGGCGCCAAAGGGTGAAATCTTCCTCGAGTCGTCTCTCATCATACTCTTATGAGATTGAAATGTTTCAATTTGGCTCCTAGTGAAATTTTCACGCGAATATCAAATGGATAAAGAAGAATATCATCTATTTTCCTGAAACAACAGGAGTGTATGCATCGAAGCTCTGTGATAACCAACTCTACATATTGAGAGAAATCATGAAATGGATGAGTTTTGACCAAAAACAAAAAAAATGGAAACCCTGAAATTTCGCATTTATCCATTAGGAAGAAAGATGTTGGCTGGTAAGAGACCGGGACCTACTCGTCTAGCACCTGAAGTAAACCGCATCTTGTACATTAGGTACTGTTGGGAATTGTTGATAATGACTCTAGTTGAAGAAAACCTAGGAACCTTCCTTTTAAAATATCGGCGGAAGAAATGTACGATATTTTTGGCAAGTTTGGGGCTGTAAGGCAAATAAGGCTAGGAAACGCGCCGAATACTCGTGGAACTGCTTTCGTCATATATGAGGACATTCTTGACGCCAAAAATGCACTGGAGCACTTGAGTGGGTTCAACGTTGCCGGGCGATACCTCATTGTGAGTCAAAAGAATGGTTGAACTCGGAGACTAACTCTGTTATGGATAGGTGCTGTACCATCAACCCGACAAAATGAAAAAGAATGAAGATAATAAAGTGTAAAGGGTTGCATGGAAGGGGTACAATGGCTTGGATAGAGCCGATTATCGGAGAGTTTGAAGTGCTTGCCTTTTGAAACAATCTCAACAGGTGTTGACTGTAGGAGTCGTGAGGTGTCGAAGTTGGAATGAATTCACTCTTTGTCATGATCTCTATACAAATGTCTTGTGAGTAGGAAGCAGCTTTATGTATGTAATAAATGAGAGATATTTTGGAAACTAATGAATTGCAACTCGTCTTATTCGATTTTGGTGAGATGCAACAACCCCTTCCTTCGAAACAAGACCCCTTCTATGTGGTCCGTGATCAAGTGAAAGAAAGCCTTGTTTCTATTCGTGTAAGTTACCCAAAAATAGTCAGATATTTTGAAAGACTGTATTCTTAGGAAATTTTTCAACAGTGGAAACGTTTAATATTCACTACCAACACTGCTACAAATGAAGAGTTTGACTTGCTTCATAACCAGTTACAGGTAAGTACTGAAAACTGAGAATTTTTGTAGAACATAACTTGTTTGCTGAGACTTGTGTATGTCTAGAACTCGCTTCGAAGTGTGTATTTAGATTTACAAGAGTTGCAAAAGACGGTCCAGTAAGAATCTCCGGATAGGTTGAGGATACTTGTTTTACCATTTCTTTTTTAGTGTTGTTGAACGAAATCCTGTCAAGTTCCATTTGTCAGAACTCGAGATTGACTCCAGAAAGCGTTTTGTGTCGGATACTATGAAGGAACTGGAAACTATCAAGTCTACTTTACAGAGTCCACGCACACTGCAAAAGTTGGAGGAGGATAGGAAGAAATCATCTAGTGGAGGTTCACTTTTAGTGAAGAAAAATTTAGTTTACGAAGACGAGAGAAAGTCAAGAGCAGCCAGAAACATGGAACGTTTGAATGACCAGTATATTCAAGATGAGGCTTTAAGACAGGAAAACCTTATTGAACAACAAGATAGTAGTAAGTTGGTTTATAAGCAGAAGTAAGGAAGGCAATACTAACTGGTAATGAGGTTTGGATGAGTTGGCCAGCGCAGTGATAAGGATCGGCAACATGGGAAAGGAGATTCACGAGGAACTGAACGAACATAACCGAATGTTGGAAGAAGTGGGAGGACGTTTTGATTCCACTCAAGGAAGGTTGCAGCTTCTACAAGGGAGAATATCACGATTGGTTCGAGAAACCGGAAGAGGACAATTTTGTTTGATTATTGGACTTTTCTTTTTATTTATTATCCTTACTATGCTAGTGATTGGTCTGTAAAGTTGATAAATACAAGTAGATTAAAAATTATGAAGCGATTGAGATCGATCATAAAACCGATGGGGTACCAAATGGAGGAAACAGCGACAGAGAAAAGCTGGTTCAGTACGACTTATGAAGAACTGGAAACAATTCTATTTTCAGTATGTCGTTCACAAGACGAACTTGCTGTTCAGTTGGCTTCGTGTATGGAAAGATTGGTAGAGGTATATCTTGAAGCTTGATAGTTTGTATTTGCTGGTAATTCGTGTTATAGTTGGAGAAGACAGAACAGAGCATAGTTGTGGGAGAAGGCTTAGAAAAGCTTACCGACGCTAGACAACTGGTGAATAAAACAAAAGAGAAACTCGACAATATTGTTAGTAGACTGGAAAGGCTACGTCTTTTCACCAACGCTCAATTGGTTTCAAAGAGAGGATAACTATATTCACTTGAGTATATCAGCTTTTTCTATATGAAGAGCCGAATATCTAGAAAGCCCAAAACAACATCGTTTCATTTCCATGGAAGACTTGGGCAGCCATCGCAAAGTAAAGGTTGTAGAGCATATATAGATATAGATATATATATATATTTGTAAAAGTGTCATATACAAAGACTTCAAAAAATTTATGCAAAAGAACTCCGACTCAGAGGCAAACCAAACGCTGCCAGCTTTTCGTGGAACTTTTGGAGCAGTCCTACGAAGTATTTTCCCGAGTCTGAAGTGGTTTTCCTCCTATGATTGGTTCCAGTTCATAACTGATGTTTTTGCTGGACTAACAGTAGGTCTAGTATGTTCTGTGTAAGTGTAGTATTATTGCAAAGTAGACGTCCTGATTGGAAGACCCTTATTTAGTCAGGGTCTGAGCTATTCTCTTCTCGCAAGATTGCCACAGTCCGTAGGGTTTCATTTTGCTGTTCCTATGTTTGTGGAAGCGTTACTTTCCAGTTCTAGAAATCTTATTGGTGGTCCGGTTGCTTTGGTTTCGTTAAGTGTGGGTCAAAGCATAGCTCCAGAAACGACTTCTTCAACTGCTTTAGAATTGGCTTCTATCTATTCTATATTTGTTGGTATGGTTTTGATACTTTTAGGTTTATTAGGTGGCGGTCATTTTGCCAACTATATCAGTCGCACTGTCATCTTAGGTTTTACTTCTGCAGTCTCCATTGTCATTATTTGTAATGAGTTGGGAGCTCTTTTAGGAATATCCGTTATTCAAAGTGCATATGCCGTAAGTTTGTGTTTGATTGATATATAGTGTTGGTTTGACATTATTGGAATAGTGGAAGGTGGCAAGCTTTGTATTTCAGAATGTCAGTCAGCTCAAGATTCCAACAACGATGTTGTCTATTTGCGTTTTGATGTACTTTTATGTATCCAAGCACTATTTTTCTTTATACTTGCAGCGTTTTTGGCAATCTATTCATAGTTCTATTTGGTACTCATTCTTGATGGTTGGAATTCTTGTAGCGATGACTTTGTTGAATTCTGCCACCCATTTTTCCTCAACTTTTGGGATGGAAGTGGTTGGCTCTGTTCCACAAGCTTTTCCCAAATTTCGGTGGCCACGAATGGAAATGATAAGAGAAGCATTTCGTATTCGTACTATAGCAACTCTAACACTGTTGGTTTTGATTGAGAGGTGAGAGTAGCTATTCATTTTGAATGGAAAAGTTGAGAGATACAATATGAAAGTACATCTATTGCGTTATCGTTGGCATCCAAACAGCATTACAAGGTCAATCTGAATCGCGAAGTAACAAGTCTAGGATTGGCGAATTTATTTGGAGGTTGGGTGCAATGTTATCCATTTGGTAAGAAGTATCAAAGGTTATATATATGACTATAGTTTCTGAAAGATATTTCAAGCTGCTAGTTTTTCTCGTTCTGCTGTAAATGCTAACGCTGGAGCAAAGACTCCAGTTGCACAAATGATCGCTGCCCTTTTCCTTGCTTTTGCGTCTTGGGGACTTGCCGAGTTCCTTCGTTATGTTCCTAAATGCCTTTTGGCTTCCGTTATATGTATCTCCGTGTCTGGATTGATTGAATGGGAAGAATGGATGCGACTCTTATATTTGGATGCTTGGGAGTTGGCGATTTTTACTGCGTCATTTTTGGCACCTTTGTTGTTGGGTTCCGTATGGGGTCTAGCGTTTGCCATATTTACATCCTACGTTCCCATTCTATTCCAACTTTGGCGGTATGAGTTTAACTAGTGTAAGATTCGATATTCATTGTATTAGGATGTTGGATGTCGTCGATATGAGGAATAAGGATTGGTGGCGGTGCTGCTTTCGTGTGTCGAAAGAAGAACAACAGCATGTGATTCGATTACCCAAGTTGTTGTTTTTTGGAAATGCTTTGTCATTGGTACGATGCATTGAAGAAGAATTGGAAAATGTAAGAACAGGAGAGAAAAGGATAGCATTGAGACTTTTCACATTTTGGGTTTATGCTTGTTGGATAGGTTTACATGGAAACGGATGATTTTGTTGCATTGGATGCGTCCCTAGTCGTGTATATGGATACGATATCGTTGGATAGTTTGGAGAATTGGTTACAATCAGATGAGAAAGCGAAAAACAGGTGCATCATACGGAATTTACCGTCGAGTCTAATGACTCGAGTTTATGATGGACGCAAGTTGCATAAACTGATCAATATTTTGGTACAAGCACCTAATGAATATGAGGAACTTTTAGAAGCTTAATAAAAGCAACTGAATAACAAAGTTTATTCAACTACCCGTTCTTTTTCAGCTTGGGAAGACCACCTTTTGTTGTCGCTGAAATATGGACAAGTACTATTACACCACAGAGGAACAAAGCTTCACCGACACTTTATGGTTGGCAAGATAAGTATACTCAATCTTGAGACTTGCGTTATCAAAGGGACCAGCGTTGGCACAGACTTGACTTCCGTCGCTGTAGGAAGAAACACTCAAACGTTCCAGGAATGGCGACAGCTGAGGGTTGTTATCATGTTCTATGTAGTTGGTTGCTATGACACAACAACATAGTAGTAAGCAGCACAGGAATATCACAAGTCGACGATACTTCATTCCCTTGAATTCCAAACCACGAATCATTAAATATAGCACATTTATGAAATTAGCAAATCATCATCATCGATAAGAGCATGGAGGTGCAAAGCTCTCACAGTACAAAAAGCCTCAAAAGAATTGGATTGTTCTCATTGACTTGCTTTCAAAGGCTGTGCCACATAAATATGACTAGGGTCACTGGGATCTACGAATGCTGTAAAACGTTCTTGCACTTGTCGGAATATCTCGTTGTTGACTTGCATAGTAGTTTCTCGTTGACGGTTTTGTCTATGAAGCGATAATAAAGTGAAAAAAATCGGTAGAAACACCCCAACTCCACCTTGGTAAAAGGAAAACTTGCAGTGTACAAGCCCCGAAAAAGGTTGATCATCAAACTGTAAATATTAGCAACACAAACAAAAAGGTCGGCGACTATAGAGACTTACTGGTTGTACATCACAAGAAAGGCTATTGGCAGATAGTATCGGCTGACACAACCACTGAGTCATAATAGCAACGGAATGAAGAAGAAAGTACTACCTGATGGAATTTCTCGTTCCATATGCCGTAAAGGGGAGCCTCAAAGGATTGCATAGCAGCGTGTTGGTCAATCCTTTTGTCAATGAACACCAACCGTTGAGTTGTCAACACCAAAACCCCATCACTCCTTGTTGAGTTGCACCTAGGAAAATAAAAAACTTGAGGAACATAGTGTGAAATAACCAAATACCTTTCATTCTTTATTTCACAAACGACTCCCTTTCTGGATAATATAAAAAGTTCGTTTTCGTAAGGTAAGGGAAGCCATTCATCCTGTACACGTATCAGAGGCACATTGCATGCCATAGGTACAACTAGAATTGAAATAGATAGGATGGTCAAGAACTGTGTAGAGTGTTGGTCTGTTTACTACAAAATGACAAAGTGAAAAGGAAACTTCATTCACAAACTGACAAATATATATATATCATCTTGATAGCTAAAGGAAATATAATGTATAGTCTCTGTTTTATTCAAACAATATTCGGACAAGAGAAACAAGGAAAGCTCAACAACTCAATCTATTTTAGGTGCCAAATAGTATCTCAAGTATCCCATCTGCTCACCAAACTTAAACTCTATTTGCAAAGGAAAGTCTTTGCTGAGTGAAAGTGTAACAGTGTCACTCAAGGGGGCTGCTTTGGCAAAATAATTGAGATACCGTATAGAAAAAATCATATCTACAGGCTCCTCAAGAGATATCTTAACGACTTCTGTAGGCTTATCAACCACGGAAGAAGGATGAAGACAGACACTTCCCTTGCCAATATCACCGTCCACTTGGAACTTGACACTTTCTTTCGAGACTGATATTCTTACAGTATCACCCATCACCCCTAGATCGGAACAAATACGCCTATACTCTGAAGAAGGCATTTCCACAATTGCACTATATTTTGTGTCCGGAATACCCAAGTGTTCCGAGTCTATATCCATCAGTTTCAATTCAAACTCAGAAAGACGGTCTTGACTCTGGCTTTCAAAGACAAACTCTGCTTTATCCCCTTTCTCATCTGCTCTAAGAGTAATACTGTCGTCGTTACCTGCACACTTCAGTATCTTGGTTAAGGAAGCCAAGTTGATACCAAGGGAGACTGCTCTTTGACAACGGAACATTTCGAATCCTTGTGCATGAAGAACCATGGAAACCAAAGAGACGTGAGAAGAGTCCATGGCCTAAAAGCAAAGCGTAAAAACTCTTTGTAAGACAATATGACTCAAAATACCTGTAACGAAAGACCTTCAGGCGAGCAGTCAAAATTTGCATCTGTAACCAAGTCCTTTATAGCTTCCAAGATCTTTTTTATAAGGCTGGCTTGAGTCAAACGTGCTTCAAACTGGAAAGAACTTAACGAATTTTGTTCTTCTTTAGAAACCATGGAGCCCAAACAATTCTTCAATCCCAAAGTTCAAATTGTTGAGTTGGAGCCGCCTTTCAATTCCTATTTCCCTCCACTTTTGAAATGGCGGGCTGTCTTGAAGACGATGAATTTCCACCGTCGCAAATACATGATTAGGATAGACTATATTTTTATCAGAGTGACAAGGAATCAAGTAGATATGTGAAATAGCAATGGATTATATATCTCGCCCCTATTGCATCAAGTCTTGATTTATTTTGTTCCACAAGGCTTCTGCAAGCTATATAAAGTCTCTAAAAACTATGAAAAAAAGAAATTTTAAAGTGAATAACCAGCAACCATAGAATGATATAGCAAAGATGCGAGAATTTCTCTTCTCAAAATGATTTATTTGATTTTTATGTAAAATTGATTGTTCATCGTAACAGTCCACTTTTGTAGCTTTAGCTGTAATGATACATGTCAAGTAGTAAACTCTACAGTATTTTACCATGAGTGGAAGTAAAGGAGATAAGATGTTGCAAAACTGGAAATTTTCTTCCTCAGGCGTTCCCGTAGAACAGATAGAAAGATTGAAGACTATTGCCTGTTCCTTTGGAGCTACTTGGAAGGAGTTTGACTCTAGTGTTTCCGTATTATTGTGCACTAAAGTAGGATCTCCTAAGACACGAGCGGCCCAAGAGCTGGGTATTCCTTTGGTGCATCCAGATTGGTTACTTTCCTTTGATAAACTTGAGAGGCCGTTGGATGCTTTTTCTGATTTTCGTCTCAAACCCTTACAGGGCATATTTATTAGTGTTACAGGGTTATCTCTGGAGACTAGAAGAAAAGTAGAACAAGTTTGTATTTCTTTAGGAGCAGCTTATTCGGGTGACCTCTCCAAGACTTGTACTCATCTTATAGGAATAGAACCCAAAGGTTTGAAATATGAATTTGCGTTAAAGTGTAAGATGCACATAGTTACCATTGAATGGCTCTGGAGTTGTCAAAAATACGAAAAACTTTGTGATGAGAGCCAATACAAATTGACAACACAGACCGGAGTTAATAAAGTAAATCCTGTGGATTCTGTGTCGAATGCACCGCAGACGAAGAGACCCAGACAGGCTTCAGTAACGCAAGTAGATGATTCATCCATGTCTTGTTGTATAACAACATCTTTCATTCTTCTCTCTTGTCGTATTTATTTATTCTGTTGTACGGAAGAAGAAGTAAAACGTGGAACTCATTTATTGCATTTGACAGGAGCCACTCGAAGTACTTGCCTATTTTCTCCTTTGACTCACATCGTATTTGGTTCGGACCGACATGTTTCTGAGTTGCATCGTTATCGTGAGTTGATTGTGTCTCATTTTCATTCCAATGTGCGTTTTGTAACCTTTGAATGGCTCAACAGTTGTGTGAAGAATGGTCAACTTTTGTATGATGGCTCTTTTCGCGTATCTTTAGATGATTTATATCCCATGGAGACATTTCCTTGCTATGGAGATGGCAGCTTGTTACCAGAACAAGGCAATACAGCAACATTGGCAAACAGTAAAAAAGACAGGACAAAAACTGTACAACAGCAGTTTTCTAGTTGTATATTTCGCGGTCTTCGTTTTCGTTTTCATTCTTCAGTGTTCAGCATGGAAGGATTGGAACAGGAGCTGTCCAACGATATTCAGCAAGAACAGGGCGTTTTGGTTCAAGATAATGGAGTTCCAACCCATCTTATTGTTCGCCATGGAGCTGTGGACACGTTTCCTGACAAGATTTGTATTGTCACTAGTTATTGGGTTAAAGCATGTTTACGTTTTCATCGTTTGTTGTCTCCTTGTATTAGTGTTTTATTCCGACCCTTGCAATGGCGGTTACCTTTGGAGACTATGCTTCCTTGTAAAATAACTTTGTCAGGATTCCACAATAATTTAGAAGAAGATTGCACCAAGATTGACTACAATCGAGAATATATAAAGGAAATCATTCATTTGATTGGAGCATGCTATTTAGAACGACTGTCGAGAAGGCAAACTACTCACTTGATTGTCCAAGCTGCGAATAGTGAGAAATATCAAATGGCATTGAAATGGGGAATTCCAGTAGTTCAGTTGGAGTGGTTGTTTGCTTGTTTTCAAAGTGGAACCAGAGTGCCTGTTGATCGCTATCGATTCTCAGAGAAAACGATTGTTCCTAGTTTGTCAGAAAATATGGATGTGCAAAGTAGGTCGTTGAGTGAGGGTACGATTGCGGATAATTCTTATTCCATGAATGAAACTATTCTTCATGGAAAGTGCAGAGAGTATACAGTCGTTGAAGATAAACAGGAATCAATGACCCATCCATTACATCTCTTCTGTGAAGCATCCAATGTATATGGCAATGGAAATGTGATGCACCAAAAGAACATTCATATCGACCAAAATGAATGGGTCTTGAGAAAGAGGCCTTATTGGAGTGATGAAGATAAATGGGATGATGCAGAGGGATTGTCGCAAGTAGTTGTTTTTGAAGATAAAGATTGTCTTCCTTGTGTAGATGATGTGAAGAACACAAAACCTGATTAAATGAAAGGAAGAAGAATGAGAATGGCCGTCCATTTGTGTGATGATGATCATTTATATCTGTGAAAGAGTGAATGGCTATCTTAATAATTGTTTCCAAAGAATGATAGTTTCTCATATTGAGAAGAGGACATGCAAAGTTACAATACTAGTGATGAATTGGAAGAATTGAAGCTTTTTGGATATTCATATGAGTAAAGTACCTATTCTACAAAACAATATACTTGTTCTTCATGATCGAATCATATCAAGTTACTGCGCCAGTGTAACAAATGGAACTCGAGGAATTCCACAAAAAATGGCTTTCGTTTGTCATTTGGTGAATGCCAAGTCTGTGGGATTTGTTGGATAAGCAACTCGATTCCAAACTTTTCCACGCACTCAAGAATAGGGAAAACAACAACTTGTTCCATTACTCCTTGTTTTACAGAGAAGAAGTGTCAAAGATTTGCTTTTTCGGAGATCGTTGGGGAGACTCATCACAAACGTACTTTGTTCAGGTGTTTCACAACTCGAATGAGAGAACTGTTGAAGAGGTCGATATTATTGATTGGAATCAAGGATTGCAAAAAGTAGAATCAAAGAGGAAACATACTAAACTGCAGCATAAGCTTTCAGAAGAGTGTGCGGCAGAAGAGTTTGCAAAGGCAGACTTGAGACGTGGAGTTTGTCGTTTATTCATACAACATCACAACTTTGCTTTCATACAGAAGCAAGCTCAAGTATTGTGGAAATTGTTCAGAATTCGTCTCGATAAAAGTTCTTGTTCGGCTAGTCGATGCTTTGAAGGAAAACCTAGTGTTCAGTCTTTTGAGGAGATATACAACAAGTTTGTGTTGGATGTAGTCGGCGAGCTTTTTGGCTCTTTCGTTTTGAAAAAAGCCTGTTTGTTGACCCATCTTTGGATAGTGAACGAAGTTTTAACGGGAATTGGGGAAGAACTGGAAGTAACACGAAGGAAGCATAGAGAATTCACCCAACAGTTAACTCGTTGTCTGGCAGTATATATGTTTGATAAAGAAAAGCGCATTAGTCCTATTGGAGGAAGGCGATGTATGCAAAGGGAGTTTTCTCGAATTCATGTGTACGGACGATATATTCCTACTGGAGTGAGTGGTAGGAGACGAGGAACTGGTCGTTATGTAGTACGAGGATATCTAGTAGAAGAGGCTTGGATGAAAGACTTTTGTGAAATTTTGAGAAATGATTTTGGTATTATTGTCCATCTTTCTACAGAAGACAAGTTAGACTATCGTGATCGTTATCAAGTGACCAGTTTTCCTCATTGCAACAGTAGTAGTAGTAGTTCATATATGTCGCATTGGGCTGAACTCCATTCGGAACTGGAAAAGTATAGAGACAAGTTGGATATGTATCTTGAAAGTCGATTCGGATTGGATTGGAAGTCTTTCTTTCGTCAAGTGCTTCAAAGAGTACATATACGTTGGTTGAAAAACTGTGAAGAAGAAGAAAGAAGACGACTAGCTCTGATTGCAGAAGAATATCTGTTCTGGAAGAGATTACAAATGGAAATAATCAACAAGTATTTATATTTAGAAAATTGTGGCTCTTTGCAACAGATTGGAAGTCTCCGTGCTTTTCAACATTGTGAATATTTATTATATTCTGTTGAGTTGCCAGCAGAATTGCAAGAACGAATGGAAAATATTCGACGAAAAAGAAATCAACTATACAAGTTTACACTTTCAAGTATCGAAATCACTAACTAATGGAAATGAAATAAATGAAATTGTGAAATAGATGCTAGAATAGCTGCAAATAGCCAATATTGGCGACACTGTATTCCAAACCAACATTTCCAAGACAGGACATTCCAATTGAGCACATAATAATATTGAATGGGTTGATGGGATGTTGTTTTCCATACAATCCCTGAAGTCTTCGAAAGATAGAATGGTAACTTTTTGAGTATCTCCGACATGTCGTTTGCGTTCTTTTATGAAAAACTGAGAAGACAATTTTAGTTTCCATTGAGACTTACCTGATGACTTGATAATATAGCTTGCTGTAGCTGTTCCACTGTCATTCCGAAATCATGAAATCCTTCTTTGAAAGAACATTGACTATCCCATCTAGTTTTAAGTATATGGAGAGTGATATTATACAGTTCTACTAGCATTCGATTCGATGAGTTGTCAGGAATACATTCTATACTTCCTATCATTATGAGGCCTTCCTTACACGTGGTTTGGTAAATACTGGTCACGTTTATATTAGGATGACAAAAGTGTTCTCTACCACTTGTTAGTTTTCCACAATCACTGTGTATATCTGCAAATGAATAACTTGTTGAGGAAAGAATCAGACAAAATAGGATGAATAACATAAGTATACGTAAAATGGCAACAATAGTTTTGAAAGTAGGCGATATCCATTTTGGTCTGGTTCGAATTTCGAAAGTTAATTTTCTAGCTACTTTTGAAAATATTGGTTGTTTCTTCCTTTCATACTGGGATTGTCTCTTCAAGAATACTGAGGGATATTCCCATATATCATTTATCTTCCTCGTAATGTTATCTGTATTTCTCGAATTCTCAAGTTCACTTGTATTTCTTTCCAATCTTGTACAATATTTCAATGGATAATGGCTATACATCTCCGAGTAAGAAACAGTATTCTCGTGTTTCGAACTAGGTAAAGGAATAGAAATTCTCGCAGGAGTTGGAATCATGTTACATTCATCTCTTACTCTAATATTGCTATTCAACCTCTTTAAAAGTCGAATATCCTCTGGTGTCACAACCTGGTAGGGACTTTTCTTTTTCTTTGCAGGTGAAGCCATGAATGGAAACTCAAATGAGCCAAGGAAATCTGTTGTTCCACGTCACTCCCACCCATGGCGGGAATTCTCATTGGGAACCTCATGCAAGACTATTCTCTATTTCGAAACTCACATCAATCATGGAGAGACAACTATTATATTCAAAAAACATTGTAACTATTCGTATCTGCTTGAATCGTGCTTTTATATTGAAGGCATCTCAACTTGTCTTCTTCCATTGGATTTCCTCGAATCTCTCACCATCATTCATCATTTATTTGTTGGCTCATAACATGATGGGTTGGAATTATGTCTTATTCTCTGTTGAAGAAGAAATGCGTTGCAAGTCAAGTTTGTTCATTCACTGCAACACAGAAGTATCTCCTCTCTCAGTAAAGAGAAACAACTTGAGTGTAAAATCATACGGTACTTCTTGTTCTGTCTCATGGAGTTTTCCCTTGAGGAAGAGAAGTCGGCTGTTAGTTACTTGTTGGAAGGCCCTCCCCCACTTTTATTGGAAAACGACCTTGGTTGCACATCTACAGAAAGATACTTGTCATCATGGACCTCTTCACGGTTTTGACTTTTCTTCAAAAAGTGAAGAACAAAGGAATCCTTCACAAAGTCTTTGTCTGGATGAAAGCTTACTACACTGTGAGGGAACCTTGTGTGGTAGCAGTGGTAACAGAAATGAGTCGTTCGTAAAGTTCTTAATATACCAGTTATTTCCAAAGAATATTGCGGACAAGTTGGAAACTTTTCGAATTTCTTTAGAAAGCGATATCCGCTTGCCTTTATTTGCAGCTTGTATATTTATTGTAGCTTTGGTGGGACGATACGTTTTTCGTGTTAATAAGTCTTTCGAGACACTATTAGTCGGAACTTGTTTCGCTATTTGTGGACTGCCTGCTTTGGACGATACAGTTATATCCTTGAAAGCCCGAGATATTAATATCGATGTTTTGATGACTGCTGCAGCATTAGCTTCTTTTTTTCTAGGATCCATATTTGAAGGCACTTTGCTAGTTCTTCTCTATACATCGTCACATATAGCAGAGAGAAAAGTTCAGCAATTTGCGACAAAAAGGTTGGACTCCCTTCGAGATCACATTCCTCAGACTGCTTTATGTGTTGGAACCAGGGACAAGTTGTATGACGTAGGTCTTTTTTTGTAGTATAAATAATATACTCTAAAGTTGTTCAAGTCACCTCGTGAAGTAAGTGTTTCACAAGTGAAACCTGGAGATTGGATTTTGGTTAGAGCAGGTGAAATAGCTCCTTGTGATGGTATTGTAAAGAAAGGCTCAGCCTTCGTGACAAGAGAACATTTTAATGGAGAAACTTTGCCATCTTCTGTTGGTGAAGGAAGTGAAGTACTATCAGGCAGTCGAACGCTAGATGGCTCGTTAGTTTTGGAAGTGTCTAGAATGAGTAGCGAGTCTACTCTACAGCGGATTCTTCTTCTTATTGCTGAAGCAAAAAAGAACCGCCCTCCTATCCAAGTTTGGATAGATCGATGGGGAAGTTTGTATTCAAGGGTAGTCTTATTCATATCTTTTTGTATTATAGTTTTTTTGGCTCCTTTAAGTAGACTCTTTGGAAGAAGTGTAATTACATTTTGGGGTTCTGGGGGTTCACTATCGAGAGGTTTAGGGTTTTTAGTAACTACAAGTCCATGTGCACTAGTCATAGGTGCTCCAGTTGCCTATCTAAGTTGTCTAAGTGTAGCAGCCTCTCGTGGAGTTTTTATCAAAGGTGGTGCGAAGGCTATTGAAAATGTTTCAAGTTGTAGTCATTTTGCATTTGATAAGACGGGTACCTTGACTATGGGGAAAGTGCACCTTGTGCGTATCATGACATATTCTTCGTATTGCTGCCAGCCAGAAATTGTATGGAATGTATCTCAAATACTTCACGAGTATAATAGTAATATCTCTACACGGCAATACTCGTAAGTATTATTATTGAAACATGAAACATTCTAAGCACCATATGTTAGTTGTTTTTCCAATAGTGTTTGTCAGCATGTAGGATTAGAAGAAGCTCTTATGTTAGCTGCATCTTTGGAAAGGGGTACAGTTCATCCATTTGCCAGAGCTTTACAAGCTGCAGCGGAGAATGCAAAACTCTCCCTGGATATTCCAAGCGACTATCAAGCTATTTCAGGTCTCGGATTATCAGGAACTTTTCGATCGACGAACGCATACAGAAATCCTCATGATTCTAAAGAACGACAGGAGAGAAAGGTTTGGTTTGGCAGGTTGACATATATTATGGAATATCTTTCCCTGGAACATAGTTGTTTGACTTGGTTGGAAAGCAAGTTGAAGGAAGCTGGGAGTCGTGGAGAATCAGTTGCAGTACTTGCTGATTCTTTTGGAAAGATTGCAGTATTTTGTTTCGTTGATCAGCTGAGACCAGAGACAGCTGAGGCATTATCGAGCTTACAAAGAGATGAAGCACGTATTACAATTGTAACTGGAGACAGTTTGGCAGCCACGAATGCTATTATTGAATGGTTACCTTCAATAGAGAACATTCAAATTGTTCATTCTTTGAGTCCAAAGTCAAAGTTGGACTGGATTTCTGAATGGAGCTTGAAGGTATTTTGAATTATAGTTATTTCGAATACATAGACTCATTTTGTTTTGAAGAGTGGTTTGGCTATGGTTGGGGATGGAATGAACGATGCTCCTGCGTTAGCAGCTGCCACTACAGGCATTGTGTTAGGACTTGCTAGTGCCACTGCTGTCCAAGCTGCGGATATTATTCTTGTACAACCTGATTTAACTAATATAGTTTGGTTGTGGAAAAAAGCAAAATGTACAAAGCGCATTGTAACCCAAAATATAATATTTGCGTTGTTTTGTATGATAGTTGCTTCTTCTGCCTCTGTTGTAGGTACTATGCCTCTTTGGTTGGCTGTTATTGTTCATGAAGGAAGTACAATTCTGGTTGGCTTGAATGGATTGCGTTTGTTGAACGATAACTTTGATAAATGGTGAAAATGATGAAAGAGAACAATAAAAATGTCATTGGTCACATAATCAATTTGTCGAATCTTCCTTCTTCTGTGAGACATTTGGATGCGACTTACTCTTTCGAAGCGTTGGAGAATAGCTTTTGCTTCAGCTTTTGTTCATGGAATTCACTTGACAGTTATTTATATCGCTCCCAGTTTATTATTATCACCGGAGAGAAAACAGCTTCATATATCACTCTCTGAGGCTACAGTACCTCTTAATATTTACAAGTTGTGCAACATCTTGTGCCTTCCTTTTGCTGGACTGGCCGTTGATTATCTAGGCATTCGTCGATGTCTTTTGGTTGGTTTGTTGTTGGGTTTGCTAGGGGGAATATTATATGTGGTTTCTCCTGCCGTTTGGTTGTACATCGCCTTAAGTATATTATTTGCTCTCTCTTTCATGTTGTCGGGAACCAACGTGGTCATCGTACTGACTTCCAGTTGGTTTTCTAAAAGTAGAGGGTTGGCCGTTGGATTGGTCCTTGCTGGATATAGTTGTGCAGCTTCGATAGCTCCTATTGTATTGGGTTACTTGGTCAAGTTATGGAAATATCGATTGGCGTACTTGTCCATATTGATAGTATATTCTATTTTTGTGTTACCTGTTGCTTACAAAGTACTTGAAGAGAAGAAATGGGTAAAAAACTATGTCGAGTCGCTTCCTGAAGAGCATCTACAACGTGTGGATATGGAGGAGTTTTCAAGACAAGATTCTCCTGTTCCTCCTAGAGAGATGAGTTCGTTATCGGAACAAGTCAAGTTGTCAGCGCGCAATAATCCTTCTATTCATGAGAGTCGTTTGTGTTTATCTTCAGTAGAAAACACAAGCCCATTTTGGAGTAGAAGTTACTTGAGACAAGTGCTACGAGAGACTGTTTTTTCAAGTCGTTTTATGGCTTTGGCTATTCTTTATTTTACTTTACAGTTTGCGCTAGGTTTTGTTTATGAACATTTTGTAATCTTTTTAGAAGAAGACAATCACATGAGATATGAAAGAGCTACTGTTTATTTTGCTATTTTGAATACTTGTGCACTTTTGAGTAAGGTATTGGGTGGTTATGTTGCAGACCGTACTTGTCGTTATAGAACCTTGCTAGTAGCTTCTGCATGGTGTTGGTTGGCGACATTACTATTGTTTCGCTTATCAGGAAGCGTGAAAGGGCCACATGTTTTGTTTTTTCATCCAGCATCCAGTCACGTTCAATTTGTGGTGTTTTGTGTATTTTTTGGTCTTTCCTTGGGAGTTATATTTAATAGTATTTATGCAATTGTTCCACAAGTGTTGGGGTTCTCTCATTTGGCATTTGCACAAAGCACTTTAGGAGCTTTGAATTTTTTAGGTTCCGCGATGGGTTCTACATGTTCTGGATTGATTCATGATATTTCACATTCTTATCTATTCGCTTTATTTCTGGTTTCTATTTCTTGTTTTCTCATGTTTATGGACTCGATAGCTTTGTATGTCTTGTATCGCAATGGTGGAACTTGGGATGCTGTGGTACAGCAATTGAATGAAGAAGAAGAAGACAACGATAACATGGTCATCGAGCCATCTCCATTGACAGAACATTCATCAAATGAATGGTCTACCAAAGATATAGCTCCATCCATAACAAATGAATAATAAGGAAGCAACAATCACTCTCTGTAAAAGCTTGGCAATCAGTGGTTACCAACCTAATCGTTCCAATAGTTTGTCACACGCATAAAAGAACGAAAATGAGTCATTTCCTCCTTGTATTTTCTATTTTATGTCTCACAACAATGTATATAATGAAAAAAGTGAGAAAGAACTTACTTGTAGATCGATAACATAGCCATCAAAAGTTTTGTATAACTGAATTCCAATTTTCAACGGTGGCAAGTGAGTTGCAGAAGAATAGATGGAATGGGGAACCAATACTTTCAACTGACAACATTCACAAAAGAAAAAAAAAGTATTGTGCAACTGACTTACTTGGTAAGCTGTACATTCTCTCCATTTCCATTGCAGTTGGTCTAATTGCTGATAAATATGTAACATAACTTGTCCCGCATGCGGAATACTTGTGTTACAACCCAATGAATAACTAATATTTCCATCCAACATATTGAACGAGACTACTTGAGTGATTCTAGCTTACCTAGTAGGTTGATATTTCTGATAAAGTTTGGTATATTCTTCTTCTCGCTTGGTCCTGTGAATGGGAAAGGAACTGGAAGACTCCGATAAAGCGGCTTCCGATTGCTCAGCAATTTCCATTTTTATCAAAGAATCCTTGATTAGATGATAAGCTACGGTATATTCGTTTCTTTTTCCACGTTGCAATGCGTGAACCACTTTATGACGAGGAAATCCGGTACGGTCTTGAACCATCTTCAGAACCAATTCATCAATATGCAACGTTTGATGTACCGAGACATTCTCTTCCAAAGCAATATATCGAGGTATTTTGGTTAGAAACCACGGATGTTTACGAATATTTTCAACAGTAATTCTGGCAACAGGATCCGTCACCAACATTTTGGAAATGAGATCTCGTACTTGTTCGGATAGAAATGAAGGGAGAACATAGATACCTCCGCGAATTTTTTTAAAAAGATTGGGAATATTTTCATCATCAAATGGCAAAGAACCACATAACAGAGCGTAGAGAATAACACCACAACTCCATACATCGACCTTTCTATGAGTGAGAGTTGAAAATGTAAAGATAACTTGTGTTCTTACTTCTGGACCAGCGTAAAGTCTTCCCGAAATAACTTCAGGAGCTGCATAATTGGGTGAACCACAACTTGTTCTCAGAAATATACCGTCTTTCATGATATTCGCTAAACCAAAGTCCGCAATTTTGATATGCATATTGGCATCTAGTAACAAATTTTCTGGTTTCAAGTCTCTATGAACTACCATATGCCTATGACAGTAAGCTACACCGGAAATGATCTGCACGACTAAGTTGATAAAGCACATTGCATTTCCATAAGGTGAAACTTACTTGTTGGAAACATTTTCTAGCTTCGTCTTCCAATAGTCTTCCTCTTTCTACGATGTAGTCAAAGAGCTCACCACCACTGATGTATTCCGTAACCACGAATATATCGGATGGAGTGTCAATCACTTCATATAGACGAACGATGTGTGGATGTTGAAAAAGCTTCAAAATCTTGATTTCTCTACGCACTTTTTCATCCATTCCCAAAGACTTGACTTTTTGTTTGTTGAGAATTTTCACAGCCACTTTTTTTCCCTTGTAGAAGAAATAAAGGGTTAGGAACACAACGAGGTAGCTATAAGTAGCTTACGGTTTTTTCATGTTCTGCAAGTTTTACTTTTCCAAAAGAGCCAACTCCCAACGTTTTTCCTAGTTTATAGTGTCCTATTTTTACCAGTGCGTTATTTTCCATATTTGCTTCCAACTGTACCCAAAAAAGAAAAGAGAAAGGCCAATCTTTCTTCTGGTAGAAAACCCAAAACCAAATGAGATTGAATGGAATGGCATTGTTATCCAATGGAGTCGTCTTTTGATATTGGATAATCATCTTTTGTCTTGAAAGAATAGAATACTGATCAATAAAGTTAGAATAACTCATAAAGGATATTGAAAATGATATTGAAATGATCCAACAACAATGGAGAGAAAAAGAGATTTGAGCTTCTTACATGAGGCGAAAGAATATGTGTCATCATCAGCAAGGCACTCAACTCACTCTTCAGCAGTGGTTGTTTGTCACAACAAAAGATAGAAGAACTGATAAACAAACGCCTTTTTCTTTACAACCAAACCAAACAAACTTTACTGAAACAAGCTATGTTTCAGAAACTACAGAACAAACTTTGACGACCAGTGATGAACTACTGTCACAAAGTTCCACGAATGTGACAGAACAACAAGCAACGAAAACTCAAGTTTTTGTGGGAAATCATATGGACAATATATTTCAACTACAACTGCAGAGTCAAGGCTTCCCTTTTCAAGCTGTAGCTATTACGCTGGATATACTTCAGGCTACTTCCAGTAGACTGAGCTCCATTGAGATACTTTCAGACCTATTTCTAGCTATATTGTTGAAATATCCACAGGATTTGTTACCTGCTGTATATTTGTGTACCAATCGTGGGTATTCAGGACGATACTTTGGAATGTTCTAAACACTTCATTTCTTTTTACTAGGAGTGGCAGCTCCATGGGAAGCAGTTGAACTAGGAGTAGGAGGTTCACTTATTTCCAAAGCAATAATGGAAGTAACAAGTGTTTCAAAGGAAACTTTGCGCTCGCTGTATAAACAATATGGAGACTTGGGAGATGTTGCACAAATCTGTTGTTCAAGGCTACAGAGACTCTTCAAACCGAATTATTTAACCGCACAACACGTTTATCAGAGTTTAAGAAAGATTGCACAGACAAATGGAGTCAAAAGTGTTTCTCGAAAGAAAAATCTTATCCAATCGTTGTTGGTTGCTAGTCGCTCTCCTGAGGCTCGTTATATTGTAAGAATCTTATCACAACATATTCGAGTCGGTGCAGTTGAAAAGACAGTGATTGCAGCACTTGGTAGAGCATTTATTATTTTGGACGCTATTCGTAGTAACGGGGAAGAAATAACTTCTCGAGCACAAGTACAAAAGTACAGTATAGAAAGAAAGACGGAAACCAAACTTCTGGTGGAAAGAATGAATAGAGCATTTTCGGAATGTTCTGATTGGGAAAGGATTATAACATTTCTAGTGAATGATACGCACTCTTGGAATCAGTTGAACGAGTTCTGCAAGTTACAACCCGGGACACCTTTGAAACCTCAACTTGGAAAGATTACAAAAAGTGTGGATGAAATGATTAAAGACCTTGGAACAGACTCGGATATTAGTTGTGAATGGAAATATGATGGCCAAAGATGTCAAGTGCATATTATTGAAAATGGAGTCGTCCAATTGTTTTCGAGACATTTAGAAGATATGACTAGCAAATATCCTGATGTAGTTTCCAGTTTTGCAGATATTTCAGGAGTTACTAGTGCCATTTTAGATGCAGAGATTGTCGCTGTCAATCCTTCCCATTCTCAGATGTATTTACCCTTTCAGTATCTTTCTACTCGTGCAAGAAAAGATGTTCAGTTGAATCAGATTACGGTTCAGGTAACGCCATTGTCATTCATCTGGGAGAGTTGGTTATAGTTGGATAGGTTCGAGTGATTGTGTTTGATCTAATGTTTTTGAATGGAGTATGTTTGATTGAACAGTCCTTCCGTCAGGTATGTTGAAGAATGTCACTTTATTCTTTTTGTTATATTTCGAAAATAGCGAAGGCAGCTCTTGGAACGACACTTTAGAGTCCGTTCTGTCACACTACCAGAAACTCTCATCTCTTCCCAGGTCAATGAGGTTCGTTTTTATCTATATTTGTCTAGTTGAGGCCAATGAGAATATTTAGGTTGAAGCGTGGTTAAACAGAGCTATATCCAATGGATGTGAAGGTCTCATGTGTAAAGCATTGGATGGTCCCAATTCTGTATATTATCCTTCCAAAAGATCTGAAGGTTGGTCCAAAATAAAAAAGGATTATGTCGAAGGAATTAGCGATACGATGGATTTGGTTCCCATTGCTGCATGGTGGGGTAATGGTAGAAAGGCAGGATGGTTGAGTCCTTTCTTATTGGCGTGCTATTATGATGGTGAATTCCAAAGTGTTTGTAAAGTTAGTCCTTATGAGCTATTCTCAAAAAAAAATAATGCACTCAATATACATGTTTAGGTTATGTCTGGCTTTAGTGATGAAGAATATAAAAGCCTAACCGAATTTTATCTGCGGGATAAAACACTTCCCATAAAGCCACCGTATTATCAAGTGGATGAATCTTTGAGACCAGCCATATGGTTACAAGCATGTCAGGTATATGTTCTTTCATATGAGAAAAAACTCAACTTGACCATTCCTTAGGTTTGGGAAATTCGGGGAGCGGAACTGACACTATCACCCATTCATCGCGCAGCTATAGGACTAGCTCATTCTCAAAGAGGAATATCTCTCCGTTTTCCACGTTTTGTCCGTTTTCGTGAAGACAAAGCTATCGAAGAATCAACCGACAGTCAATACATTTTTGAAATGTACAAAAAACAAATGAAAAATATTTAAGGTAAAGCAGTTCCTCGTTCCAGATTCTGCCGTATCTCCTGTGTATATTCATCAAAAGACCTTGCAATCTTCTCATTGAAACGGCGATTGCGTTCATTGATGAAGCTAATATCTGCACTTTCTTCATCAAACTTGTGCCACTTGCTGAATTTCCTACGACGCTCTTCCGTCTCCTCAAGTTCTTCCACCATTTTTTCAATCCTGTCGGGATCAATTGGAATACTCTGACCATATTCAAGCTGGTCCATTTCTTCCTGTGCTTTACTACGGTCTATTTCACTTGCTGGTATTCTTGTCAAACGTTTTTCGTATGCACGATACAAATTGTCTTCACCGTATATCGTTTCTCCAATGAGCTTTTCCCCGCTTCGACGCTTCTTAATCAATTCTTTCGCTAGTTGTTGTTCAGCTTGTTCGGCTGTCTCACGCCAGAACTTATCCTTTAAACCTATGGCCACGGTACTCTCCGTTCGACTGCTATTTTGCTGTTGTGACTTGCGTAAAACTTGTCCGCCTTTGCTACGGAAATGGTTCGTTCTCAACTCTTCTTCAACTGCCTGAGAGTTCAACTTTCTACCCTCGTTCATACGTAGACGAATGTCAAAAAGCTTCTTTTGCAAGGGGTTCTGAAAAGGCAGAGAATTGGTAGCGTAATTTTCTGGCTGCCATTCTTCTCTCTTATTCTCAACTTGTTCCCCAAGAGCTTCATAAATATTACTTGTAGGGTCACTTTGTTCATTTGAAAGTTCCTCGCGTCTGTTTTCCAACAGGTTCTCCGAGTCCGCTGCCTCTTCCAAGTTGTTTCTAAAACTAGAATCCAACACAGTGAGTTGCCTATTTTCACTTCCATCTTCTTCCCCTTTTAAACCATCAACACTGTCTTCTTCAGTCATATCTACGTGAGGACTATTTTTGGGTTGTTTCCTACGACGAGACTTGCGTACCATTTCCTCTACCAATCACCACAATTACACAATATCCTACAATTTTAACAACTTTTATTTCTCCATAATCTTTTCACAAGAAAAATAGGAAAACATTCACATTCCAAAAATCATTTTATGCAATAAGAAGATAAAAGAAATATGCCATCCTATTCCGCTCGAAACCTTTGCCATAAAGCCTTATATATCTCCAACGCAATGGTGATTAGATTCAGCTATTTATACGCTTTATTGTTTTGCTCCTTGAAATGATTTTCCGCCAAAATTTCTCGTGCACTAGTGTGTAAAGGGGTTGTCAACTGCTCAATCTTACTTTCCGCGGCGAGAACCTTGTCACAAATATTTCCCAAAGATTCTTTTATCTTTTTAGTAGTGATGGATAGTTGTGTCGTGTTTTTCTCCAAAAGTTTCCATTGTTCTAAAAGTTCGTCTTGCATAGAAAGAGAGAGAGAGAGAGAGAGAGAGAGAGAGGAAGAAACAGGCGACTCGTCGATTTTCAAATTCCCAAAAATGAGAGCGCCAGGGATCATCATTTTTCTTCCAATGCTTATGAGGACGGGGTATCGAATCCTTTTCTTTTAGCTATATATTTTACATAGCATTGTCCATTAGCTGAAAATCAGAGAAACTGAATCTTTTTAAACAATATCATTCATGATTATCATTGACAAAGAAGATGTCATGTATTCAAGTTGTGTTATCCAAGAGGGTGCAGTAAGAACAACGGATTTCCTACATTTCATTCTCGTTGGATTGGCACACTGTCTTATTGGATGATGGCGTTTTCCTTGCTATTTTGGTCGAGGAGGATGTTAACAGGTTCAAGACTTGGGACGACCTATTCTTTATCTCTTGCTTCACCTAAATGGAAAGAATTGTTTGGACGATGGACGAGATCAGAGGTTTGTGTATTGCTTACTTTTTGTTGAAGAAAATGTTGTTCATGCCTCAAAGTTGAAACCACAAAGATATTTATCGAAAGACATCGACGGAAGAGATGGTAAGAAAGAAAAGAAAACGGAAGATTCTAAGGAAGAAAGTGATGGACTGGACGATATTTTCGACGTTACGGTGAAACAGGAAGACCAAGAAGCGGCAGAAAAACGTGCCAAGGAAGCAAGGGAAAGGAAACCAAAAAGCGATATTCCTGCAAAACCTGAAATTCCAAAACAGGTGGAAGAACAAATTCTCAAAGAATTCGAAAAGGCTGTAAGACTTGTGATATTTGTGGACTATAGTATATGAGCTCACTCTGTGTTTTTTTTTCAAAAGGTATCTGGTAACGCAGCACAATCTATTGTGGAGAAGTATGGATTGACTAAACATCACATAAATGTATTGTCAGCTTGTTCAGTTAGTACTCAGCGTTTACACGCTGGTCCTGTAGAGAAGTTTGGTCCCATTCCCATAGAGAAGAGAGTTATTGGATACATTCATTTGGATGTACTAGACGCACCTGTGCCAGTAAAAGCGGCTATTCGAAGAATGACCGGCCAACATTACAAAGGAGACTTTGTTAAGCTTGCTTGTGAAAAGTACCCAACTTCTATTGAGAATCTTGTACATGTAATCTGGACTATGGAAACGATTGTTCGTACTGCGAAGGAAACTGTTGGTATTCAAGTGGATCGAACTCCACTTTCAAGTTGGAGTGAAATCATGAACTGTGTGGAATCGATAGGATATGGAAAACAAACAATAGATTATTTGAATATGTCTTATGACAAAATGTCTCATTCCACCGGGAAACAACAGTAAATACTACCCATAATGTTGAAAAAAGAAGAAACGATTCTATCGGCAATATTCCTGACTATCTACTCTAAGAATCTTGTTCCACGGCACTTTCTATCTGTATATCAGAAGTAGATTCTGCTTGTGAAACGATGGTGTATTCAGGAGGTGGGCTAGCAGTGGTCAGCAAGTAGCAGTCGCTCTATAACAACGTAATCCTTACTCTTTTAACGCACGAATGGGATCAACCTCATAACTTGGAGGTTTCCTAAACTTATCTGAAGGTCTCAGTTTTTTAGGTCGTTTTTTTGCAGCCCATTTAGCACCTTTCCAACGTGCTCCTTTTCCTGCTTCTATAGTCTAAATGAATGATAAGTAAAAGTCCCGAATTGTATTTCATCCTACCAAAGGTGCAACTTTCACTCTTTTGTTGACGTGACTTGCTTCTGTCAAGTTGCCTAAAGTATTCGTACGAATATTTTCTTTCCAAGATAGGCCATGAATAAAAGCCCACATCGACGCTCGTGATCAAAATAACAATCTCATCTCCATAGTCTTGGATCGATTATTGAATTCTCCTTAACGTTACGCTCATGGAATATGACATTCTCAAGAAATGTAAAATGACTTTGCTTTCAATATCCAATGATCGAAGCAATGGAAATAAAAAACCATGTTGATAGTAAATATTCTTTCTTGTGAAGACACATCGCTCAAAGTACTATAGATAATAAACTACCCGCGAGATAATGGAAAGGATAGAAACAGTTGAAAGGCGCTTGTAAATACCGTCCAAAGTATGTAGACTCGATTTCCGCACAATTGCAAAGTTCTTGAAGTGGATTGAACAAGTTATGAAGCAACAAATTCATATTCTTTATCGTGTAACAGTCGATTGATACTCTTCGACGGGTTCCTAAAAGCAGACTTTTAGAACCTTCATAAAAGCCTTCAATTCTTGGGTCAGTTTGTTTCAGTCCGGAGAGAGTTTTATACACCACCCAGAAAAAGGTTTCATAACGTCTTTTAGGGTTCAATTCTCGTTCTCATCATAACTGAAAACAAATGCAAATCAAGAGCACGACTTACCCCACTCAGTTTATCAACGTATTACAGTCCTCGTTGTTCTAGAGTCTCTTCCATCTTTCTCTCGGCTATAGGAGCAACTTTGTCAAACTCTCCATTGCCTAATAAAATAACTATTCGGAAAATGAGCCAAACTTTCAACAAGACTCAAAAAAACCAACCGTTATCTCCTGATTTCTTGCCAAGGATAAGAAAAGGGTCCATATTAGCAAAGATATAATATTCGTTTTCTGTTAAGCCATCCATAAAAGTGCTAACAAGACGAACGTCTTCTTCTGCCTCTATTTCTACTTCCGATTCTTTCTCCAAACTCTCCAAGTCTCCATCGATAGTTAAGGTTACCGCCGAACGATTCAAAAAGATCTCTTGTTCTGCTAGAGTTTCAAAAGCGGAAGGAAACAAACGATCAATCACCTCTTCGTCTTCCAAAGGTGTCAGTTCCCAGTCACCTGTTTGGTCTCGTTGATAACTTGCAAAGAATACAGGCTGACTGCAGGGACTCAAAACAACAAAAGTGGTTCCTTCGTGATCGAACTCATGCTCCACGTAGCAAGAAAGGGAACGGTCTAGTTTTGAATCTAGTAGGGTCACAACTGGAGGTTCCACTTCTTCCGTAACTTGAGTAAGCTCAGATGGATTCTTCACGTTCACAATAATAGGCAAGGGCCTCTGTTCAAGAGTGGTGAACTGAGAGTTTGCCCTCGAAGACCTCACAATAACACTGCTGGGGAAACCTTGCCTTCGTTTCTGCCCGAAAAAGGCTTTTGAAAAAAGCACCTCACTTTGACAATAACAAGTTTTACAGTGCTTCGTGGTGCTTTTCAACAAAGCGGACAAAACAAACGCATACATGAATGGATAACACCTGATTACTCTTTTCGACTGACCTTGAAATATCTTCAAACTTGTTGAAATGCAATCGTGTGTTACCAAATTCTACTTTTGTTTTCCAGAAACGTTTCACTTCACGTGAAGATACAAGTTTCAGGTCGGTAGAGTGATACAGAAGTGAAATTGCTCTTAAAAGACAAATAAACCACAAGAATAATAAATATACAGATTGTTATCCAGTATTGTAATTCAAAGAGACAACAGAGTCTCTCATAGGAATAGAGGAACAAAATAATCAAATGATATCAATCCCAGTGTATAGCAAGCAAACTGTACAAAGTCCCAACACATTCCAACTAAGTTCGCTCAGACGAAATAAATTTTCTGCTATAGCTAGTTCTCGCATCTCTTCATGTTTAAAGGTCAAAGTTCAAATAGGAGCACAACTATCACGAAACTGTGCTTCAGCGCTTTGCAATTCTGTTTCAGATATAGGTTTCGGTCAGTGATCATTTCACTCAAGACCTCACATAGCTTCAGATAGTCTTCTTGATCAAGTTCATATTTTTATAGATAGTCCCATTCTCGAATGCTCTTGGGACTCATTTGTTGATCTTTCACTCGAAGAGATCCTCCCAAACTCTGTTGCCAAAGGATTTCAGAGCAATTGAAGACTTCATCTACTGGAATAGAAAGATGATATAAGCTGTCAAGTAATGTTTGAGACAATTCTTTGATGGCAGATATTCTCACAGAAATGAAAATGCAACTGGCAGCCTGAACAGGATACGAAAAGTTCATAAGACCCTCCTCCATCATAGCATATTTACACAAGGATTCTGCCATATGTATAAAGTCTTTATGTAACCACGTTAGTAAGAGACCGAAAATTTGAATGCAATGATAAGTCGTCGTGACATTTACTTTCCATCCGAGAGTAGACAATATTGTACTCTCAGCATCTACTAGAGTCTTTCTGCTAACTGTTCCCATCAAAGAGCGATAAGATAAAAAGTATTTAGAGCCAAAAACTTCTCTTTCATGAAGTTTTGTAGCCAACCAGAGAGCAGCAGCTGAAATTGATGGGACCATGTATGTTTGAAGGAAGTGTTTGCAGACGACACTATCAAAATAGTGTACAGCTGTTAGAACAGTTTCCGGTGAGAGAGAAAGCCGATTAGCAAACGACAACATGCTTGTTACTTCATTTCTTCGAAAGGAAGGCACATGTCCGACATTCTTAGAGAATTGTACACACGAGTTCTTTGTAGTGGCCAGAAACTGCTCCTTTCTCAACTCTTGGTGATAAAAGATAAGAACTTCATTATCACATAGAAGGGCAGAGTTATTCATCAACTGATATAGAGGTAAGTTTTCTGCAAGTCTGGTTTTTGCATCAATAGTTTGGTGCAGAGGCACGGAGAGAGACCTAGTAGTTTGTACCAGAAGCTTCTTGTCTGGAATGAATTTTACATTTTCTTCCTGACAAGTTACTTCAGTTTGCATTTCTGGTAGTGATGGTAGACTATTCTCGAGTTCAAAGTATTCCGTCATTCAATGGAAAATCAGAAATGGCGGGTTCAACAGGATTGGCGCCAAGATTTGAACAGACTAAATCATTCATAATTGACAATTGATAGAAGGGCACAACTTATGAGGATGATGATGATAATAGGCTCTGTGAGGATCATCATATTTGAGCCCTTTGGGGAACATAAGATGGGCATTTCTATATTATTATTCACGAATTTCCATACTAACGAAATGAAAGTGAAAGTTCATTTAAGGAAGACTTTAAGAGACACTCCAGTGGACACAATAAATAAACAGGAATTCGACCAACAATATACTCCTTAATCCTTTCTATAGTAATTCAAAGCATAAGAATGCGTTGCAAAGGAGCAAACGAACTGTCCACGATGTTAAAATACATCATGATTTGCAATACTCTGATATTCTCAACATTTTTCAAGAAACTCTTATCTCTCACACTCTTTAGACTTGTTCCCCGTAAAAAATGGCAAGAACAAACTATTGATACTCTCCTGATATTCCAAAAACTCCCGCATTCCTCTCCATCTTTGATATGACTCTAGAAACAAGACACAAAGTGAGGCAATACAACTTTTCAAATTCCTTATATCTGGGACATCCAAAAATGATCTTTTTGTTTCTTCAGATATTGTACGAAATGCTTGTTCACAAAAGTACTCATACCCAACAAACTTTCGTGAAAACGATCTATTTCAACAAGGTATCGCTTGGTACTGATAGACAGATAAAAATTTGGCAGGTTGCATACCAACAGAAAAATATCCCAAAGAAAGCTGCAATAGTATACCACTGTCTTGATTACAAAAATAATAATCATCAGCTGACTTCAATGCTGTCCTATACTGACCTCTCCTTGCTATTCCCAATCGAACGAAGAAACTTTTTGTGGAGCATTGAAAAGGGAAACTCTTATCTTCAAAATATTTTCAATGCCATTTGGTAGCCTGACGAGATGCATCATCCGTCAATAGTTAAAAGGACACAACGTTACAAATTCCGGAATAAGAAAAATTACGTTCATCCTTCCATCTGGAGAACTGAAAGCATCTGAATTGAGCATTTCTAAGTTGGTCACTCGAAATGAACTTATTCAACCTTTGCTCAAACTGAAAAAGCACTATGGCTGCAATATTTCTCGCAGTTCTGCCTCCTTGGGCGTTGGTTTTAGTAGCAGTTGCTTGTATTTCAGTGGCGGCAATAGTAGCCGGGTTGTTGTTGGGAATCATGTCTTTGGACAAGGTGATGACAGCAGGTTTCGTGGTCGCATAGCTGTCTTACCTTTTCTATTAGGTTGGATTGCAAATACTTGCCAATTCTGACAGACCGGAGTCGGAACACGCGAGGAGTTTAGTTCCTATTCGAGAAAAGGGCACGTTTGAGTCTTCACTCGTCGTTATTTACTCATAAAGTATTGTAGGAAATTTTCTATTAGTTTCTTTGCTTCTTGCTAATACTCTGGTCAATGAACTTCTTCCTTTGGTGTTGGAAGCTCTGTTTCCAGGAGGATATTTCAGTTGGGTCGCGTCGGTTGTCTTGATTCTTTTTCTAGGTGAAATTGTGCCCCAAGTAAGATGGACCAGTTTATACTTGTATTTTGTTTTGTATTGAAACTCAACTCATCACATCTAGGCAGTTTGTTCCAGATATGGGTTGGAGATTGGTGCAAAGGCAGTTGGCTTCATAAGAGTGCTTCAGTTGTTGCTTTATCCTTTTGTTTGTCCAGTTGCCTGGGTTTTGGATTACTTTCTTGGTAAGTTTATTAGAAATGGATGTATTATGTTTCTGAAAGAGGTTAAGGAGAGGAATTGGGAACTTTGTACTCTAGGAGTGAATTGCGAGCGCTTGTGGATTTTTATACACAGAATGACTTTGGCATTCTCACAACAGACGAGGGACATTTGATCAAAGTAAGACTAAAGTCGACTGTTCAAGATTCATGGCAATAGATCGAAATTTTTATAATATAGGGTGCTCTCGATATGCACGACAAAACCGTTGGTGAAGTGATGACGAAAGCTGACGATGTTTTTATGTTGTCTGTCGACGCTAAACTCGATCGAGAACTCTTGAAAACTTTGCTTAGAAAGGGACACTCAAGGATACCTGTTTATGTGAATGAACCTGGAAACGTAGTAGCTTTGTTATTAGTAAAGCAGTTGCTTCTTATCAATCCAGATGATGGAAGAACGGTAATGAAGTACATCGTACAGTGAACGATAGGAATGATGTCTGTCTTATAGATTCGATCGATTTTAACAAAGAAGAAAAAGTCTCACAAGAAGAAATTTACATCTCCTGTCTATGTCTCCATGTCAGCACGTTTAGAAGAAGTGTTGGATGAGTTTCAACAGGGAAGAAGTCATCTTGCGATAGTATATGATGACTTAACAAAGCCTGAAGGTATCATTGTCCAGTAGTGGTTTGAAATGGTTTGGATAATTGTCATCGTTAGGGGAACGCAAATTTATGGGTATTGTTACTTTGGAAGATATTATTGAAGAAATTCTTCAGGTTGGTAAAAGCGTTAATGTACGTCAGCGGTATTCATGTGAGTGTATGAAAAGGAAGAAATTGTGGACGAGACTGATGTTTATATGGACATGAAGACGAAGAAACCTGTTCTCTTTCGTGGTCCAGATGGTGATTTCTTAGCAATATTGACGTGAAATTTGTTTTTACCGAGAATGTATAGGTCGTCTGCATCGTAGAGCGTTTATTGGACCGAAGAAGCCCCATACCCAAATTACTATACGGGAGATCGACGTCGGTACCTTAAAGCACAGTTCTAGTGACCCAAGTCTATCCAATACAAGAAAGAAAACCGCAGAAAATTTTAATAAGCAAGTTATGCGTGGCGATATCAATGAATGGAGTTTGAAAAATCTCGCCTATACTACTGATGATATTCGAGGGTATGAGTCGGATTCCGATGAGGTATTATATGTTCTATTGGTTTATCACCATGTTTATGACTGAGTAAGCTGTTTCAGGCATCGGATTACTCGAGTCAAGCCAATCATCATGTTCACTCGCATTCACAAGCTTCAAACAGTCGGAATGGAAAGCGAGAACATAGCGTTGAGCTGTTCGAAGAAGAAGAACAGAGGCCATTGTTAGGAAGCAAAGCACTGTGAACTTTAAATGAAAGTTGTGAAATTGCATTCAATAGTGCTGCAAATATTATAAATTATTGTTCACAAAAACTTTAGCTGGACCCCCAAGTGCTTCTCTCCCGTCACTTCACTGGTTGCCACTTTTCTTTGAACTTTTTGGCAGTATCACTGCAATGTAGCCTTCCGTCTTTCGTTTGTCGAGCAATAAAGAAGGCTCAGATGCAAGTCTCCAGTTGAATTCCACCAGTGAGCCTTGCACTCCAGCTGGAACAAGATATTCTGTACCGCTTTGAGTCATGATGCTGCAAATAATGGTCCGTGGTTGTACAGCTCGACCACCTTTTTTGCGCTTTCCATGCACGGTACTAGGATCCCACTTGATTGGATTTATTTGAGTAACTATTTCCTTGCGTTGAACAATGGAGTGGCTGTCAGCTAGAAAGATCACGTATAACAGATTGGAGTGTTGAGCGACTAGAACGTCTTCACAAAGAAACTTATCGTTGGGTGGATTTGTTCTTTGATATGGAAAGACACTAGTTTTGAAATACCTTTCGACAAAAGTAGGAGGCTTACTTCTAGGCTCCTCTACAGTATAGATGGTTGGAATACCTTCCATTATCCCCTCTCAAATGATTTCGAAAAAAATAAAAACCAATTTTTACAAAGAAAACAAAAAAACTAAAAATAAAAAAGAAACTAATCGTGTGTTGGAGTACAAGATGGAGGAGGAAACTTCGGAGGCAAACCTTGACTGGCACTTCGTGGTCTTTGAAGATCGTACAAATTCAGATTGGATACTGATCTATTGTACTGCATATGTGCTTTGACTAAATGCCCAGCAGTCAAAGCCGCCAACAAAGATAATTCTCCTGCCAAGACAGAAGCTCCAATAAGAGTAGCTAATTTCCTTGAATTCTGACCAGGTGCTGGGGAATTCTGAGGATCTATTCCCATTGCTCTCAAACATGACGATTGGGCGGGTAACACTGTTCCACCTCCAACTGTACCTACTTCGACACATGGAAGTGTAACAGAAATTCTTAAATCTCTTCCATTATTTGCAGGTTCTAACAACGTTATGCAATGAGAAGATTCAACTACTTGGGCTGCATCTTGACCAGTTGCAATAAAAATCGCTGCAACAATATTCGCAGCATGTGCATTGAAACCTCCCAAAGATCCCGCCATAATAGACCCAACTAAATTCTTTTGTATATTACAATCAACCATGGAGGCTACATTGGTTTTCAAAACCTTTTCAACAACATCACCACTTATGACTGCTTCTGCCACAACAGTCTTCCCACGTCCTTCAATCCAGTTGACTGCCGAAGGTTTCTTATCAGAACAGTAATTTCCAGACAAGGAAACTACTTCCATTTCAGAAAAATGTGCTTTTATAACTTCCAACGCCTTTTCAGTTCCTTTTGATACCATATTCATCCCCATTGCGTCACCCGAAAGACATTTGAACCGCAAATAAAGATTCCTTCCTGCAATTGCAACTTTTACAGACTGCAGCCTACCATAGCGTGATGTGGAATTGAACTGTTCCGACAACAACTCAAAGGTATCCTCTTGTTCTAACCAAATCTTGCACTCGACTGCCATCCCTGCACAAGGAAAGCGAATACAGGGAGCTCTGGTCATTCCATCACTCACAACATACGAAAGACATCCTTGACTTTCCATAATCGCCTTACATCCTCTGTTTGTAGAAGCAACCAGGCAACCTTCAGTTGTCGCCATTGGGAAGAATACATTTTCATCATTCACTTTAACTGGTCCGGCAAAACCAACTGGTATAGGAACATATCCCACAACAAGTTCACAGCAAGTTCCGTAGACTCTCTTATAATCAAAGTCTTGATAAGGTAGGCCATCAAAGAAGCTATTAGTAGTTGAGGCTACTGAAAAGTTTGCGTGCAGTTGCTTGTCAAATGCCTTTCGTCTAACACGAACTGCCGTTTCAAAATCAGTTGCGTTCTTTTCAATAGCGTGAATAGGAAGGTTTCCTGCTACCACTTCCTCCAGCAGACTAGCCTCCTCTTCAAATAAGACTGGTTCAGTGACTGATTTCTTCAAACTTTTCTGCACAGTTGGCAACGAGGAATCAGTTTGGACCCCTGCCTCCTTTACCTGTGCCGTTTCTATCTTTTGTTGACCGGTCAATTGCCTTTCTGAAGAAGCAAAAGCTTCCCTTCCGAGCTTGTAAACATGTTCCTTTTCATCTTCGCCAGAATCCTCTTCTTCAAACTCAAAAGTACTAGGAGAAGCAGTCGAGAACCAAGAGGAGAGAGGACTCTGACTGGACTTACAAAGTTTCTTCGTCTTCTTTATGGGCCCCAAGTTGGATAGATGGGTTCTGATTGCCGCGGAAATGTCGGGAAAACAAGGCGCCACAAAGAAGCAAGTAGGAACAACCACAAGAAAGAAAACTTTAAAACACACAAAGGGTAAAACGAACAAAAAGAGCATTTGAACGGGCCCCATGGGAACAACACGCGAAAAAGAAAATCTCCGATATACGAAACGTCCGAATAAAACTAATGGTGCCTTAAAGTGCCAAAAAGCGCGAAACGAAAAAGACGAACTTTAAAACGGACAACCCATTTTCGGAAATGTGGCCAAATAACAATTGTCTTGAAGAGCGCCAAAATGGCCCCTTCTTGCGTGCCCACCGAAATCGACGTGTTCGTTCCTTTCTGTCCAATTTAGTTATTTGTACGATTTCACCAAAAAACTATGCTACACTACAATAAGTACTAAGCTATCAGGCATTGATTACTTGTCTCCTAACCCTTTTTCAAAAGGGAAACCGTGGTACTAAAACTCATTACCAAAAATGCTTCCCAGTAAAATGCCTTCCTCTAATGCTACTTTACGTCTTAATTCTACAATATGATAATATTAGAACCAAATCTTTCAAAATACTTTCAGCATACCTTGTCTAAGGTTTGAAAGGGTAAATGATATTCGGTCACAGATTTCTTCGTACATTTTTATACGTTCCGGCGTGTCCTCCATTGTTTTGGGTCCCTCATCAGGAGAAGACAGAATGTTTTTGTACTTTTCTAAAATATCTTCAATTCCAATAGGATCACCCACAAGGACATATACATCATGTCCAGAAAATGGCAGGATACTGACAAGTTCATTGGTCTCTCGCCTTTGTGGCATCACGTTTTCCATTCCTTCGTGATAAATTGGAACAATAATCGGTGCAAAACCTAAACGCTCTTTCGCTACAGCAATCATTTTTCCAACCCCTCTACGAATGAGTCCTAAACTCTTCTGACAAACTTTTCCTTCTGGAAACACATGAACCCAGTCTCCCTTTTGTAACATGCCAATAGCAGTATATATCTCTTTTTGATTGAGTCCACAACCTCTTCTAATTGGTAACACTTTGCCATTATTGAAAAAGCGCGAAAACAATGGATTCGTGAAACACATATCGACTGCACAAAAACCCCAACGAACATACTGTGGTCGAAATAAGTCTCTAAAAGGTATTATTGAAGACACAAGAAATGGATCGTCCATCGTACTTCGATGATTAGCAACTGTTAGAAGAGGCATTCCTGCTGGTCTACTTTCTATCCAGTGGTGTAACTTTTCAAGACCGTAGGTGTGTAAGTTGGCGATGCTTCTAAGAATTCCCGAACTCAAGGAAGCGACAATACCTATTGTAACAAGGTTTCGCATAGAAGCACCGTTACCCGGCTCCGGAGGTTCCTTGAATGAAGCATTTCGCTGTTGTATTCTCTCCTTTACATTGGTTGCCGTCTTGCTGTGTGAAAAAGCTTCTTTCATCCTTTCGTGGGAACGAGTTGCTAGTCTAGCTGCTCCTTGCGTCTCGAATGCTGAAGAAGATAAGCGACCCTCACTTGTCACTTCCCGTAAACTACTTTGGTATTCCGCGGAGATGTAATCTGCTGAAAGCTTCGACTGACTCTGTAAAAGATGAGCAAGAAATAAGTTGTTTCCATTCAAATATTTTCTCTCTCCAATATTTTGGGACAGGAAATACTTTATTCCACCGTTCAAACAGTTGGCAGAGTCTCTAACACTGTCTTCAACTGACCGTATGAAGTGAAGCCACGGCATGGAATCCAACATTTTCTCACCAAAATGCACGAGATGTATGTGTGTGTATGTGTATAATCATCATGGGAAGAAATCTTCTTTGGCATATCGAAGTCATTCTATCCAAAAATAGATAGAATATCTGACATCAAAATATCTTTTGGTGAGATGACCACAAAGAAAACAGTCTAATCCGAACAACTTGCAAACATATCGCATTCACTATAGGTTTTCAATGTCCTTCATTTTATAACAATTGATTGGTTTGTAATCGTCGTCGATTGTGCAAGTATGTTGGGAGCATTTCATAGAACTCTTGCTTTGTTGGATGGAAGAGTTGCTTTTTCTCGACCCAAAATAGTTACTCACGCAGGACGTAAGAACCGAAAAAAACAACGAAAAATGGTAGAAGTGAATCTTGCTGTTCTTCGTGAGGGAGAGATAGAACTTGCAAGACGAAGAGGAAGATTCATACCGTTCGATCAGGTTGCAGTTGCTGATGCCATGGATAAAATTCTAAAAGACCCAGAGAAAGTGGAGAAGTTTTCTTCGAAGAACAAGAATTGATAGAGTTGGTTGGAACGAGTCTCTTGGCAGACATAACCTATAGAAGAAGCTGTCGTCCCCATATTTCGGATAGAACCACTATGTATTGCAGCTATTGATTATGGCAGTTGCCTGAAGTATCAAAGCAAGAGTTACTTGTCGCTTATTGTGGTAATGTGAGTGAACCAGAATCACCACAACTGTATAAGGAGGGAACCTATCTTTATTCCTGTAAATAAAGTGCCTACTCAGTTAAAGACTGTTTTGACCTGTTTACAGAGTCCTCACTTGTTGAAGTCCTTTTCTTAGAATTTACAGGAGTTTTGGTCTTCGGTGATTTTCGTGGGGATTTCTTCTTTACCTTTGTCACTTGACTGATTCGTTCCTCTAACGCTGCAATTTGAGAATCCCTGAGTTTCACCTTTTGAACAAGTTCATCTTTTGACAACTGGTGATAATTTGTTGCGGCCACTTGCATATGATACTTTGGATCCTTCGCTTCGATAGTACTTGGATCAGCGGATAAATCTTGTCGAGTCAATTGAGTCAAAAACGATCTGATCTGTTTCCATCCTTCCTTTTCAGGCACTTGAGAGATCGCGCTCCGTATTTCCTCCAGGACAGCTTTTGGTAATATGAAAGATGAAAGTTCTAAAAACTCGCGAGTAGTGAATACTTCTTCACCAGACGGAAAAGAATCTTTGTAGGCTAATTTTGTTGAAACTGAACTAACAACGTCGTTGTGGACGTTCTGCAGACTAAATTTTTCTTTTGTAAAAGTTTCTTGTAAGAAATAACTCAAATCAATGACTTGGTTGGCGAAATTTCGAACTTTCTGTACAGTATCTTCGCCATTGCAATCTAATGGAGCATACTGGTCATCACTTGTGAGACGGTTCTCTGCGACGACTGATACTGAATCTGTAGACTTTTGATAGCTAGACAAGATGTCCGTTCTATGAGACCACGATGGATTCCATTCTTGCTCAAACTCACGTAAATACTTAACAGGTTCCGAAATGTTGGCTGTGATCTCGTCGATATGACTTAACATTGACTTGAGATACTCTATTTGATGATGGTATCTGCCAAGTTGCTTAGAAATTTCTTCGACGCTCTGTTCAACTTTTCTCCAAGTGGGATGGGTGTCTTCATATGTCTCCATAGATTTCTCGCTAGCGAGCTCTCGCAAGGACTGCCATAAATCATACAGAACTTCACGACACTCACCTGGCAGCGTGGCAAAGTAAGGAACAGAGTTTTCAAGTTCTCGAAAAACGGGAAAGTTACAAACTCTTTCTTGAATAGGGTCCTTCGTTTTGATATGAAACAATCTCTTTAACAGGGAACCATAAAGAAAGAGGATGGAAAGAATGACCTGAAAGACTCCTACTCACCAGCAGTCAGTCTAAAGATAATAAACAACTCAAAAACTATCCCACCTTCCGCACCAACTGTGGAAGAAAGTGAATCCGCTGTTTTCTTTCTGTCGTGTCCGTTTTCTGGGTCACTTTGTGGTTGCTTGACTGTTGAAGTCTCCGTGTTTGGCTCACCATTCTGTAAAGTTGCCAATACCAAGGCATATTTCTTATAAGGAAGTGGTCGCCATAGTCTCTGTTGTTTCTTGTTCAAATGAAAACAAACAGAACAATTGCAAACTTTTAGAGTACGAGAATGGCTGAATGAAACAAATAAGCTGACCAGAGACATTGCTATGCGACAAAGTTTGCAAATCAAAGTTTCTTTAACAAAACATAGGATTTCGACTAATGTGAAACTAGTTTAGGTGAATACCTATAGCTTCTGCGAACCTGCAAAACGCATACTTCTCTTTGGCACAAAGAGAAAACGAAGTAGGCTGTGCTGAGGAGGAAGTATCCTTTGAACTAGTAGACTTCTTGGTAGGCGACGGCGTGGGTGATGGAGTAGCTGTAGGCCTTGGAGTAGGAGTAGCTGTTGGCCTTGGAGTAGGAGTAGCTGAAACTTTTGAAGAATTGTTGGACTTGCTTGAGACGGAAGCACCTGTTGTAGGCTGAGGAGCGTCAGTTGCAGAAGGAGCGTCGCTTGAATTCTTCTTCACTGAGAGAGTTACTGGGCTGGTACTTGAAGCTCTAGGACTCAGGCTTGAGACAGAAGACCCGCTGCCACTTCCCTCTTGAGCGCCTACTGAGGACGACGAAGAACCATAGGATGAAGACTGTGCTGCAGAGACACTGGAAACTGCTTGACTGGTGCTTGAGACCCCATAACTAGAAACTTGTTGCTGAGCCGAAGAAACACTGGTGGGAATTTGACACTACCAAAGATCAACAAACGTTCTCTCCCTTCCAAATCTCGCTTACCTCATACATAGTACTGTATATTGCAGTATAAACTGCTGCCACCGTGAATGTAGGAGACACCGTACTGACTACCGCAGCCACTGTGAATGTTGGAGATTCAGTGGTCGTCTCAGTGGCTACAGTTGTCTGATATGCGGTAGAAATGACAGTGTAAATAACAGAAGGTACACAAGTCTCCACGGCCTTAGAAGTGCTTGTTGCAAAAGTTGTTGAAGTATAGTAGGCAGATTGCACAGAAGTATAGGTAGAAATTTTTGTTTCAGCGACAGCGGCCACCGTAGAAGTTGCAGTACTTGTATATGCCCAGGATCGCAGAACGGGACTAGGAAACTTGTCTTGGGAGAAGTACTGGTCTTCAATCACCCGATCGTAGTTAGAGGAAGATACAGCTTGAACAGCGGACACTGTCTGAGTAATAACAGGCACAGAAACTTGTTGACACCCAGCTTGTTCTGTATCACTGAGTCCACTATACTCCTCTGGGGTTAAAATCATATATTGTCTAGCTACGTTTGGATGGTATTCAAGACTTCTTCCAACAACTGATACAGTAAAAATGATATGAAAAACAAGCAGCAACTTGCAGTATTTCTCTCTCAGAGCGTCCATACCAACGTATAATGAAACTTCTGAATGCCTATTCCTTTCTCACCCCAAAAAAATTAAAAATTTTCTTAATCGGGAATCGTTCATTGTTTCCTTTTTTTTACAAGCAATTCAATTGGCCCATCTAACAGAATTTTGAAATTCCCAAACAGATCGACGAGGAGGACACGATCCACTTTGTCCCCTCGTTCGAAGAAATGTTCTGTGGTGGGATTGATTATCCTCCTCTCTTCTTATCTGTTGTCATCTTGCTTCTTCATCTCCGGTTCACTTGTTCAACTGAAACAATCGAATTCTACCTTTCTGCGTACCATAAATAAGACCATCAGCAACAACTCCCGATATTGTCCTTCCTGGAGAAAATAAAGCGACGTTAATTTCATCCTCCACACTAGGAGTGTAATTGATACGGTCATAGATAACGTCCGATTGCAATGTTTGAACAAGACTTGTTCGATTTTTAGAATGAAGGTGGTGAATTTCTATAACATCAGCCTTTCCGGTTTCCGACTTGAAAAACTCATTATTCGAATCCCACAAACATATCTTAGCCATGTCAGTCACGCTTGGGGAGCGAAAACTAAAACCCGCAAGTAGGTGAGAACCACTTGAAGAAAACTTCAAATTCGTAAGTGCCCAAAGATGCGCAGAATCTAAAGGTATACTGTATAACATATCGCCCATAAGAACTCCATCTGCACGATTAACAAGCGAAAAAATTGCTATCTGAAAGGCCATCTGGTTGTCTTCCTCCGGAACACAAGCAACAATCATTTTTCCACAAGGAGAAAAATCAACACCAGCATCATTGTATGCAATGGCTCTCGGAATTATCAATACAGGACTGCTAGTAGAGATAGTCTGTTCTTCTAGATCAAAGCGATGCAAAACAAATCTCAAACTAAACTGCAACTCTGCAGAAGAGCGGTTCTTTTCCCCAGTAAGAAGAAACTGTCCAGAAGGGTGAAACTGCACCATATGATACGGTAGAGTAGGCATAGGCGTCTTGAGAATTTCGTACGACTCTTCTCCTGAAGACTCCAAGACAGAGAAATCTTCATCATCCCGACAAACACGTACTTTAGTGTTCAAAGGCTGAAAGAGTGAACGGAATGTATTGGAAGAATTATAAAGTTGTGGTACCTTCCTTAGTGAATATTTACGAAGAAAACCGTATCTCCAAAGAAACACACAAGAACCTGAAGAAACTGCGATAAGTTCTCCGTTAGGATGGAAACTAAGGCAGCTAATGGATGCAGGAAATTTTTGAGACCGAACACAACTTCCATCTCTCAAGTCCCATACGCAACATTCGTTACCAATGCAACCAGAAGCAAGAATATGTCTCTTAAAGGGATGAAACTTGACTGTCCAAGGAGTTCTACGGTGCTTCTCCAAAGTCGCTATTTGCTTACCAGAAGGCCACTCAAAAACTTTTACCGAGTGGTCACCATGAGTCGAAGCAAAGTACCGACCGTCATGGGAAAAGGCTATGGAAATAGTGGACTTCACAAGGGAAGCCGAACGGTCCAGCTCTAAATACCTGCCTTCCTGTACGAAAAGTCTAATGTATTCACATTCAAGACGATAATTCAATTCTTTCCACAATTTGTACGAAATTTTCTCTCCTCGCTCTCTTTTTTCGGCGTATATACGAAACACACTTCCTCCCGAAGGACACTCACTCCACATAAGGACAACAGAAATTGCCAAATTGATAATAATGAATTGCAAGAGTTGATCTCCCATACAATATTCTTGTTGGAACATCACCGCAAGACAATCGTCCAAATGAGTCAAGATAATAAGGAGGAACCTAAGGAAGTTCCAGTCAATGGCAATGTGCCTCTTACTGGAGAAATTCCCCTAGATTTTCGCCTGACTCCCTGTTGTGAAGTAAGTTGTATGGAAACCTATCCAAAAATATTTAGACATCAGCAAGGTACCTAAAGCTAAACGTCCTCGTCCAGTTCCGGAAGGCGCTTGGGAAATGTCCACAGAGGGCATTCTTGGACCAGATTCTCAACATGCCTATGTACAGAGATGGTACTCAATGGTTCAGCAAGAAAAGTCCGGGGCTGTCAAGTTCCAAGTGGTTAGAAACGATAGCAAACGAGAAAGCTTGATATTACTCCTAGGACTGAAAAATGTTTTTGTAAGGCAATTGCCTAATATGCCCAAACCTTATGTGACGCGACTTGTCTTCGACCGAAAGCACGAGTCGACTATTCTTACAAAGTGCACAAGTAGTGGAGAATATGTGGTTATGGGAGGCTGCTGTTATAGACCTTTCATTGAGGAACGCTTTGCAGAGATTGCATTTTTAGCCATTTCCGATAGTGAACAAGTTCGAGGATATGGGACAAGACTTATGTCGTATACCAAAGAACGAACGAAGGAACTAGGACTAACTCATATACTTACTTGTGCAGATAATAATGCAGTTCCCTATTTTAAAAAGCAAGGTTTTTCAAAAACGATAACTCTTGAAAAAGAACGATGGCAAGGTTATATAAAGGATTGTAAGTGGATCTCTGTAAAGTGATGAACTTCTTAGCACTGGTCATAGATGATGGCGTTACTCTTATGGAATGTGTCTTAAATCCCAAAGTTGACTATTTGAATATTCCTTCCATGTTAAAAGCGCAGAAGATGTGCTTAATAGAGAAATTGAAGGAAATAAGTAATATTCATATCGTTTATCCCGGCTTGGATCCGGAGGCTCGAAAGAGGATTCGGTTGGAAGACATTCCTGGTTTAAAGGAAGGTCTTGAACAAAGTGAAAGATCTCTTGGCAAGACAATACCCCTTGAATCTCTTGCGGCCCCAAGAGATCCTGCGTCTTTGCAAGCACTTCATAAAGAACTTCAACACATATTAACTCAAGTTAAGCAGCATCAAAGTGCGTGGCCGTTTTTAGAACCTGTTGATCCTGAACAGGTATGTGAAAACGTATACAATTTGGGAATTTATATAATGATTCTTTTTACAGACAGGTGCTTTGGACTATTACGATGTTATCAAGAATCCTATCGACTTGAGAACAATACAAGAACGTCTTGATAGAGGAGATTATTATGTGACAAAGGAAATATTTGCTGCGGATTTAAAGAGAATGATCGAGAATTGTGAAGCTTATAACGGTGAAAAACATTTTATTACGGAATTGGCTCACAATTTGGAGCGATTTTTTAATCAAAAATTGTAAAAGTTATTTTAAGAACAACGTCACATGATAAATAAAATGGAATCAATCCCTTTCAGTTGCAAGATTTTTGTAGTTTCTACAAAGTTGTTGTACAAGCTGTTGTATGTTGAATTTACAGCTGTTTTATTTCTTATTCTTATTTTCTCTTCTTACATTTTGTACAGCAAATTTTTCTGTTCCTCATGTTTCTGTGAATACCGAGAGATTGATTGAAGACTTGAAAATACTTGGGCAGTTTTCCGATGGTGACTACCCAGGTATTACTCGACTTTTATACAGCAAAGAGGATAAGGCAGCTCGACGCTATTTAGTAGCTTTATTTGAAAAGTCTGGTCTGTCAGTTTCTTGGGATCCGGTTGGGAACATATTCGCTCGGTGGGAGGGTAGCGATCCGAGAGCACCTGCAGTGGCTTCTGGTTCTCATTTTGATACTTTGTTGAATGCAGGCTTGTATGATGGCACTCTGGGTGTTTTAGGAGCATTGGAAGCCGTAAGAAGTTTAAAGGAAGTTGGATTTGAGCCAAAGAGGTCCATCGATATAATTGCTTTTACTTCAGAAGAAGTTAGTCGGTTTGGAATCGGCTGTTTGGGCAGTCGTTATCTGGTCGGAAGTCTTTCGATTGAAGAGTTAGTGAAACTTAAGGATAGTGATGGAGTGGATTTTGAAAGTGCTCGAAAGAGTTGTGGATATACAGAAAGGCTTGAAGATTCTAAGATATCGGAAGACTTCTACTCTGCATTTGTTGAACTGCATATCGAACAATATCATATTTTGGAAGATGAAGGGATTCCTATTGGCTTAGTGACGGATATTGCAGCTCCAGCGTTGTACACAATAGAATGGAAAGGTCCTGGAGGTCATGCTGGAAGTGTTCCGTCTAATGAACGACAGGATCCATTCTTGGCAGCTTCAGAATTTGCTCTTTCCTTGGAGCAACTTGTGCTAAGAGTACGTATATTTATATCTTTTTTAGTTTTGACTGATGAAACCATTGAAGGATCCCAAAAACAGCCGTGCTACTATTGGTCGAGTTGAGGTATATCCTGGTTCGGCAGGAGCTATTCCTCGTTCTGCCCGTCTATCATTAGATATTCGAGATATCAACGGTAACTTGTTTTTAGTGGATTATTTAAGTTTTTAGTGACACTATGAAGAGGAGTCTAGGACGAGAGTAAAGGACCTATCATTAGAGAAGGCTGCTGCTATTGCGAGGAAGAGAAAAGTAACCATGGAAACATCACACAATTATTCCTATCCGCCAGCAAGAATGGATCAGCGAATTATTCAAGTTATGGAAGATTCCTGTAGAGCGTATAATTTTCGATATTTAAAACTCGTTTCCAGACCTTTTCATGATTCTCTGTTTATGGCAACAAAATTTCCAACTGGCATGATTTTTATTCCTTGCAATGGAGGAAAAAGTCATGTACCAGATGAATATGCTTCTCCAGATGATATATCACATGGAGTTGAAGTGTTGGCTGAGACACTGGCAAGGCTATCATATCAATAAAGAAGGAAGTGTACCCCATTATTCCAATCCATCCATCCATCCATCCATCCATCACGTTCCCTCCTCTTTTCCTGCGATCGATTATTGGATTCGCAGTTGTGTGGAATTATTTCAACAGTTGTGCAGCATTTGTTATTTCCTTTAGGTGAGTAATATCGACTTGGTTTTGCTTCTTTGTTATTTCCCAATGTTCGCCTTGTATCTTGGTTAATCTATTGCGGAAGATTTCTGCTGATCCTCCTTCTCTTAAGAGATATGTAAGGGTGATCATAGTCTCTAACGGTTCAAAGCGGGTTCCTCTTATACAGTGTTATTTTGGAGGGGCCCGTTTCAACGGAAACTCTCTCTTTACACTTGCATCCACATTTTACTTGCTAACGGAAACTGACAACAAACTTTTTAGGCAACACCAATGGACGCAGAAACAAGAGAGAAGTCCGTTTACCTTTCCAAGTTGGCGGAACAAGCAGAAAGATACGATGGTGAGGAACTTTGTCTAGTCTCCAAACACTTACTTAGGTCATTTTGCAGAGATGGTTCAAGAAATGAGGAAAGTTGCTTCTCAAACCGACGAAAACACAACCGAACTTTCCGTTGAAGAGAGGAATCTTTTGTCTGTTGCGTATAAAAACGTTATTGGCGCAAGAAGAGCTTCGTGGAGAATTATCTCTTCTATCGAGCAAAAGGAGGAAAGTAAGGGGAATCAAACTCACGTCGCTATCAGCCGCGAGTATAGAAAGCAAATTGAAAGGGAGATGTCCACTATTTGCAAGGATATCCTAGGTATTCTCGATAAGAATTTGATTCCTTCTTCAAAGAACGGTGAAAGCAGAGTCTTTTACTACAAAATGTAGGTTCTTTTCTGGTTATTGCTCGTATCGTACTCAAGTGAAAGATAGGAAGGGAGACTACTATCGATATTTAGCAGAATTTTCGAGTGATGAAGATAGAAAGGGAGCAGCAGAGTCTTCTTTAGAGGCGTACAAAGCCGCGACTGATATTGCTTCAACAGACTTGGCTCCCACACATCCTATTAGGCTTGGATTGGCCCTCAACTTTTCGGTCTTTTATTATGAGATCATGAATTCTCCTGATCGTGCTTGTCAGCTTGCCAAGCAAGCGTTTGATGACGCCATTGCAGAGTTGGATACCTTGTCCGAGGAAAGCTATAAGGACTCGACTCTTATCATGCAACTTTTGCGGGACAATCTTACGTTATGGACCTCGGATATGGGTGGAGATGAAGAAGAAGGTGCCAATTCTGCGGAAGGTGGCGATGGCGCCAAAAAGTCAGAGTAGAAAAGTGAGGACGAGTACTTGTTATCGCTCAGGTCGCTTGACATGTCTTTCAATAAAGAAACTTTCTGTGGATGCTTTGGCTCATTATGTGAGCTCTTGTCTCTAGTTTTTATAGTTATCTTAGCACAGAGTTATAGAATACTGTTTGACCAAGTCGAAACTTGCAAAATTTTCCTTTTGATAGCATATTAGAAACCCATCTGCTGTAGGAAGTTTTCGATAAAACTTTCGTGGAACATTGTATACTTATTGTTCTCCAAACTTCGTCTAGAAACCTTTTAAGAAGACTTGGCGCGAAAGTATAGGAAGAATGTTTGTTCGATCAATTGTTGTATTCGATGACCTTCCGACTCTTTCCTACAACATCTCGGAGTACTTGGTTTCTCGTCGTGTTGTGCTTGTCAATAGCACTTGTCGTTGGTTCGGTATTGGAGATTAAGAGTAATCGTTAGCTTATTGACGCACACAGTCGCTGATAAACAGTTGTAGGGAAGAACTATCGCCTAACAACTTCTTCAATACTTAGTTCCGTTTTGAGTTTTCTGTTACCTTCTTGTACCTTAGTTGCGACAACTTGCCCTTTAAGACCCATTAGACCCCTGAATCCAGAAAGTCCTATTCTGTAAGTATTGTTAAGATCCTTGTTCGAAATTTTGTTGAATTCTGTTGAAGTTTACTAGAAAAATTTAGATATAGGCCAAACTTTGCTATCTATAATCATAGAGGAACAGTAATGTATATGAATCGTTATGCCGACGCACAATAATCCACATAAGACGGAAAAGAAGAAAAAAGCAGACCAACTTTTAGGCTTTTGTAAAGGCTATACCGTCTCCAAGTAGCTCTCTTCCGTTTTACAAAGGTACAACCGTCGCAATTCTCAAAAACCTGACTTCCATTTTTAAGAGTCTTCAATTGTTGCGTAAGTTATTCGCTTTGATCTCTTCCTGTCCCAAAGAATCTGGGTTACGCAAGTGCTTAAAGAAGCCACAAGTGCGACAACGACGACAAAGAAAACAACTCCCCAACCCAGGCGCAACTTTAAAGTTCGTTCAGCGTCAAGAACGTCAAACTCAATGTCGTAGGATATCAAAGGGTCTTCAACAAGAATAGTTTCGTTGGTGTTTGGGTCTTGTTGGAAGAACCTCGAGGTGTTGTAAGTTTCCCCATAAAAAACTGCGACACACCAAACGGAGGACTGACGATATTGCTGGTTATATAACTAAAGAAATATTCAGTTGAGAATGATGGAGAATATACAACGCACCGTATATGTTATAGGACCATGATTACCGTTTATAAAGACATCGAACATACTTGAGTTTTCTAAAGATGGTGCTCGTTCGGATCTAAACCTATTATTCGTTGAGAGAAATAAACAAGAGTATTCAAGTTACCTCTAAAACTAGAGCAGGAGAGTCGAGATAAAAGTTAGGTTTCAATAGGATTCGCAACCTTCGAAAATAGCCCTCTTCAGGACACCCTCCAGCTACAGCGTAGTAATTCCACTGACTACATATATCCACAATCAGCGACGAGTTCAAAACATACCTTTTTAAAAATACCTAACGTTGAGCTTGTGATGAAAGGTCCAATTTCCAACAGGTTGACAATGTGGCAAGTTTCCTTGAAGTTCTCTAGGAACAACAAACGTCGTTGACTGAGTTGAGTTAACACCACGACACAATTCTGAATCAGCCACTACAATCGATGAAATAAATAAAGTAAAGATGATGCAAACGAGATGAAGGTGCATCATACAAACCAATGTCTTGCTCGAAAGTTCGATGCAAGTTGAGCAACCGAGAAGAGAATAATGGGCAAACAAAATCTTAAACAATTGTAACAGTCTAAGATAAATTACACATTGCGTCCATAAAAAACCACAAGGAATTCTAAGTTGAATAAGAACCACTTTCAAGGAGGCTTTGGATTGCACCATAGTATCTAAAAAACTTTACTATTATACTTATCAGTGTAAGATTTGCTTGCTAAATTAATAGCTTCATGGAAACCACCAAACGTTTGGTCAAAATGACTGTTCGATAGCATTGTTGAATGTCTCGGTGAGTTTTTACTATACCCAACTGTTTTGAAAAAAGTTTTTTTCCAGTCGTTGACTACGACACCAACTTCGCAAGTCCCAAGGTTGCCTCACGTCAAGACACATAATAAACTTACTTTCTGATTGCAGTGTTCAAGAAAGTTTACTGGGTTGAACCGCAGAAAAGTCGTTTGAGCAAATTTTCAAAACGATAGTTGTAAAGAAAAACCTTCACTGTGTCAATAAGTGAGCGACTTGCACGAAAGTGCTTTCAGATGGAAACTTTGAAAATATCAAAAAGATGAAGCTTTGGAAGCTATCTCTGATAGTTTTACGAGTATCACGTCTTACAATCAAGTTTTTTCGTTTCAATGTCGGAAAACTTTATTCAAGCTCTGCAGGGAATCGATAGTTCCTTGAAAAATCAGAACGAGAATATCACTAGAAAGATGGTAGTTTTCCCTTTAACGGTAGTTGCGGCCGTAACTCAGCGGTTAAGAATTCCGTCAAGAGTGCTTGCTTTACACGCAAGAAGTCGAGGGTTCGAATCCCTCCGGCCGTACTTGACGATTTTTGACTAAATATTCTTCGAGTAATTAGCTCAATAAATAAATCATACTGCTTTTTTCAGTAAAAAAGTAATTACAGAAAATAATACGAAAGTCAAGCCTTCCCTTTATCATCGTAACTTTGCATTTTTGTCAAAATTTTTATTACTATTTCACTGCAAGACTTATATTCTGACTAGGAAGACAGATCATCACACACTTACCAAGTTATAGCAGTTATTTTCTTCTAAAAGTTCCAGTACATTTGTTCTTCATAAAATTACAACTGAAAAAAACAGAAACTCTTCATTGCCTTGTTGTCAAGACGCAGATTATTGAGAAAAGTTTCTGTTTAGAACGCTTCTAACCTAGCTTCCATCTGTGTGGAATGAGCCAGCAAAGAAAGAGTTGCGACTGACATTTCATGCGAAAATCGTCTTATTTTCAGTTAAACAACAGTATGTTAATATGTTTGACTCTGAAAATATATCCATTTGTTTCATTTCATCGAACTTCTCATTTTGGGTAAAAGTATTCCCAATAACTTGGAATATGCGGTACGTTGGTTTGTATGTAACTATATTTCCACCAAGTATCTCAAACTTTCAAATGTGGTTTTCTGGCCTTTACATGGGCTTCTAGGGTTCTCCAGAACTCTAATGCAACACTGTAATCCAAATGCCGCTTATTTCGACTTATTGGCAAACATTTTACAACCCAGCCACGAACATTTGGGTCTACTTGCTCATCGTCGAAATAAAAATAAAAACCACGTACATCTGCAAACAGTTCGGCAGTTCCAGGATATGGCCAACCTTTAAACTGCCATTGTGCTCCATTGCATACTACCGCACAAACTCGTTTCCAGTCCTCTGAAGAAAGGCGGCTTGTATTGTTTATGATCTGATACTCGACAGGAGTTTGGGAAGCATTTGAAACATGCTTTATCTTCACGGACCACGAAACATTTGTCATTCCTTGAGCTTTAAGGGACTGCCAGGGAACAAAATGGCCCTTTTCTAAGAATTCGGGAGCATTCAGTATATTGATAAGAGAATTGTATCCAGAAGGAACGACAATTATAGGAGTCACATTCGTCTTCGGTTTTTTTGAAACGTTTTCCTTCAAACTAGCAGATTGTATATTCGAAACAGACGTTTCCTTGCTCTTTATCACACCTGTGCCGTTTAAGTTAGTCCCAGAGTTGGTAGAAGACAAACCAAAGCGTCCCGAAGGATCAATTCCAAGTTCATCAACTTCGGCACCAATATTTTCACGATAAAACATGTCTTCTCTTATAGAATATCGATCACCACGGGGATCCATCTGCTGTTTCTTCGATGCTATTGACTCTGTTTGTGCAGGGGCCATTTGTTCTTCCGATTCCTTTCTCAATCTTTTTATCCTTTCCACTAGATTCTTAAAATGTCGCTCTTTTGAAGCAAGTAAGGAAGATATCGTTTGTTGCTCGTGCTCTTGATTCAAGGCTTCTCGAATGGCACCATCTAAATCTTTCTTCCGTTGTCCTTCCGGTGCCGAAAAGCTTCTTTTCTCAGAAAGACTTTCTTCTGCATCTGAAGAAACTTTTATTCCAGCACAAGTATCCAATTCTCCGCGGAAAAAAGCGATCAAGTCTCTGCTATCGATAATTTGCACGCGACTCACTCCAGCTCGGACACACTCAGAAACATATTCTCTAAAGCTTTTATCTGCGTGTTGGAACAGAAACCATACAACCTCTAGTGTATAAGGTTGCTTCTCACGTCCCCTACTAGGAAAATAGGCCTGTTTTCATAAGTACGCGTTCACGAGCGTCAAAACTCTATAGTTACCGTCGGAAAGTTGCGAGGAAAAGACTTGTTGGAGCCTTTAAACACAATATTGTCTCCTTCAAGAACGACACTTTCACTTCGCTTGTTTGCTTCCCTTAATAGTAATAAAGGTTCCATCACGAGAGACCTTGGCTTTCTAAGAGCCCCAAAAACCCAATTTTACTCTTCTCATTTTTGTAAAGTGTGCTTTACTGTACTCGTCAACAAAGTTCTTCTAGTATTCTGTATCAGCAAACTAATTATATGAGACTCTTATATTTTTCAAATAAACTTTCATCTTTTTCTGAACTACGCTTCTCTAAAATTTCCAAGACCTATTAAAATACTTAGATTTCGTATTGTTTTGCAAAAAAATACAGCCATTACAGTTAGAGGAGGCTGCAAACCAAGTGAATGTGCACGTTTCCATCGAGTCAGTCTTCCTACAACCTTAAGAAAAAAAAAGTTTGGGTAAACTCTCGTCGTACCAATGCCAACACAAGGTCCGAACTGACAGTTGAGGTCAAACTATTATCAAGCTGTTCAAAAGTGCCCAAAAAAAACAATAAAGTATGCGCACCTCTCTTAGGATATTATTCTCCTCTTCTTTCTCAAGCCACCTTGTCACACCTACTCAAACTGAGTTATTTCCCAAAACCACATAATTTCTCCTAATAATTAAACTTGCCTGACTCCAGCTTTTGTTTCTTTACCGAATCTGCTTTTTTCTCCTTGGAACTTTGGTTATTTGTCCTTCTTCGCTTTGCTTTAAGACCATATTTCGTAATATCCTTTTCCACTTGCGGTTTCTTCTCCCTTCCTCCTCCCATTAGCAAAATGTAAATTTTATTCAACTACTCGAAACTAAGTTGTGCATAGATAAACTGCAATTCCATCGGAGAATCCATAAACATATAATTTCTCTCACTTTGTTTGTTTTGAACACTATCTTTTAAAAGTGACTGGGCAGTATTGAACAACAGGTATTCGGAAACTTCTAGCAAGTGTCAACTGAATAGGAGAAGTTCATCAAAACAGGCAATATAAAAACTCCCTCGAAATAAGAATGGATTGACAATTGCAATATCTACAAAGACTCTATTTCTTGAAGTTAATATGAAATGCCATCCAAGAGTCTGAAGTAATCTTTCTCATTCATATTGACCGAACACAAGGATAAAGTATACAGCAAGTTCATGGCGATATCACAGCATCATAATAGGCACTATTATTCCTTGGTACTTATATTCTATCAGCCAAAGAACTCTTTGACGAAATAAATATTTCCCTCCATAAATATGCTTGACTGAGAAGTATCTTTACATTCGAATCAGTCCATATATCCTTTGGAATATTCTGCAGAAACAGAATAAGATCCTGAAACTCCATTCGAATCAAGTCTTTTTCAAAAAAGTGGAGTAGTGAAGCACAAATGAAAACATAGAAGCTTCCGAATCCATCCTCTTCACAAAGAACCGAATCCCACAATCTAATGACCACAGGAAAGGGTAACTCTCGAATAAGAAGACAATTAAACCATCGAAATGCAAATTGTACTAATTCTACTCCCTGCCTCTGGAAATGGCCATACAAGTTTGGGCAAACTCTGCCAAGTAATCTCTCCAATAATTGAATTCGCCTTTGTATACCTGGTTGAGCAAAGGTATAAAAGTCCTGAATACTTTCGAGAACTGAACTGAAGCACCAGTAAACGTCAGCCTCTAAATCATCTAACGCTGTATTTAGTTCATCTATATCTTCGAGGTTCAATACTCCGTCCTTTTCTACATACTGAATAGATGCACTCGAGAAACTTTCGGTCTCCACCGTAAAAGTAGGTCTAAACGTACTTGTTCTAGTTTGATAAACCTCTGAAAACAGGACATATACAAGAGGCATTAAAATATCATTCATTCCTTGAACATAGCCACATGCCGGATGTCTAACTGACCATACAAACAAAATACGTTTGAGAAGTTCCTGTAGAGCTGGTAAACGAAACAAGTTGTAATCTGAACAGATGCGAGGAACGTCCAGAGTGATCTGTCTCCACACCAACCTCTCTTGTTCTGTTTCTGACTTGCGGCTTTGAGAAAAAGCACGAGACAAACTAACTCGATAGTCTTCTCTTTTCCTCTTAACAACCTCATTTCTTCTCAAATTTACAATAGGCCAATAGCCTAAAAGTATTTTCCAGATAGTACCACGATAATCCTTTGGGGAGCCATGCCAAGCAAGCTGTTTCAAACGTTCCAAGTTGATGACAGACTGTTGTAAGAGCTCTTTCAATCGGCAGCACTCAGGAGACAATCTTTCCACTTCTCTCGGGATATCTGTTTCGTATAAAGCACAGTCCAACGAGTCCGACCCTTGTTTTTCGTCAGAGTCCAATTCCGTCACAGTCATACTCGACTCAATATTTGTGTCAAAGCTACCAGAATCATTTGACCTCTCCTCTCTACAATTGTTGTGAATTATTCTGTTACTTTGTTCTGCCACTCTTGTATCGGTTGCATCTTGTAACTGTCGCTTCACCTCTTCGCCAACTTGGCGATCAACAACTTTATTCAAAGAAAAGGTTCGGTTATACTCTTCAAAAGATAATCTTGCCGCTCTTGGAGGTACTTTTGGTAGTATATCTTCATATGAAGTGGACCCAACGTTGTCAGCTCCGCTCATTTTTGCCAAAGAGTCTGCCAGAACGAAACCATAAGGGTCCTCTCCTGCCAGGTCACCTTCCACCTTATGCAAGTGAAGACTCATAAACTTTCTTTGAGGAAACTCCCAAAAACCTGGTTCGTAGAAGATTAGAGAAGCCACTGATAGATTCTCATCCTCAAAGCGTGAAGAGTCCACATTTGTTGAAGACATTCATGGAATACTTGATTCAAAATTTTCCTTCGACATTTCTATTTGGCCGCATTTCTCATGTGAAAATACTTAAATAGGCATCTAATGAAAACTGTCGCACTATATAGTACCTTTTTGACACATTTTTAAACCAGTGCAAACAGAGGAGTTGACGCATAAATATTCAAGAAATGTTCCTAGTGGCAACTGTTTGGATCGCATAGAAAGTCGATTGTGCTTGGCGAATTCAGTTGTGAGACAATTTTAGTCAAACGAGATTTAGATGATCCAGAAGCCTATTCCTTCGCTTTCTTGTCAACTCGCTTTCAGTTGTCTTTGTGTAAAATTAGAGACCAGCAAAACTTTGCCAAATGTTCTTTCAGTTGGTCTAGCTCGCTTGTCGAGGGGTCCGTTCTGCTTTAGGATTAAAAACCAACGTGTACAGAAGTCTAGTCGACAACCACACAAATTTCTTTGTATAAACTCTGCTATCTCTTCCCAGAGATCTGTCCTGACACCTAAACTGATACTGCCACAGCTTCGAAAACTTTTGAAAGAATTGGGTCTCCAGGCTTTGGTAGTTGCCAATACTGATCCTCATGTGAGCTTGCATATTTTGTTCTGTTTCCACTTAAAGTTTTCTAGCTCTCTGAATATCCTCCAGCACATTTTAATAGGAGAGAATTTGTTTCAGGCTTTACAGGATCGGCTGGCACTGCCTTGGTTACAGAGAAAAGTGCCATTCTATGGACAGATGGGCGATATTTTCTTCTAGCGGAGAAAGAACTGGATGAAAACTGGAAACTTATGAAAGGTATTGTAGTTTGGGTCAATTTCAGTCCTCACGTGAATTTTTAGTTGGTATTGCAGGTTTCCCGACATTAGAAGAGTTTCTATCAGAAAACCTTCCAAAACAGTCAGTCGTTGGTATAGATCCCTATTCCCATTCGGTGTCGTTTGTTGAGAATTTGAGTAAAAAGTTATCCATTAAGGATATTTATATTCGTCTTTTGGATACAAATCCAGTTGATTTGTTGTGGAATGTTGGAAGACCCTCGCTACCAACCGATTCTATTCGGATACATCCGTTAGAGAACGCAGGTCAAAGCTGTTTTGAAAAGTTGGAAGATATTCGAGTAAGAATGCAAGAGTTGAATGTGGATATGTTACTTGTGTCACTTTTAGATGAAGTACGTAGTATATTGCATATGTCTTATTTCCAACATTTCTTTAGATTGCTTGGGTTTTAAATCTTCGTGGCTCAGATATACCGCATTGTCCTGTATTTTTAGCCTACTTCTTAGTTGGATTCAATCAGAACGTTCTCTATGTGAATCGTGAAAAGGTATTCGTGCAATTTTTATTTGATGTTTAGTTTATTTAGTGTTCAACAGATTCCAAGTTCGGTTGAGAGTTATTTGTATGAATGCAATATTGATATAAAACCATATGAAGCCATTTTGCCGGACTTGAAGAAATTTTCACAAGATAATAGGAAAATATGGTACGACCCACTAAGCACCAACGCAGCGTTAGGTTTTGCATGTCAACCAGGTGGCTTTCCTCAATCGACACCGATTTCGTTGATGAAGGTTTGTTCTTGTTTACAGCATGAAATAAATGATCTTATACAAACTTAGGCTGTGAAAAATGATGCTGAAATTCGCGGAATGAGAGAAGCACATATTAGAGATGGAGTTGCTTTGGTTCATTTTTTGAACTGGCTTGAAACGGAAGGAATTTCTAATGGAGTTAGTGAGTTTGAAGCCGCAGAAAAGCTTTTAGAGTAAGCTATGTGTTTGAATCCATTTTTGAAATTCCTATATGCATGCTTTGAACTACTTGCATAGATTTCGGTCGAGGCATGCAGAATTTGTCACCGAAAGTTTTCCAACGATATGTGGTTCTGGTCCCAATGGCGCGATCATTCATTATCGTCCGATGCCGAGTGATGCAAGGCCTTTGAGTACGAAGGAGTTGATATTGTTAGATTCTGGTGGTCAGTATATGGATGGAACTACGGATGTAACGAGAACATTTCATTTTGGAACACCAAGTGAAAAGTAATTGATTGCCATTTTTGTATTCAGTTTATTGATGCTCTTATTAGACAACGTGAATGCTTTACTCGAGTATTACAGGGCCACATATCTTTGGATACAGCAATCTTTCCCAAAGGCACTTTGGGATGCTTGTTGGATTCTTATGCACGTCGGAAACTTTGGGAATATGGACTCGATTATCGCCATGGAACAGGTACTCTAGACATCTTAATGATGGAAGGAATTGAAGTTTATATTTTATATCAATCAGGACACGGAATAGGAGCAGCTCTAAATGTACATGAGGGTCCTCATTCCATCAGTCCTCGCATGGGAAATAACGTTTACTTGCGGCCTGGAATGTTTGTATCTAATGAGCCTGGATTCTATGAAGATGGTGAATTTGGGATAAGAATAGAGAATATTCTTCTGGTGGTCGAGAAGGATACCCCGTTTCGGTTTGTTTCGTTTGAGAATTGAATTGAAAAGTTTGTCTAACGTAACCTTTTTCAAGTTTTGGTGATATTCCTTTCTATGGATTTGAAGCTTTCACAATAGTTCCCATTCAACAGAAAATGATTAAAATCGAATTACTTGAAAAGCACGAAATTGACTGGATTGATCGATATCATTCTCGCGTGTGGAAGATTCTAAACCCCAGAGTAGAAGATGCTAATGTGAAAGAATGGTATGTTGCTTTTTTTGATATATTTGAGTGTTGAAGCTTTGTGAAAGGTTGTGGAAAAGTACACGGCCTATCTTATCTACAAGTGATAAGAGTTTTCCAGAACAGCAATTTTCCACTTCACGTCGAAGCTTCCTTGGTTTCTTCTGTGGTCTTCTTGTATCGTCTCTGTTACCGAAGAAGAAACAGCTACAGGCCGTTGTAAGAATAGTCTACTCTTTTTGTACTTTTATAATTATCGATCGATAGGAAATGGATAATGAGTCTTTATTCATATCGAAACAAGAGAATAAGAGACCAAAGATTGATCCAAAGATATCTGAGCCAGATATTACTTCGAAATGCTTTTTGTAAGTATTTAGAGTGATTGAGCTATTCAGCAGCCGACGTAACTGGTTATGTAGTGATTTAAAAGTGGAAAATCGTGGAATGAAGAGAGTTGTCATTGGATTATATGGAGGTATGTGTTGTATTTGTTGAGGATTTCACTCAACAAAAGTACAATTTTTGAATAGGAGTTGCTCCAAAGACTTCTCAGTTGTTTGCTGATTTATGCGACTGCAATCGCTCATTTAGTTATTTGTAAGATTTGAGTTGTGCATGTAGAATTCTTACAGACTCTTATAAGTCGGTCCTCTTATGATTTGTAACAATAGGGGTTCTGAAGTTTTTCGAGTAATCGAAGGAATGAATATTCAGATAGGACGAAAGTTTTCCTTAGGTAAGCTTTCAACATTCGATTGACTTTTGAGTAATTTACTTTATTGTTGATAGAAGAAGTTGGTGACTATAAAACAGCAAATTATGATTTCTTGGAAGATTGTTGTCAATTTCGACACAATATGGAAGGCCTTGTTTCCATGGTTCGGACGAAGCCTTCGAAGGATCTTGATTACCGTTTCTTTATAAGGTATGTATACATGCATACAAATTCTAAGTATACTCAAGTCCATATAGTACTGCTCCAGCCCCTTATTTGGACGACAAATATGTTACGTTTGGTAAAGTTATGGAGGGCATGGATTGGGTTCATGAAATAGAAAGACTGAATACTAAAAAGCCAAGCAATCAGCCCATTTTGAAAGTGAAAGTGGTAGCTTGTGGACAACAAAAATTGTGAGTTGTGTGATAAAATTGGAAACGATGAAGTATTTCTTTGTTATTATTTTATTGTATTTCTTACAGTTTGTGGCTGCACTACAAGTGAGTTGTAGTCTTTTTTAGAATATGCCCAAGTTTTATTTGGTTTAGATAGCGTCTCTTCCACCCTTGCCTTCTCAAGTAGTTATCAACCCGAGAACTGGTCTTTACGTGGATCTCCATAGAAAAATATTACGATTGAGTGACTCAACTTACGAGGTTTGTTTTCTTTACTTGTCTAGTTTATACCATCTGATTACCGTAGAACGTCAACGATGAACTGGAAGCTGTTTATGTTTCGAATGAAGGTTTGAAAGGAAACTGGGCAACTTGCTTTAACGGAACAGATCCGACAAAGTGTCCCACTGCCGGATCTCTCGAGGGTATCACCTCTTTTCAGGTTCATATTCCACAGGACAAGTACCGAGTTTTATATGGTCCTCAAATAGCAACGGAGACGAATAGTTTTGGCTCACCTTTGATTCGCAATGAACAAGGCGACCATTGGAACTTTGAGTCAGAAGTAGATCAACAAGGCAACGGTTATTTTTATGTCGACTACAATTGTTCCAGTTCCGGTTGGTGAATGTTTTATAATCCTTTTTTGAAACCAACTTTGCCTACTCACTTAGGAAGCATGCAAGTATCCATGTTTTTTTTGATAGAGACTTTAACAGAGTCTAGCTGGCCTTTTTCATTTAATGATCAAAATAACTTCTCAGCTGTCTTGGAGTTTATCAATGCAAGCCAATCTCCAGTTTATTTGTTATTATTCCAATGGCAAAAAGTCTGTAAGGTTGATGATACCCGACCTGGAATTGAAGTAGGCTACATAAAAGAGTTTGTTCCATCCGATCAAATGAATCAAGAAGAAGTATTGGAACAAAAGGCAGTCTTGTATCCAAAACCTATGTTTGGTTCCTCTGCTCAACTTGATATTGTTAGCGTTACTGAATCTTCAACAGATTTGTATGTTTCTTGTATCAACGGATCACAGTTATTCCGTCCAGAGATAACGGCGGATTGCATTTCTGAAATGGAAAAGTGTGTTTCATTGAGAGGTATCGGTCCTAGTCAACTTGTTTTTGGAGAGCTACTTGCGGATGAAGGAGAGACTCTTCGCTTTACTGTCTTCTATTCTTGTGAGAAGGTATTGTGCATATTTTTCATTGTCTTTGTATCATTAAGAAAAAAGTTTAGGCAAGAAGTGAAGGTATCATTCGTCCGAAACTTGTTTTGAATTTTCCTCCATTTCAGCCGTTGACTCTGGAATGGAAAAAGGATTGTGGTGGTTTACTTGCATCGTCTATATCGGTTGGGACTTCATGGCATGGAAGGTAATAATTTCTTAAAATACAGCTTTATGATTCATAGTAAGCCTATAATATTTAGCGATATTATTAACCAAGGTAAAACTATGGATGCCTTTGGATTGTTTCCTTCCTATGCAGTTGATGAGGAAACTCGAGACCTTGAATTTTTTGTATCCACTTCCTATCAGGACATCATTTCTTTAGAGAAAGTGGTTGTGACGGTGGAAAAACCTCGTGTGGTGTCTGTGCGGGTAAATCCTAATAACCCGCTTTCGCTTTCAAGCTTAAAAACGGCTTCTCTACAATCGCATTTTATCTGCTTGAATGATGGTAAGTTGCTGATTTGTTATAGAAGAACTTGCCGTTAAAACGTAAAAGGAGAGTCTCTTGTAGTCATTACATTATCTTTTCTTTACCGACCACTTGAATTTTCTATTGTGAAGAAATGTCGAAAACCACAGCTAAGACGCGCACAAGGTTTCACAGTATATCATGCGACTAGTATTGTTGTTGTATTAGCAATTTCTGTCGCTGCTATGAGTGGATACTTGTTCTATAGACGCTCAAGAAGGCTCTCAAAGGTTCATAGAAGTATGGGAGACTATAGACCCCTTAGACTGAATATGAATACGTCTTAATCACATGACCAGTTCTATTTCTCTAAATATTCTTTTACTACTTAAATATCGTTTAGCCATTTGTTCCTTTTGAAAATCGCAAAATACTTATCGAAGAGTCTTATGAATTGGTTCATTTTCTATCATTATCCCAACAAAAGTTGTATTTTTCCATATTGATGGGCTATCTTTTGAAAATTTTATGTCTTTTCATTTTCACAAATTTGCATTTTTGTACCTAAGATGGAGTGACTACAAGTTATCAATAGCAGTTTCCAATTAACATCATCATGATAATTGGTCTTAGACCAAAACTGATATATCATCAACTAGAATATTAATTCTTTCGGCCGGGAATTTGGAATGGCTTCTTTGCCGAGTGTCCAGTTTCTTTCACAACTTCAGAGTGTTAACCCAATATTTAACGGTTTTTCAAAAGATACAAAAAGTTCAAGTAGTTCAATTGGTTCTTCTCTACATTCTTTCGGTATCGGTGGCCAATACCAAAGAGCGTCCCATAGCTTCTCGGCTTCATCGCCTTCCGAGAGTAAAGTACCCTCGTTTGTACTCCCTCATCTTGTGGCACCTTCCATTTCAGAAGATGGTATCACACTGTATTTGAAATATGCTTTAGGAGGAGCAATTTGTTGTTCCGTCACACATTCTTCTACCGTTCCTATTGACGTGGTGAAGACCCGTTTGCAGACAGATCCTGGTCGTTATAAAGGCATGGTTGACGGATTCCGCACGATAGTAAAGGAGGAAGGTGCTTCAATGCTCTTACAGGGTTTGGGACCTACAGCAGTTGGATACTTTCTACAAGGAACCTTCAAATTCGGATTTTATGAGTTTTTCAAAAAATACTCTAGTGAACTGGCTGGACCTGAAAACGCCGTTACGTTTCGGTTTCCTATATGGTTGACTGCTGGGGCTTGTGCAGAATTCATTGCGGACCTTTTCTTGTGTCCTTTGGAGGCAACAAGAATTCGTCTAGTCGCCGAACCTTCGTTTGCCAAAGGCTTGACTGATGGTTTCATGAAACTTGCTAAAGAGGAAGGGTTTGTGGGTCTGTACAAGGGTTTGGGACCGATTCTCTTTAAGCAAGTGCCTTATACGTAAGTATATGCCTGTTTCTTTTACTTTGAGAAACCGTTCATATCCTTTTGTAGAATGGCCAAGTTTTCAGTTTTTGAAACAGCACAGGAAGTAATCTACAGAACGTTGAGGAATATTGGTTATCCTCGCGAAAGTATGTCAGAAGGTATGCAACTAGTCGTCAGTCTCAACTCAGGTGTCCTTGCCGGACTTGCTGCTGCAATTGTATCCCAGCCTGCAGACACTGTCCTTTCGAAAATCAATCAAGTGAAGACAGAAGGTTCTACAGCAAAGGCAATTGTTACGATTATGAAACAGCTTGGTTTTCGAAAACTGTTCTTGGGAATCGGACCCCGGTGTTTGATGGTTGGGTGGCTAACTGCAGGTAAGAAGCTCATTGTTATTTCATATATTTGATTGCAAGTTTTGATGTGACTTGATTAGGTCAATTTTTCATTTACGACTATGTGAAGCAGCTTCTTGGTATCTTCCCTACGCAACAAAGCGCTCCCAAGCCGATTGCTGCCAAGGTTTGAAACCATGTAACTAATGTAAGTTCTCGTAAGAACCGGAATCCTTGCTTTGTCATCGAAGGACAGGTTTGAACAAGCCCGTTCTAATATTACTTGTAACCCCAGTGTTTGTTTCATGCTTGTCTTGGAATTTCTTTCAGTCTTTCTTTTCAAATAAAGATGAATTTGAGATGTTTTGTTTGTTGGTAACTGATGAACAGGCTTTCTCTTTATATTTTAATGATCTAAACCATCAAGATTAATGCTATTATATCCATAGTTGATAAGTCATGCTCCCATGAAACAAAACGTTCGCATCAAAAGAAGAACAGCTACTTTTACAACTGCCAATCTGGATCACTCGCTACGAAGCCCAACGACAAATTATTTCTTCACAGATTTTGGATGCGGGACTTTGTAGGGAACTTTGACATGCATAAACCGACAAGAGTCACCATTTGCACAAGTTCCTTGATTATAAAAGTAGCAAATGTTGGTCTTTTTGGAAGCATTGGTCTTTTTATCATCCACACTTCTCTTTACAATGGAATGACTACTTCCATAAGAGTCCACACTCCCTATGGTCATATTTCCGGGATCTTGATGATTTAATGCATCTGAATATGCTGACACAAAGGAAGACTTATTTTGTTGTGCATACGCAAAGAATGGAGCACCTGGACCTTGAAAAGGTTGTTGATTCATTACTGCTCGTTGGCTTTGTTGGGCCAATTGCTGCAAAAGCAATGGATCTATATTACTCTGAGAAGACGGTAATGAATTTACCATTGATAAACCAGACGAAAACAAATTAGTTCCTGGATATGTTACTGAAGTAGATGGTAATCCATGTACAGCACTGTCTGTTCCATTATTGTTTTGTTGACCGTAGTTCACAGACTGCCTTGCTTGCATAGCACCGGTCAAAGTGCTATTACCTGTCATCGAAGCCCCAAATGCCGACAATAACGATTGCAGTACTGACGGGTTTTGCTGTAACATCTGAAGGACATTGCTATTGTTATCAAATGAAGCCTGTGAAGGAAAATTATTCACAGAAGGCTGCTGAGAAGCAGCTTGGTTTTCTTTAAATGTCATATTGGAATGCTTTGATAACTGCTGAGAAGCATGAGAAGATGTTTCAATAGACTCTAAAGGTATTTCTTGTAAAGGTGAAAGTTCAATGGGTTTGTGCTCTGGAGATGAAGGTGAATAATAATTCCTATCTGAATACCGTTCTGGAACCATTTGAACGGTTCTTTCTCTGCTGGTTTTTTCTACGCTTTCCAATCCTGGAACTACAGCATGTTCAACGAGAATGAAGGCTGGGTTTCTCCATTCCATTTCCTCTTTCATTTCTCGAACAACTTTTTCAAAATGTTCACTTTTGGCTTGAAATAGAGACTTCTCCATTTCTCGCTCCCTTTTCTTATGGGCTTCAAACGTTTCACTATGTTGAATTCCTGACGAACTTTGTCCACTGGCATCGATTGATGACAAACCTGCTTCCTCCCTTTCCCACTGGCGAAGCTGTTCAATGTTTTCAATTTCATGAACAGTAACCAGCTTTTCCGGAGGTGCAAACTGTACCCTTTTTTTAGACACAACATTATGACTATCCGCTCCAGGTTTAGACGACTGCTCGAAACGTTCCTGTGTACCGTTAGCATTCTTCCATTCACTCGTAAACACTGATGGGGAAGTATCCTCAGCAATATGGGCTTTCCCAGGACTGAGGGGAGAGGTCGATAAGCTTGACAATTTTGAAGATGTGTTACGCTTCGAAATGGTCACATTCGGCACAGTTGTTCCAAAAAGGGCATCGTCTGAAAGAGTAACTGGATTTTGATTCGGTTTTTGAGACTTTGCAAAGTCCACCTCTGTTTGGTTCTCAAAGCCCTTCGAAAGTGTTTTTTGTCTCTTCTTCAAGCTATCTACGTTGCCTGTGCGGGACCTAAACAAGCGTTATATACAATGACATACTATCAAGAAATACAAACCTCTTTGATGTTTGAGTTTTCAAGTCTCCTTCTTCCTGCTTTGATGCTTCAATGACAGTTTTCTTCCACATTGTGACGATGGTCTTCGCTAACTTAATTGCAAGAGAAAACCAAGGTTCTTCCTGTGCCGATACAGTCATTGACGACCTAGATAATGAGTACACCTTCCTTGCCACTTCCTTGTGTGACTTTAAATCATCCTAGACAAAATTTGTAAAAAACAAAGTCAATAAATCGCGAAGAACAAACCGTCGACAAAGGAATATTTTTAAGTAATGCAAGAGTAACAACTACACACTGCCATTGATGGTTCCTGTGAAACATATCCAACTGTCGGCCAAGAACGGTCAATGTTTCACTTTCCCAAATCTCACTTATATCAGACACCAGTGAACTAGGAACTTCCAAATAATTTTCATGTGTAATTTTTCTTGATAACTCTTGAATTTGACGAGACAATACTTCTCTATCTAATCTTTGAGGAACCTGCGGAGCACTTGCACACCTCTCAGTTAGAAATGGAGAAAGTCGGTGATTTCTTTTTGATGTATTCTGTTTTTCAAGTTCTTCCAAAGTCCCCGTCTCCAATCGACTATCTAGCGCCGTATCGGCTGACTCAGTTGCTGACTCTGATTTCCGTGAGATGCTGTCACCTTCCCGAGTCAAATACCCCATTCCGACACCCTCTGCATTATTTTTTTCGTAAGAAGAGTCAATGCTCTTCTGGTTTCCGTCAGTTGAATTCATCCAGACACCCTTCGAGTCAACAACCGAAGACTGGGAAGTCAACTGTAGGTTGGCGCGCCCAATATAAGAATCAACCACGCTACCAAGTGACGCTTGAACGCCGGAACTTATTATGTGCTTAAAGCTGTCAAGCTCACTCGGCGACTCTTCTGTGGTGACATCCGCACGGTAACTCTCGTTAGACTTCTCCATGTGCAATATCTAAAAATTTCTGGACGCTCCACTAGTAACTCACTCCTTCAAAACTCACGAACCGAACCCTATAAGCTGTAAGTCTTCGTCACCTTCTGAGAAACAACCCTCTAAGCAAACGCATTAAAAAGCCTCGCCTCGCTAAATAATGGCGCAAACAATTTCCGGAAATATGAGAGTTGTGTGGATAACGTTTAGAATGCTAAATTGACTGATTGGCCTTGATATGAACTCGCGAAACTTTCATATTTCTTCACGGAGAGAGAGTGAACGAAAGGAAGAAGATGACCTTGCTCATATTTTTTCCATACCAACGCAATCAAGTCAGGAAAGTTCTCAGCAGAGTGGTCACACAGTTGACAGGCAGTCACAGTCCTTTATTGATTCGGAGCAACCGGTTTATATTGGAGAAACTGCAACCTGGGAAGCTCCATCGTGGAAGTTGAGCGTTGAAGACTCTAACAATGGAGATTCTCAAAGAACAAACCGAAAAGGAAGTGCAGGAAGTTTTCTGACAAACATACAAAGTGGGCCCACCGAGAAAGAAGCAGTCAAACCTCAAGGAACAACTTTACCTGTCCAATCCACTTCAGAATTTTCGTCTAATGCGTTGTCGGAAAGGAAGAAGAGACTAGAAGCTGTTATCGGCGCTGCAAAGGAGAGAGCATCAAGGAGTTTTGGGAGTCCTTCCACTTCTGGTGAAAGCTTTATTAGGCAACCAAAAGTTAAGGGAGAAAACGTTGACGAAAGAAGCGAAAGACCGAAACTGACTGCTCGTGCGATTAGGGAAAGATTGGCAGCCTCCAAGTATGCATCCTTCCGTACGCGAAGTACTGCGGGAAGCAGTGTGTCTTCCACGACTTCCTTGCCTGTTTCAAGACATAATGAGGAACGGTCACCAGTAATTTCCCGATCACCTGCAACTTCTAGAAGGAAGCCAGTGTTAGATGCACGTTCAATAACTGGAACTGAGTCATACAATGCTACTTTTCATGAACGTTTTACTTCAACTTCTTCGTTCGATGACAAAATCCGTTCAGCAGATGAACTACTTTCCAGACTAGAAATGAATACAAGTTCGAGTTCTAAACAATTCGTTTCACAACTAGAGCATGACAATGAAGAAGAATCAGCAATACAGAAAACTTCGGAGATGAGAAGCAGTCAAGAATCCTTCGTAAGTTCTTCGGCCTTAGCAACGAACGAGTCAAAGTGCTTGAGCTCATATAGCGGGTCCATTCAGGAAGCGAACACCACAGGCTTGGACAAATCGCTTTCTCCTCGCAAACCAGAGCAACCGTCATTCCATTTCGTAGATTCAGGTAGAATGAATACTTCGGATGATTTATCATGTATTTTTGAAACAAAGGATCCATTTGAGTTTCAATTTTCTCCATTTGACGTACCAACTCAGGTTGAATTTGGTTCAGATGGAAACAGTCAACAAGTGGAACAGAACTTGTTGAATTATCCAAGTAGCTTTGAATTTTCACAAAAAGATACAGGTGTGTTAGATTCATTAGAGCATAGTACTGAAGAACAGAAATATTTCGCATTACCTGTAAATAATTGGAGAAATGATGATGTTATTAACTCAGGCAATGAAAACCTACCGTTGGTAGCTTCGCCATCATCTAATGTAGAAGATCTTTCATGTATTTTTCAGAACGAGGGACAGAATAACTTTTCATCACTTTTATCTAACGTACAAGAGCCTCTAGATGATACACCAATTGCTCTTCAAAGTGAAGATAGGAACATTGGTTTGGAACCTACATTTGAAGTATCCAGAGGTGGTCATTTTGCCTTTGACAATTCTACTTTTGCTTCTGGGAATAGTTCAGTTGGGACATTGTCTTACAGAACTAAAAACGACCCAGTTTACATGAAAGAGGAAATGGAAGAGGTTCATTTAGGAGACTCCGAACCTGGCGAAGATGCAGTTGAGCAAAGTCGTTTTGGTGGATCTTTAAACAGCCAAAATGCTTTTCTTCCTTCGTTTTCGATAGATGCAAGGCAAACTCAAACCAGCTTTAAATCCTTGGAGAGTAATGCACATTTCGAAAGCTCTCCAATCTTTCCCGAAAAACACGCTATTGTTTGCTTTGGTCCACATGGATACTTGTTAACGTCATTTCCGCACATGATTCCTGGTTTTCGTGTTTGGAACGGTAGAGAATATGTAGAAGATAGCTCGTCAGTAGTGGTGAAACCCGGCGCCATAAATATCGTTCCCTTTATTGAAATAGTGGAAGATACTGAGGAACGGTTCTTTGAATGTATTCGAAATTTACATGAGGATTTGATATACAGTCTTGGAGTGGAGCCAATGAAAACATTTTGTGAAAAAATTGCCTTAAGCTGCAAAAGGCGCTCAGAGAGCCTTCTCTGGAATATATTGAAAGTTCTTTCAAGTCATTCGAAGGAAACAGAGTGGCATTCCTTATGTATTGAACTCAAATCTATTCTTAGTACAACACAGGAGGACGAGTTTGCATCTTTAACTGCACAATTGGGTAAAACCGGAAATGTGAATGACTTCAATGTTCGTTCTCTCGAACATTTGTCCTCAAAGTCATCGAAATTAGACCATTTTCTGCAAACTGCAGTAGCAACAGAGAACTGGACTCTAGCACTAATTCTAAGCAGACTAGTTGGTAGTTCACTTAGGGAACATATAACGAGACAGTTTTTGTACGGTCAACTACAAGATTTACCTCTCATTCGCTTTCTCATACTACTATCAAATGATGTTGTCCCAAATCTTAGCGAATTGGAGTCAGTCAATTGGATAACTGCGACGAGTATACTTATCGATTGTGACACAGGTTATAGGGAAAAGGGTCTTACAGCCTTGGGTGATCATTTGTTGATGCATCGGTCAGATATATTTGCATCCCACTGTTGTTATATTCTTGCTGGAAATCCTTTATGTTTTGATAGTTTCTTTGCTTCCAGACTGTTGTGGGAAGAAAAGGGTCTACGCATGATATTGGTTGGTGCAGATCCGCATTCTTCCGTTCGTGCGTCCTTGACAAGTATTCCTTCAATCATGAGAACAATTTTTTATTTGTATTTAAGAGAAAATCGACTGCCGAATCTGATGAGTCCCTTTTTACTGCATCTAGCTTACGTTTTAGTCGAAACTGGTCGCTTGGTGCTGGCAAAGCGCTTATGTGGTTTCTTAGTTAACAAAGCACATACTTTATTAAAGTCGAACGATCCTCATTTTGTTTCGGAAGCGCAACGGTTAACGGCAGTGTATTATTCATATTTAGAGCGATTGGATGAAAGGCTACAGAAGATGTTACTCGATGATAGTTACGAGCAAGGAGAACATGGTGTGAGTTTGACAAGGTCACTTTCAAAAGTATTTCGTAGCATTGCCAAAACAGGCTCCAAAAAAAATCTTCGTCCCCGTAGTAGTTCCAATAGCAGTTGGGAGTCATTTGCAGCAGCCGCTGTGAGTATTATTGCACCTGCAGAGGAAAACGATACCACATCTTCTTCCAAATATGTACGCAATTCTAATATAATTCCCTCATCAGAAACTACAAATACAGAGAATATCCCGAATGTGGTGGCATCACCAGTTCGTTCAAATGAATCAGCAGGACAAGGACAGTCGCCGTTTCAAAGTAAGATTTCTTCTACCAAGCAAAATTCAGAAGTTATAAGTGAGAAAACCTCTCCTAAAGGAACCCCCAACAAGGAGACTGCACACGGAAAACTCGCAAGCAATCAGCCATTCAGTAAAGGTGACTTTCCAAACAGTGCACCAGGTACGAGAGTAGCAGCAGAAGACAATATACAACGTACTTCGAATGGTAGTCAAAGTGGAGTTGAAAATGGTTCACATGAGAAAAAACAATCCTCAAGACGTTCATTGAGTTCTTTTCTAATGGAGAAACTTACAAAAATCGCGGGGCCGAAACAAGCCAACCTTGGTAAAGAGAACAAGTTTTACTATGATGAAAAGTTGGGTAGATGGATTTGTGAGGGTGGAGAGGAAAACAATGAAGAAGTTCCACCACCACCACCCTCCAAGCCTTTGGACTCGTCCAACATATCGCAGAATACTTATATGAAAGAACCTGAAGAGATACAGGATGATATGCATCGTGCTATGTCAAGGCGTCGTTGGAGTGCCCGAGCGAGATATGTTGATACATTTGGACAAGCCGATCAAATAAGTGGCACGAAACCGCCTCTTGTAGTTCCTCCTTCGGCAGCAACTCGACAGCTGTTTAAGCACTCAGATCCAAGTGACAATCCGCAATTTGGTTTTAGTATGTTTACTCCCGTTCCGACTCAGAGTAGCTTTTCGGATAAAGACAATACAGATTGGAATGCGTCGAGTTATTCGGAGTCTCCTGTGAATAATGTTTATGATGCAACTGGTACAAATAACTAAGAAATTGGACAATAAAGCACTTCTCAGTTCATGACGCGCCATAGCTGTTATCAGTTTGTCGAACCATTCTCTTTTGGTATTGAATATGAATAGACGTTTTCTTGGATACTCATACTTTGAGAATTTTTGTTATTCCCACGAAATCAGTTCTATTATAACTTAGTTCTAACAATCTTTTAGGTTCGACAACCTGTATCAAATAGGCGAAAGATTGTTGTTCAACACATGTTTGAAACTTGTTCTTCTGTTGCCTATTCAAAGTTTAGCACGTCAGTTAACGTGTGAATTCGGAGTGGATAGTGAAGTGTTGCTTAAAGTTCACAGAACTAGAGTGCTTTCTTGTTCTTTCGGAATCAAAACAAGAACACAGCATATGCTTGTTGCTCTGAAAAGGAAAATATTAGCTATTACTCAAGCGAACCAGACACTTTGCTTGTAAACTACAATGATTATTCTATATCACTATTGAGCCCTTAACTTGAAAGTGAATACTTTTGCATTTGACCAGGACTTTTACAAATTTCGTTTTCTGAAATTAGATTTTTGAAGGGGTTGGAAGGCCGATTGGTTTCGTGTTGAGAGAACTTTTTCGTTCCATGGACCAAGTACCGCACTTTGACTTGAGTAATAGTAGACATGAAAGTTATGGGCAGCAGAATCGACCTGTTGGTTCTGGGTTTTCTCCTAGAAATACACAAATACCTCAATGGGCGCCAACTTCTTCACAGACACTTGCTGCTCCCTACATAGGAGCAAGAGTTTCGTTGATTTCTAACTCAGAAATTCGATATGAAGGTACTTTGGTAGATATTGACACGAAGGTGGGTTAGAATAGCTCTTTGAAAATCATAGAACTGATGGAGTAGCTTAGGAAAGTACCCTGTCTTTACAAAATGTTAGAACGCTAGGAACAGAAGGAAGACCAAGAAATGGACCACAGGTATATTATTTGAAACTGTTGTATTTTTTTAACTTTTCGTCTTCTAGATTCCACCCTCTCCTGAATTATACGATTACATTGTGTTTAGAGGTTCCGATATAAAGGACTTACAGGTTTTGGAACCTCCTCTACGACAAAATGTATTTCAACAGTATCCTCGATCTCTAGATGACCCTGCAATTTTAAGTGGTGGCTCTTCGTACACCCCCCTCGGAGGAATGGGGTATAGTGGATTATATGACTCCCATTCTTTAGGAGGAACAAACTTTGGAACGAATCAAGGAATTCCTTCTGTAATGCCACAACAGAGTTTTCATTCGCATACTCAACAACAGTATCCTGGAGTCTTTTCACCTTTCCAACACGGTCCTTGGGGTTTGGTACCAGCGGAGAGTTCTCACGACCCTCTGGAAGCCGAACGGAAAGTGAATATCCCTTTCGGTTCTGACAGACAGGTTCAAGGGACTATGCCATTAGGCGCGCAACGATTGGAACCCGCCGAAACGGAAACTTCGAAGGCACCTTTGCCTGCAGTTGGAGCACCCTCTAAACCTCGAGGCTGGGGACCACCTCCAACCAAAGGTTTGGATGCAAGACAGATTAAAGAGTCTACTATTCAAGATATTTCGCAGCAATCAAGAGATACTGAAAGAAAAGATTCGTTTCACAAAGAATTAATAGAGTCAGAACCAAGTACAAACAATAGCAAAGCAGTAGCAAATGGAGTCGACTCATCGGAGCGTAGTTATATTCGCACTCAACATGGACAAAACTATGATCGTGGAAGTTATCGAGGTAGAGGTCGGCCATACTATAGAGCTAGCCGAGGAAGTGGTTCTCGAAATCGAAATAGAGTGCAAAATTCCGTTGCTGTTAAGGAATCGCGTATAGAAGAGTTTGATGTGGTGGCTATGAACGAAAAATTTGAAAAGGTTCATTTGGAAGAGAAGAATATGGCTGAGCAACAAGTAGTTGGGACAGAAAGGAAATATGATAAGCAAGTTAGCTTTTTCGATCGTTTATCTTCTTCCACCCACAGAATCGAAGGAAGAGGACAGATCCAAGCTATCTGAGTAAGTTTTGTAAGGTTTCCCTTCAAAATTTATTTCTTATTAGGATTTTGTAGGATGCGAAAGCTTGACGCCGAAACTTTTGGTCGAGACTCCTTGAGTCAAAGAGGCGGAGGTGGAGCCTGGCATGGTTCTAATCGTTATGGGGGAAGAGGTCGTCCTCGTTATTATGAGAGTAGTAATTCTGGATATAGTCGACCACATAGTTCAGGCCGTGTTTATCGTATTCGCGGAAGTACTTCATAAATGGAAATGGGAAATGTTGTGTTGTCAGTTATATGTGAGTTTTTTGACACTCTTTTATTAGAATAGAGTCATTTTTATATGAGTAATCCATGACAAAGTTAAATAGTCGTATAAATCTACATTTCCTTGGTGTTCTTGACCGTTCTGTATATGTCATTGATAATGTCAGGTCGAAGCATGTGTTGAACTGGAATATTCCTTCGAATAGTTTCTTCATAAATGAGCATAATAGTTTCTGGTTGGATACTCAAAAAATACAAATCCAGTATACAGATTGAATTGCGAACTCGGATAAGTGATAGTCTTTGCTCTAGATTTGACTTGTCATTCTCTCGCCTTTTAGAAAAATTTGCTTCCTCTTCATCTTCCCCATATGCTGCGTCATCTACGTAGATCCAAACATAACCATTGTCCCCTAAAATGATATGTACTCCACACGACAAACGATGAAAATGCTTCTTGGAACGTTTCACAAGTTGGGGAGTAACAGATATAAATATGCCGTTCTCTAATTTTCCATATTTTAGAGAACGGGTGTGAAGCATAATAAGGCCATCTTGTTTCAACTAAAGCTGTCTCAATCTACTACAATTCAACGAGAAAATAGACTTCTTACTTCTTGAACCTCTGCGCTGATCAAATCATCTTGATCAAAAAATTCGCGCATTTTCAGTTCATCCTCATAAGTCCGTCTTCTCTGAACACCACCAGGCAAGTTAACTGCAGAACTATTGCAGTCTCAAGTAAAAAAACTCCTCAAATCCTACTTTAAATACTTACAGAAGAAGAACTGCGTCCTGTCTAGAGTTTACATCTACTTTCCATCTTCTTGAGACTATGTCTCGAATCCGACCAACGATGACGTCACCAACTTCTGCCGAGTAACGGGCTCGTATCGGCAAAACTGCCACGAGTTTGTTCACCCGTTCTACAATACCAGCTACTGTAGAAGTAAGTCTTGTACCTTGAACCTACAAACAAGCTACAATGAGGCAATTATTTCAAAACTGACTCAGCACCTACCATAGTCCCATGACCACGAACGACACTTTCTTGCGATAAAATATCATCACCAGGTGCTACAAACCTATACTACTGTAAAACAGCGAATACTTTTCTTGAATAAGTGCTTACTGACTACTTTTGACGATAGATGGAGTAACAACGGCTTCTTGTTCAAAAGGACTCACAAAAATTGAGGTATCATCATCTTTGTCCATTTGTTTGACCCACAACAATAATTCCCATATAAGTTTTGGAGACTTACAAATGACAGGACTGTTCTATTTGTTGTATAGGGAAATGATTGCGATCAAGTCTTTAGATAGACACATTTGGCATCAGTTAAAATTACTATCAGCTTTACTCATCCAAAGATAACTCTATCATTCTTTGACTGTCTATAAAAGTCTGCAACTCTTTCTCTGAACGTTTCAGGCTCCCAAGATACCAATTGGACTCTCAACAATAACTGAATGGATATAAAAGTGAAAGAATACCCCTAATTTATTGCACCAAAAATGCCACTGAAATGAATACTTTCTATGAAGGGTTTGAAAAACTATCATAATGAAACAAGGAACTGATTTCTTTCTTATATCTCTTATAAACCTCAGACCGCTTAACCTTCAATGTTTGTGTCAGTAAGCCATTCTCAACTGTGAATGGTGCAAGTATCAAATGAAATGTGCGAATAAAATCGTTGGGTGTAAAATGGGGACGAGAAACGACACGTTCATACAATTCTTTGCGAACAAGTTGTTTGATGCGCTCCATTTTTGTCAATTTGACTTCCTCTTCTCTCAAAAAAGAATCCTTTGAAGGATCAAGTCTTGCTTCTTCTATTGCTGTTATATATTCAGATGAGAGTATTCCTTCTACCTTGAGGTACTCTAAAGAAGGAACAAGAAGGGCTCCCAAGTGCCTCTCATCTTGACCAACCAATATCACTTGATCAAATAATGGACTTTCCAAAATTGCATCTTCTATTGGTTGCGGCTCAATATTTTCACCGTTATTGAGAACAATGACATCCTTATAACGACCACTTATAACTATATGACCATTATTTGGTACAATCCACGCCAAATCTCCACTATTGAAAAACCCATCCTCTAAAAAGACATCGGACCTTTCAGGTTCTCTATAATAACCTCTCACAACACCAGGACCTCTGACTAATAATAGTCCAATATCACCGTGTTTCAACTCTTCCTTGGTTTCTGGATGGACAACTTTCACTTGAGTACCAGGTAAACATCTCCCCGACGAACCCAACATATTTTCCAATCCAGGCCTTCTATGTGAGACAACTGGACTGGTTTCTGTCAGTCCATAGCCTACCAATAAACAGACTCCTGTGGAAGCATAAAATTCTTCCAAATAAAAAGGTAAAGAACCACCTCCACAAATTCCACATTGTACTCTACCGCCTAAAACACTTCTTATCTTTGACCAAACCTGATTCATCAAAATGAATAAATCTGAAATCCTAAAAAAGATAATACTTACTATCCAATTCGCCAATTTGTGAAAGGTAAAAAGAGCTATCAGTACGAAGAAGGCTTTCAATTTCTTCCAAAATCTGGAGTCTATACGAAATATGTCCAATGAGAACAAAGTACGAAAAGCTCTGTGATAACTGAGAGATATGAAAGTAAACATTCGTATAAGATATCGCCTCATTAGGCTCTGTTTTGAAATGTTCGACATAATGTTGTTATATAAACTCTCAAATACTCGAGGAACGGCTACTAAAAATTGGGGCTTGTGTAACTGCAAATCATTCCTTAGATTACGCACATTTGAATATACCACGCAAACGCCTCGTGCAAAAAAAAAGTATTCTGCAGTTCTTTCAAACACGTGCCAACAAGGAAGAATACTAACAAAAACATTTCCAGGGACAGGACAACATTTACCGATGTCAATTGACGCTATCTGATAGAGTAAGTTTTCATGAGTAAGTTCAACTCCTTTGGGTCTTCCAGTGGTTCCTGAAGTGTAAATCAAAGTAGCCAAATCCGAAGATGAAGCAAACGGGACTGAGACTTCGTTCTGATAGTTCCAACCTTCCTGAATAAGAGAATCAAAAGAAAAAATCTTAAGTTGAGGAAAGTCGGTGGGAACCTTTCCCCATAAAATGATGGCAAATTTCAACTTCTCACTTCCCTAAAGCTTACTAGTCAATAAAATTGCAAATGGATATCTGGAACTGACCAATTTCTCTACTAAACGAACCAAAACTTGTGCATTTTCTGCCACCAACCCTATACTTTCACTATGCTCATAAATATAACACAATTCCAGTAGAGGAGCACCAGAACCTCGAACTGCAGAAGCAGCTCCAATAGTCATCACTGCTTGGTCTAATACTAACCAACGATAACTATTTTCTGAAATCAAACACACCTTGTTTCCTTTCTTGAGTCCAATTCTTTTCAAAGCCACTGCACAGGCTTGGATGCTGCGATGCAATTCGAGAAAAGTAAGTTTAGTAGCTTGTCCGTTATGTTGGTCTACAATGGCAACACGATTGCCTTCCTTTTCTGCTAAGTCTTTCCACATGTGAGGAACACTGGGCCACTTCTTTAAAGTTTCTCTTATAGGCTGTGGAAGCAGGAACTGATTCGTGCCAGTAGAATATTCCTTTGCAAAGGACTCCGACAACGACGAATCTCTTACGTTTCCCGTAGCAGAAGCCATAAAAGTTGAAACGTTGACACACTTTTTACTACTTTTGTAGACAAGAAATCTTGAGAGAAGGTCCTCACGGTTCTTCTTCCAGTTTGGAGTCAAAACTCGACTTTTACAAGTTTTCCGACGTTCGACGACAACTCTAGGAAGCCTCGTGCAACGAATGCTACTATCGCTTCTATTAACAGTTTCAACAAATGAACATTTGTTTCCATGCGACTCGCTCCTGTTCATCTTCTGCAAACTCTTAAAGAATCATTTGTGAATTTTCTCCAGATTTGATCGTTGGCCTATCCCTCTTCTCCTGTTTGTTTATTACTTAAGTTGGCTAAGCTGTTCACAAATGTTAAGAAGAGTTCGATACCAAAAGTGGCCCTTCTGACTCCTCTACGTTCGTTCTGTTTATTTTTCTGACAAATCTATTGTAGAGATACCGACTTAATATTAAGATGACTGTCCCAGTAACGACCAAAGGGAGAAAATAAACGAGTCCTGTCGACGGAAGCCATTCTATCCATTGAGAATAGCTCTGTGGTTCTCTCCATACACACAATTTCTTACGCTGGCTAGCATTAAGAGTAAATTCATTCAAGTAATGAATAAACGACGTGAGAGGACAAGGATCGTCACAAATAGACAGCGATATAGTCGCGTTGTTATACTCTAAATGCACATTGTAGTCATTCAGATTATCGGAAACATTGACAGAATCATTCAAATGTAACTCCAGTATAATAGTTGAATTATAAGGCGGGTTATATCCATCAAATGCTTGCAGACAACTCAATACTGAAGCAATAGTTGTGTCATGACCTGAATATAAAATGAACTTTAGGAGTGACCTTTGACTCACTCTGTTCAAGATATTGGATACAATATCCTCCAAAAGCAAGCCCGCAAGTAACTGTTGAACTTCTTCGCTTTCATAACTTTTTTGATATACCCAAGCTGTCACATTCTCTACTTGATGAAACAAGTCTTCGTCTAGTTGAGGAACTTGTATGCCATGCGATTGGTCACAGGTCCTTTGCATCGTTTAGGATGATACACGTTACATACAAAGTACTTACCAGACATCAAGAATTCTTCCCAAATCATCCAAGTCACAATGTTCTAGACCAGTAATATTTGCAACTCGTTGCAATAACAACCAACTTTCATTTCTTTTTGAAAGCCAGTCTTGAGAATGACGGAGGAGTTCCAAAATCTGCTCATGTCTGGGACAATCCGCACCAACTTTTATCATACTATCATTATTTTGGACATCTGAATGAATAGGTACCGGTTGCCAGAAAAAAGGAAGTGCTGGAGTCAGTGCTGTGACTTGTTCATCTCTCGCGACCGGTCCCGTTTCAAAAGGAAACATTCCTGCCATCTGACAATATGCACTCATCAGGGTACGATCCGTGTCACTGGACAGAACCATAACCTATCGAGCAAGTTACTCGCTACTCCATTTGACCAATCACTCAGAACGGTACCTCACTGACAGAGAAGTTGTTATGAAGAAAGCCGGAGTCTACATATCTTTGTCGAAGTCTCCTTGAAAAAGTTCATATGAAAAGCTCAAAGGAACAGAAAACAGATACCTCCCAAGTTCATAATGAGCTCTCATTCCTTTGGCAGTCAGTTGTCCAGGACCCTTGAAGACTTGAATAAAAAGTGAAGAGAAACCTGAGACTTACTCCTGGCCATAGATTGTAAGGTTTCGGGTCGTTGGGATAAGTATTGAGTGGTGAACGGTCTCCATGCCTACATATTTCTATAACCTGAACCAGTTTTGCCTCGCAAGATATAGTGAAGGCAAAATGAACCAACACTAGGCACCACACAAACTCTCTTCCCATTTTCATACAACTCTCAAAGAAAATCTTATTGTGTTTATTTAAAACACTTAGTTCCCAGAATTCACAAATAGATAAAATTGGAATGCTCTCCTCTGTTGCGCTTTCTAAGCAATTGCACTACATACTAACTCGCTAACATTCAAATCCTCACTCCTTACGGTGAGATTCAATATAACAGCTTCATTCTCCTTCACAAATTCGGCATAACAAACAACCAATATGAAATCAGCTTCTGTAACTAAGCTTCCACCAAACAATGAAACATGTTGAGTTGCATATGGAGAGACTTGGGCTCCTTCCACAACTGTCATTCCAAGGAAGTCTCTTACAGCATTCAAAGCTGAAGGAATAGATTGATGCATGCTCAAAGCGAAAGTCTCTCGAACTTCATTTTGTGAACCGAACTTATCCCAAATATCTTTGAAACGAGCATTGCTTTGTTGAAGAGGCACCATGTAATCCGAAATTCCAAACGAAAGGTCTTCCAGTTTGTATTCCTCATCAAAACCTCTTTCATCCACTTCGCCAGTGGATGGAATCATTTCTTTTACAACATAACGAACTTCACAAGGCGCATCTCCAATGGGATAAAAGCCTTCCAACCTTTGTAATACAACAAATGCATGCTGTGGAGACCCATACTTTAACAACGAGACCGGTATATTTTTAACCAGTTGAAGGCCCTCTATCGAACTCAAATCTGTAATGATATGGACATTTTCAAGAATTTGATCCTCCAATGTACTCACAATAATAAATTCCAAGACAATACATTGACGGTAGGTATGCTTCACATAGGTAACATTGTATTCCGTTTCAGGCTCAGTTAATTCAACTGATGAACTCGTTTTGAGAGGAATTCCCAAAGAAGCCAATTCCTCTATTTCAGAGAGACGACTGTTCGAATCTCTCCAACTAGGCATTTCCTTGACTTGCGATGGGGCAAGTGAAACATTGCCCCAATTATCCGTATTCATATTTGCTTCCTCCGCTTTCACTGGAACACTTGTCATCGGAATTTGCTCTGCTGCTTCAAATCCTTTCTCTGCCTTGGGAACATTGACCACATTAAATTCTTCGTTGAAATCTTCCCTCTTTAAATAATCAACAAGATTACCCTCCAACTCTGGCAATGAATATGGTAAATGAGGAAACTCCTTAATTGTTGTAGGACTGGACACCGGTTCTTCACCTTCATCAATCTTAATAAGACTATTCTCTTCGTCAGTAATACGTTGGCACTGATGCAAGAAATAGGAAGCACGGTCACGAACTTCATCATCGCTGTCATGAAGGCACTGTTTCAAAAGAACTACGATGGCTTTTCTTGTTTTGGATGTTGAATTCTCATCCAAAAATCTAGCCAAAGAAGAAACTGCAGCAGCACGGACAGCAGCATTTTCTAGTATAATCCTGTTATAAATATAACGAATATATTTGCCAGGCTGAGACATCTTTGGACCTTCTTGCCCTAGTAGATGAAGAATTCTTGCAGAAAGAAAAGGATGTTCACAATCTTCAATAAATTCACATAGATGTGTCAAACATATTTCTTTGGACTGTGGAATCTCGTTAAGAAGAGAAAAATAGGCATCAACAACAGCTCTCTTGAAATCAAAACCGCCTTCTTCACGCAACGAACTTCCTAAGAAATTGAGTAAAGAGTAATAACTGACAAAAGGTAAGTAATTAGAAAAAAGGTACAGGATAAAAAAGATACCTATTTGGGTATTTCAACACCAAGGAATGTACAGCTTCCACGATTTGAACTCGAAATTCATCTGGTAGTTCCATAAACTTGGACTGAATTTTCTTCAGAAAGCCTTCAATAGTTTGTTCTCGAGCACCTCGAAGCACTGTTGCGATTGCCAGAGTCGTAATTGCTCTATTCTTATCATGAAGAAAATCTTCAAAGTCAAATGGATCAAACCATTGTTGATTAGGGTAAAGATATGTCGCTTTGTTCAGAATTCTCAAAGCTGCGTGTCTCACAACCGAGCTTCTTCTCAGTAAGTGCGAGTTAACAATTGTAACTGTCTTCTTTACTTCTTCTCTTGATATTCCAGGAACTGAAATAATGGCTCTTGCAGCTTCACAGACTACCATATCGGATGGATGTCGCAGACAACTTTCGATGAATTCAAAAAAGGGACGATATTCATTTATGTTTTCGTTCGAAGAAGTTTCCCCAATGATACGAAGTATGCATCTGATAAGAAGACAACAAGCGAAGGCAGAACGAATACCCGAACGAGCAAGGCCTTGAACTAGTTTAGATACCGCCAAACGATCGTGTTGTCTAATCTGATAAAGTAAAGCTAACGCATGATACTGTACCATAGGTGAGGGGTGCTCCAGGGCCTGAGTTATTTCCGAGATCCATCTGCGAACAACGTCTCCCTTATTATGCAGTAAAAGATGTTGACCCGAAACTAAGGCTGCAGAAGCCACTACAGGGTTTCTGTCGACTATTTCTTGTTTCAGGTATCGTTCAATTTGACTGACCATCTGAGAGTCTGTTATTCGGCAAAGCACTCTAGTTGCGTTGGCACGGTACATGTCTTCTCTTGAGTTTACATCCTTCATTAAACAATTGGTGACAATTATTACTTCATCTGCCGCACCAGCGAGTTCCTTTATGGACAAATAGACTAAACGTCGCAAGGTGGGCTACGAAATCAAGAGAGCGTCAAAGACACACGAATTGATTCGAGAGTTTTCACTCACCTCATTAGATTGAAAAAGCTTCGTTATTGAAAAGAATACTTCCGTAGCCTCACTACTTGAAAGTTTTTCCCCTTGCCCAACAAGATACAGTAAACGAACAAGTGCGTCTACACATTTGCGAAGTTTCAAATGCAAGTCATTGAATATGCGACACTCTTGAAGAACTGCTCCTTTTTCGATTCCTAGAAAAGGCGAAACTACCAAGTCATCTTCACTTTTCAACTTGATAGTTGGCAAGTCATCTTTGCCTAGAGAAAGAGTTGCCATTCTTCCTTTTTCAACCAACAACAATTTCTGAAAAATTACAATTTCGGTTGAATCTTCAATTGATTTTTCCTTTATAGAAACATAGTGTATTTGACAATCTATTATATTCATGTATTCAACATATATGTATGTATATAAGTGGTAAAGGAAACCATGAAGTAGTCTGAACGATGAATAGCTACTTCAATAGTCAAAGTCATTTTGATTCAAAAAGATATTAGGTTTGCTGTAATGGAGTTGATTCAGCTTGCAATATGATACGAGTTTGAGGTGGGAGAGAGAGAGAGAGAGAGATAGTTATGACGTATGTCTCAAGGAAAATGAAAAAAATATAATTTATGTTGAGAAAATGAAATACAGGCTCAGGTTTCGCGAAAAGAGTTGTGAAGATTGCCCAAGGGCCAATCCAGTGTCTAGTTTCCTTAAAGAACTCTTACTCGCTAAGTCTATCTTTCACTTTTTAGGCAATCTACAATAAAATATGAGAATCGAATATCTTTATCATGCTCTTTGGTCTTTATTATGCAAGTCTGAAGGAAATGTGAATTGTTGGCCTGTCGCACATTATCGATTGTCTCGTAGGCACGCTGTTATGCTAAGATTTGAGCACATTCGTCACTTGTCAACTATTCACGTTTTGGAAAGAAGCAAGTTGAGTTGTAAGCTTGAGAAGTACGCGGAAAATGCGGTTGGAAAGGTTCCAGTCTTGATTGGGTCTTTCACGAGGCACTTTACTTCCAAGGTTTGTACTGCTCTCTTTGGTTGAGTATTAGCTTGATCGTGTGTTTTCATAGAGTTTTACGAATGTTTCAAAAAGAAATATTTCCAAAGTTCTTGTGGCAAATAGAGGAGAGATAGCAATCAGAATTATGAGAGCTGCAAAGCAGTTGGGACTCAGAACAGTCGCAGTCTTCTCAACTGCCGATCGAAACGCAGTGCATACTCGATTTGCTGACCAAGCCGTTTGCATAGGACCACCGCCTTCAACACAATCATATTTGAATATTCATTCCATTCTCAAAGCGGCAAAGGAGACAGGCGCGGATGCTGTACATCCTGGATATGGTTTTCTATCTGAACATGTAGACTTTGCAGAGGCACTGGAAAAGGAAGGTATTAAATTTGTAGGACCTAATACTAAGGCTATCAGAGCTATGGGAGACAAGATTGAGTCGAAAAGAATTGCCAAAAAAGCAGGTGTCTATATAATTGATGGTTATATTGGAGAGATAAATTCGGATAGACAGGCCTCCGAAGTTGCTAAGTATGTAAAGCAAAATTTCTTGAACTAGAGTGATTGATGGCTATAGGGAGATTGGGTTTCCTGTCATGGTCAAAGCTTCTGCAGGTGGAGGTGGAAAGGGAATGCGTGTTGCATCGAATGAAAAGGAGTTGATCGAAGCTTTTCGTATTTGCAAGTCAGAAGCAGAGTCAGCTTTTGGGGATAGCCGTCTGTTAATCGAAAAATATATTGTGAAACCGAGACATATAGAAATCCAAATCCTTGCTGATGAACACGGAAATGTGGTTTATTTTCCTGAGAGAGAGTGCTCCGTTCAACGAAGAAATCAGAAAGTAATTGAAGAAGCGCCAAGTCCACTTCTCGATCCTATAACTCGACAGTTGGTATTTCTGTAATCTTTTTTGAAGGAACTTACTGTTCGATAGGAAAATGGGTGAACAAGCAGTAGCTTTAGCAAAAGAGGTCGGATACACATCTGCCGGTACAGTTGAATATTTGGTATCTGGTTTAGATAAATCATTTCATTTTTTGGAAATGAATACAAGACTACAGGTATTACTTTATGTTCTCCATGTGAGCTTTGCATCTTATGAAATGAACGAATAGGTGGAACATCCTATTACAGAAGCTATAACAGGTATCGATCTTGCGCAGAGTATGTTTCGAATAGCAGCAGGTGAAAGGTTACATATAAAGCAAGAAGATATATCAATCGTTGGCTCAGCAATCGAATGCAGAATATATGCAGAGAATCCTTATAACAACTTTTTACCCAGCGTTGGAAACATTCGTTGTTATAAGGAGCCTAAATTGGAACATCTCAAACCCCTGTCGCCCAGTTTGGGAAATCGACTGGAGCGTCTAGAACATTTGAACTTTAACTCCCATGGAGTTCGTGTCGATGCTGGAGTTGAAGAAGGTTTGGATGTAAGTATGATTTGAAGTTATAGATGAGTTTCTTATTCAAAAATTCTTATAGATTCCTATTTTTTATGATCCACTTATCTCGAAACTTGTAACATTTGGAGAAGACCGAACTGTTGCCTTGCATCGAATGGCAAATGCACTCGATGAATATGTTATCGATGGAGATAGACTCGTACATAATGTCCCTTTTTGTCGTGCGGTTATAAGTAATCCAAAGTTCATTTCAGGAGATATCACAACGAACTTAATCAAAGAAGAATGGCCAGATGGATTCCATGGTGTCTCTTTGTCTAAAGATCAGAGTTACCAGGCCATGTCTGCCACAGCCATGTTGTATTTCAGAGATACAGGTTATACTTCGACAATTGTGAAAGTAGATAATCATCAAGAACAACAGTTTCTTGTTCGTAGAGTGAATAACAACACGCTGGGCTTCCAACCTATTCCCCTTGACTGGAATGGAGCTGTTCCAAAAAACGCAACAGAGGAATTAGTATCGAATTCGTATTTCAAGACAAGCATTCTGGGAGGAGGGCGAATAGAGTTGATAAATATAGAGACTAATAACAATCTGGGAGTTATTCAAGTAAAGAGACTGGGCAATAGTCGACTAGACTTAGTGGCGTCGTACACGGTTACTTGTTTTGGAGCCAAGTTCGACGTGTGCCTGCGTCCGGCATATGTTGCCGTGCTTGAGAAAGTTAGTAACTTGTCATTACTTAGTTGTCCTGTTTTAACAATATGAATAGTTCATGAAACGAACGGATGCTGCATCACAAAGCAAGATACTGAAAGCTCCTATGCCAGGAACGGTACGTTCTATAAATGTGAAGGAGAAAGACTCTGTTTCAGAGGGGCAGGAGGTGGCAGTATTAGAAGCCATGAAGATGCAGAATGTATTGAGAGCCCCATCATCTGGAATTGTGAAGCGAGTGTTCTGTTCTCAAGGCGAAATTCTCAGCCTTGACCAACCACTTGTTGAAATTGAATAAATATTAGACATTTTGGTTTCTTTTTAAATACTAATTCATTTCCCAAATCAAATTTTGTAGTTTGGGCTACAATTGTGAGTCCTTTCATGAAGTATCCATTACTATGAGAGCTCAGGAAACGAGGGATAGCAATGGCTACAAATTAAGCACCTGCATCGCTTGCTTTATTTCACTTTCAAAGCTTAGTCAGTTAAAAACGTTGAAAAGGATAAATGACATTCAGTATAAGCTCCAATTGAAGGTATCGCTCACAACCAAAACTATTTCCAAGTGTTATATATCCTTATTGCCTTTTGTTCAAAGCACGATATAATATGTCATTAATGCATAGATACATAACAGCCTTCCTTTTGCTGTCCTAATTGAGAAAAGAAATGAACGATTTCCTGGACTATCCTCTCCCGTAACTCGGCATTCCATTCGGAGCTCCTCAATAACTGATGAACATTCTTAAGTTCTTCCACAGCTGTATCTCTTTGGCAAATAATCATCTTAAGATTGCTCATTTTGCTTTCAGTTTTGTCACGATATTTCTTAATAAACTGGGTAAGTTTACGCAACTCGTCCTTCAGTTCAGCCGATTCTCTTTCCGCATCTTGTCTTCTTCTCTGTTCCGCGGAAAAAGCTTCCTCATCAAAAACATGAGCACGATCCTTCTCTATTTCAAGCTTCATATGGAGTTCAGCATAATCGTTCTGAAGAATAGAATAATCAAACTCTTTCTTGCGTAACTCATTTTCCAAGTTTGCTAAGCGCTTGCGACTCTCGGCCAACTCTCTTTCTTTCTCATCTGATTCGTGAACATAAGTTAATTGATGTGATAACCTTTGGGTTTCTTCAACAAGTTTGTTCATTTCCGAAACCAGAGTTGCCTTTTCTGATTTTTCATTTTCGACAGCAGCAAGCAATTTCTTCTTTTCAGATTTTACAGCTTCTAAACAATCTTCACATATTCGCAGCTCCTCTGTTAATGAAATGATTTGAGACTGATATTGAGTTTCTTGCCACTTTGCTGTTTCAGTGGCTTGCTCAAGATCGTTCTCCGTCTTCAGCAACTTGGAACGCAACTCAGATAGTAGTGAATAATTCGAGACTAACTGCTCATCTTTTTTTGCTACTTCTTTCTTGAAGCTTTCTAATTCCGCATCTTTCTCGCATAATTTTGCTTTCGTTTCGTCTAGTCGCTCTTGGAGAAGTTTCATTTTCTCTCTCATTTGCAAAACCTAAGGAATTTCAGTTTACAAAAAGAGGTGAGTTTTTTCACTTGCCTCTTCGCTGACTCTTTGAAGGGAATCGGACAGTTCTGTTCGTGCAGTTGAAGTTTGACTTACTTGTGCCTTCAAACTTTCTATTTCTCTATTTCTTTGCTTGATTTCGTCCTCGGCAGTTTCAAGTTGAAGAGAGCTCGAGAGAAGCTGTTGTGTTTTCTCTTCTATAACTTCGCTGAATTGCGATTTTTCGGCCTGAACTGCTTTGAGCTCAAGACGCTGTTCTTCAAGGCATGAAGACAAGTTCTTTAAGTTGGCGTCATACGCAGATATCTTGTTCTGAAGCTGGTTTAATCTGTCTTCATATGTAGCTCTTTCTACATATTCAAATCTTGTAGTTTCGTTTCTCTCTTCAAGAAGATAGTCGATGCAAGCACGTAACCTTCGTCTAGTATCTACTATAGTACCAGGAGTTTGTCCAGCTTCTGAGGAAAACTTCTTTGTCACTTTTGGACTCTCAAAGCAATCAACGTTTCCAAATTGATTTTTGGATACAAATGTCTTATAATAAATTGAATCACATCCCACACTGTCGCCACTCATCGAACTTTTAAGAGTATAATTGCCTCGAAGACGAGACAATTCTTCATTCTTTTCCGAAATTGTTGCGTCTGCTGCGAGGCTTTCAATTTCACGAAGATAGTGTATTTCTTGGAGTTCTTGTTCAAGTTGTTCAATCTCAAAACGCAGTTTCTGGTTTTCGATTTGAAATCTTTCTATGGAGTAGAACAATTCTTCTTCAAGGTCATTGTCAAGAAGTTGGGAACTGGTAGAGTCAATAGAAGTGACTGTATTTGTACTTGCACAATGGCTGCTCTTACAGATATGAATTTTGGTCTTGATTGATTCTTCATTTTCAACTTGGCTCTCGAGTAATTTGTTTGTGGCAGAAAGACGATCCAAGATTTGTTCAAATAGACAATTTTGTTGCTCTCGCTCTTTCCCAGGTTCCGGAGTAATGTATCCTGAATATATATTATCGAGAATATTGACTGTCTGCGGCGGATCACGAAAACTAGACTGTGTTTGGAAGAATGGCAACCATAGGAGATCCCTGCCAAATATCGCGCACTTCGAATTCTGGATGAAATCTTGAGCTTCTCTGACCAACTTCACAGTTTGGAGTTTAAATTTTTCTGTATACTCTGAAGTATATAAAGAAAGGCTTTGGTCTGCAGTACTTGAAGGAAAGCACTCCTGTCTTTGGAAAATATTCGATATCAATAGTGGATATACCTTTGTTTGTAATTTTGTTTCTGTTTCTTTCTTTGCATCTATTTGCGTTTTTGGACTAGATATATTTTCATGAGAGCAGTTGTTCAAGCTCTGAAATTTATATTCTCCTAAGGTGACCTTTTCCTGAACCTGCTCTATGTTTTCTTTCTCATCTAGTGAAGTTTGATCTTTAAACGTATCTTTGGTCGACCATATATTTGTTGCTGCTCGTTTCGTAGAAGTGACATTAGCTTGACTAGGAGAAATTGTACTTAAAGGACTAAATAGACGCCTTTTGCGAAAGTCTACAGAATAGGACATACAAAGTATAGATTATCGCCCAAAATCGATAATAAGCAAATGGTAAGAAACGGCTGGGTTTGGCCCGCGTTTAGTTAAATTTGGTGATTTTGAATTTTTTAATTGTCAAAATGAACCTTTCGCAACCTCTGAAGGAGTCTAGTACAGCTGAGTTTCTACAAGAAGACTACTTAACAAGTCAGGCTTCGTTGCTACGAAATTTTCAACCCATGGAATTCTTTTCCGAACTGTTTCAGACAGTAGACAACGTTTTATGTGACTGTCTAGACTCGTTGAAAGCCAGTTTGGACGAAAAGTGTTTCCCTACACAATACCAGCTAGATATTGAAAAAGTAAGCCACGAGAATAGTAGTTTCTCCGAATTTTATCTCATTATTTCAAGGGCATTCAAGCTTTACAATACTGTCTGGTCGAAGAAGGTGACTATCAATTTGATCTTTTAGAATTGTTCTCTCTTTATAATATCTTCCGAATTCCCTCCAACTTGGATAATATGCCTCCGAGTTTGACATATTCTTACGACTGTCCCGACATTGAACCATCGAAGACGTTAGATGACGATTTAGAGGAGACCGTGAGAGAAATAAAGTCTCTAAGATATTGTAAGAAACGACTTGAACGAGAGCTAAGGCTATTAAATTCTGATTTGAATACTTTCGATGTGATAAGACTGCTCGTTCAAAGGGTTGCCAACGAAAGGCCTTCATTCTTGGCTCAAAACGACCTACAGACAACTATGAATGATTTGAAAAATATATTGAAGAGTTCTGAACAGAGCATTAAGTTGAAACAACAAATTGAAAGGACATGGGTTTCATCAGTTGATGAGATGCCACCTCTAACAAATCCTCGTTTGGAGTTGGACGTTTCGGATGTGTCCTTGGCAGATATACAGAAAATGACTTTAAAGTTGAAACATCAATTTTGACTAGAGCAAAATCTCTCAAAATTCCACAGTATAAAACAACGAAATACTTCAAAGAAATAAAGTGCTAAAAGGATTGCAACTAGAAACAAAAAACCAACTTCATCCAGTGGAAGCAGCATGTTGCTCAAGATAACACTGTAGATAGTGAATGCACATTGCACCTTTCTCTCCTCCAATGTTAACTGCCCAATGAGGAAGCATTCCCTTTGGATCAACGTTGCCAATATAAGTCACAAGTGTATCTTGCGAATTTTCACAAGGCTTCAATAAGATTCCAGCTACATTGGCATAACCTCGAACATAACCTGAAAAGGACGGACAAGAAGCATCCTCTACAGACCTAGTAGAGATGCAGACAGTTCCGTCCTCAGAGATTTCTTTCACTGCTAGTGCGAGACAGAAATCTCTATCTGAAATTACAAGAACGCCATGAAAAGACCACCAAACGAGGGAATATGTGTTGTCAATTTTGCGAATGAGCTTTCCTTCTTTGCATAAAGGATCCCAAGAAGGACGACTATGGAAAATAAAACATTCACAAGTTAAAAAAAAGAAGGAAAAGTACCTCTCCACGCAAGTTGCTACTGGAAGAATCTGTTCAAGTGGATACGAAACTTTGCCAACTCCACGAAAGGTATGCAAAGACCCTGTCTTCTTTCTGCATATTCTAATATTGTTTTTAACTTTCAAAAATTCCCAGTTTCCTTCTTCCTTTCCAAACGCAAGCTCTACCGTATCCTGCAAGACTTCAGAGGCCACCTGCACAACTTTTGAAGTTTCTAAACAAGGCATCATTCCATTTCCATCACTCATGCATAGAGTCATTGATGGGAAATAAAAGCCATTTGGTGTCCATTTGATTATCCGAGCGCATTGGACTTTTGAAGCTAAAATTGTTTCAGAAACATCGTTCTTATGGACTTTATGGAGTAGACAGAGAAAAGACACTAGTGACTCATGCATATATTTAGTATGTTTTCTCTTATATCTTTATTCTCTAAAAATATTACATCATTTTAACACCATTCAACAACCTTAAGACTTTAATTGAAACTAAGATGCTTCCTAATCACATCTAGCACATCGGCATATGTTGTAGTCCCTTTGCTACCCAAAAAATAGTTTCATGAAACAAACTTTATTTTCAAGCAGCTTCAGAACATTCAAAGAAAGAAGATATAGGAAAACATGGTTTATTTCGACCTTCGAATCTCTTTGGGTATCAAAGAATGCAGAACGAGCTATCCTCCGTTTTGATAGACTTGAGTAGTCGATTTCTTTTAACGCTATCACAAGAAGACTTTGAAAACTTTGAGAGACTCTTTTTCGCTGTAGAAGAAGCACACTGGTTTTACGACGACTTCTTTAGGGAGAAGAACTCGAGTCTTCCTAAACTTTCTCTGAGAGAATTCGCTGCTTTGTTGTTTGAACACTCGCCGTTGCTAGACAAATATACTAAGAATGTCAAACACTTATTGAAAAATTTTCAACAATATAAGAATAGCATTCCAACAGCTGGTGTAGCCCTGTTGAATTCAACTCTCGAGAAGGTACTTTTAGTAAAAGGCTTTCGAGGCAAGAGTTGGAGCTTCCCAAAGGGCAAAGTGGGAAAAGATGAAAGTTATGTAAGTGTATAATTAAATAGTTACCTTTCTATTTTGATTTGTTTGAGCAGGAAAGTTGCGCTGTCCGAGAAGCAAGAGAAGAAGTTGGCTTTGACGTCTCAAATCAACTCTATAGGGAGAATCTTTTAACGTCCAACTGGCAGGGTCACGAGTCATATATTTTTATTGTGCCAGGAATACCAGATAGCACTAGGTTTGAAACAAACACAAGAAAGGAGATATCGGAAATCAAGTGGCACGACATATTTTCCCTTCCCTCTTCAGAGGACGACTCCGGAGGAAACGAGTTGCATCCTAAGCTCAAAAGAAGCCGATTCTTCTCTGTGTTGCCTTTCGTGAAGCCGTTGCAGAGCTGGGTACTTTCTAGAAACCGTAATCTTGGGATGACACGAGATTCTTCGGGTCTTGAATATCCTCGGACAAAAGCATCTTTTTCTAACGTTACGAGCAAACGACTCAGCCGTCGTGAAGCGCTTTCTAAGCAGCGAGTAGAAACAAAGTCTTTGAAAACGAACAAAAAAGATCTGGAAACTTTCGGAGTTGGCAAGCCTTTTAGTTCATGGGAGGAGGAACGGAACTTTCTTCAGGCTTGTTTCGATAGAAGTTCTCAAGGGACTACTATGCAACCAACAGAACAGGCCTTTCTAATAGATGTAAATTCGCGAAAGGGAAGTGGCTTGAGCAACTTTGCATTCTCTAGACAAAGCATCGAAGCAGAGTGGGAGCGACTCATACTGGGAAATGTTTCCCAAAACTAAATGATAGACAAGTCTCTGGCCACGTAATTCGCACCCTCACGTCTTTCAGTTCCAGTGTTGCTGTCCAATCCTCTGGTGGAGTTCTGAAGACAAGCGTTATTCTCTAGTTTTGAATTTTAAAGCATCGCTATGGAAAACTCAAACACGGACTCATTTGAAATAAATTCTAGTATGACAAGCTCTTCTTCAACTGGTAGGACTGTTGATAGTAGTTTCTCTGCAAACGTCGAGAGAGGAAGGGAGATTCTAAAGTTTCTAACACATTCTAGTGTGAAGAATTACGATATAAATAGTGACTCGGATGACTATGGAACTAGTAGTTCAAGTGATATAGATAAATTGTGTAGTTTATCGCCAAAGATCTCACTGCATCAGAATAAGAATAGAGAAGGTCTAATGTCAACGAACGAAGCTTGTCCTCCTCGCTTTGGAGTCTTGAATGAGAAGAGACCTGACTACGAAAGACCACAAGTTCTCATAGAATCAAGTGGAAATGAGCTAATGATGGAAAATCACAGAATTCAAATGGAAATATATTCTGAGCGAGAGCGTAATGCTGCCCTAAGCAAAAGATTGGAACATGTCATGGATAAACTAAGTCAGTATAAGTCGGAAAAAAAAGCTTACTTACACCGCATGGAGGTCTTGAAGCAAGAAGTGATCTATCTTAAAAATGAACTGCACGAATATCACTCACAATCGAAGTCAGCTCGTGAAAGAGAATATGAATTACAGTCTCAACTTAAAGGCTTGCAGATAAAGCATGAGCAATTATTTAAGGACTATATGGATTCAAAGGAACTTGTGGCCACTTTGAAGCAAAAACTAGACACGAAGGAACTAGTTATCTCACAAATGAAGGAAAGGGAAGAAAAATACTTTGAATTGGAAGAAACATGGAAGCTGGAACGTGATTCTCTAGTCCGAGAATATGAAGATTGCCTGTTGAATTACAAACAGCTGGAACGAAAACATGAAAAATTCCAGTACAGATTTGAGAATGACGAGGAACAGTTTGCTACTGTTGAAAGAGTGTTACATGAGCAAATAGAGGAGCTTGAAAGAAAGGAGGAAGCTAAAGAGGTGGAAATAGAGAACTTGCGAAAAGAGAAAGACCTATCATGGCATGAATTGCAACAAGTGAAGAGAGAATTAGCATTAAAGACGGAGAACATTCGTAACTACGAGACTCAATTAATTTGCACTGAGGAAGCATTAAGATTCTCGAAAGAATCAGCTACCCGTCTGGAGCAGCAACTCCATGATTGGCTTGAGAAGAGAGAGCAACTTGAGAATCGTTTAGAGGAACGTGAAAAACAAAACAACCTACTTTATTCAGAGAATGCGGACCTAAGAAGAACTCTCAAGGAGTGTCAAGACAAAATATCAGAACAACAGACAGAAGTAGAAATCTACAAAGACAAGATCAGAGTATTTGAATCTTTAAGAAACTTGATAGAAGAGAAGGCTCCTAGTAGTGTATTTGAGTTGAATAATAACCGCATAGACTCAGCTCAACAGACTGATGTAAGTGGACCTATTTACGAGAGCGAACTTGAAAACTTGTTCTCGCGTATGTGTAAATCATTCATAGATTTCATTCATGAGTTGCAACTTCCAAATGAGAAATACTTCCAGAATACAAATGGGAGAGGACACTTTGTCGGAGGACGTGAAAGTTTATCAATCAGTGACCCTATCGTGAAGAGTCCCAATAAGAACTCTCCTCATTTTCCTATTGAAAGCAAGCAAATTTCTGCTCATCCTAGGTTCTCTCACGACAAAGACAAAACAAAAGAGAGAGATTTTGACAAGTTTCAGGATGACAATTGCAGTGTATTTTGTATCCCTGAGAGTATCGGCAGGAATACGGAAAGTGAAATTTCTCAAATACATGAATGGAAGCTTAAGCTGATGGAGTGGAAATTTTTATTGGATGTAAATATGAAGCAGTTTCTTTCAGTAATGCAGGATAAGAACGTCGCAGCGACAGTTAATCGTCTATCGGAAGAGTTATTTCTTTTGGTGTCTAATCTAGAGAAACTTCAAAGCAGTTACCAAGTTTCATCCAAGGTATCTATGGAGCAGAACATAGGCAGCAGCAAATCAGCTTTGAAGCCAGATCAGGAAAGCATAGTTCTAGGAGCAATTTTGACACATATTCTTCAGTTGAGAAATTTGTGGCTTCACGAAGTGGAAATGAATCATGTCCTTCGAAGTATGCTATTATCTACGAATGTTGCTGATAGTCATTTTTCCGGGAAGCTTTGTGAGTTTCCTCAACTAACCAACGAATACTCCAGCTTGCTAGATTCCGATTACCTTGACCGAGACATAATAGAATAAGAACTCCGCTTTCAGTGGCATTTTAACAGACCTATACTATACCGGTATAGAATCATTTCTTCAATAATATTTCTATTATTATCTATCAGGGAAACCGACGGTTTGTGGTGTTAGATAATGGCACTGGATAAGAGCACCTAGTACGTGACGCTATCTTAGGTTGAAATGACAGCTTGAATATCTTAATTTTCCAAGAGTCTGACAAGTTGCAGTAATACAAAGTATCTTCAAACAACTCAGAAACCTTATCTTCAAAACAATTTCAACACGATGTTGACTATGCTGGAAACAACGGTCATAAAAACATTCTTTAATGCTTCCTACTATTCAACTCAGCCAGAAGACTTAATGAAAATAACATCTTCTATATCTATGTCCCTTTTCTATTCAAGTTTTGCTAGTATCTCGTCGTCACGATAGAGGTAAAGTTCCTTTCCATCGACATTGATAGCGCTGCCTCCGAACTCTGGAAGCAAGACGTGGTCACCCTCTCTGCAAGACGGAGGAACTGTTTTACCATCTTGAGTTCGCGAACCAGGACCAACTGCCACAACTTTCGCTTCATTGAGTTTACTAATGGCAGACTCGGGAAGGAGTACACCGCCTGCGGTTTTCTTTTTCGGTTGTAACTTTTCCACAAGCACCCGATCTAGCAGCGGAATAAGTCTTTTTCCGACTCCAGACTACATAAAGCTTATCAAAAACTAGAAAAACGACAATATCTATGCACTTACCATTTTAAAGTTCAAACAAAAATATCCCTCGATTCACAAAACCGAATATGCAAGCGTCGTCCATTTAATGTGAGGATTGGAACTTTCCAGAAAGGCTTGGTCCCCAGAAGGCTTTTCTTCAGAATGATATACAGGGCTTTTATTTATCCTTAAATAACGAACGGAACTTGTCAAACATAATTGAAGGATCCAATAAAGCAGAGCGTTCCTTAGGTTTACTTTCCGACCTGAATATATTTCCTCTCGATTCAGAAGTTGTCTTTTTATCGGGAGTTCTCTCTTTGGGCAATTCCTTCTTTGAGGCTCGATCTACGGCCACTTCCTGTTTGGAAGTTTCGTTTGGAACGTTATTCTCTTCTTGACCAGAGTAGAGAAGACGCATTGCAAGATCATCATTTTCATATGCGGCAATGATATTGAGAAAGTCCTCGGGAACCAGCAAGGATGTTCCTCCTATGTATATATCCACATCAAATTTTGCAGATATTTCATGTGCTACACGTATTTCTGAGAAACTCACACCGCCAACAAAAAAGACGATAATACTTTTTCGTTGACTTAATGTTTCACATACGTCCTTTGTGCTTCCGGCGTTTATGCGAAAGGGTTGTGAGTAGTTTTTGGGTGACCACGACAAGGCTTCTTTGGTCAAATCTCCAGTTGAGGCCTCCAGACGCGTATTTATCCCAGTTGAGGATCCGCGCCGATGACGAACAGAACCGGCTCTTGGTCTCGCTGTTTGAGTCTCGTTCAAGTTGGAATTACTAGCTTGCGCTGAGTTTATACTTGGATATCCTTCAAGACTGAGGCAGCCTTCGATAAAGTCAATGAGCAAACGTTTAAGTGGAGGAGAATATCTTGAAAGCTCGTAGACTTCCCCATCAATATATCTTTTATATCTTTTTGAAGCCTGTCGTTTCTCAAGTTTCTTTTTTATCCAACCCTTACTTTTTGATGATGAAGATGTTTCTTTCCTTTCCTCAAGTTGAAGAGATAACCAATAGTTCATGAGCTTATCAATACCTTGTATAATATTGCGAGACGATGTTGTATACGGTTTGAAAAAGTTTTCGATTTCGAAAATGGAAAAGGAAGACGTATTGGTTTGATAAGGAAGAAGAAATCTGCGAAATTCACTGGACAAATACTTGACCAATAACAATAACCGAATCCGATCGCGTTCTTCTAATGAAAAATCCGCAAGTAATGAACTTAATGTAGTAACATATTCTCTCTGCTTAACTTTTTCTCCGCTGATAGTTTTACCTGTTGCAATATCTTGTTCCACTTCTGCTATCTTTCGTAGGTTTCTTCGCTGATATTCTCGCATGCAAGTCGACATCAATTCTTGATGTAACGCATACCTTGAAAGCCTTTCTTGATATTCTGGAAACGACCTGAGAGCAGCATTCAGTTCTTTAATCATGACAGATCTATCTTGCGATTCAGATGCGCTGCTTTGATAGCATTTACTTTGTTGTAACTGTGCAGCTTTGTTGGTCGATGCAAATGCTCTCAATTCACTGTCGAGTTCTTTAATGGCATCAGCAATATGTTGGTGCCTAGTTTTCTTCCATAAGGGATCGTTATCATCTTCGAGTATGCCATGCCCTTTTTTCTTGTTTCCAACTGCGTCAGAATACTCATATTGAAAAGTGCTGCCATTACACGAGGAACGATCTAAAGGTGCGAGATCATAGCACATCGATTGATATGTGAATTCGTGCAGTAGAACTGAAACCAAGTCGCTCGGTCGTTCTAATACGAAAACAGTTGGCTCAAGTGGAGGAATAACTTTCTTTTTCGGTGCCCATTCGTACAATTGTTTTAAACGCTTAGATGTTTCAAATATAAGTTTTTTAGAAAGAAAAGAACTTGACGGGTATCGATATTGCACTTCTTCAAAACCAAAACTGTACAATAAGGTCACCAGGCGGTCCGCAACTAGAGATATCTCTTCTTCTCGGGCTTCCCTTCCTTTGTTATATATCTGCAGAATGGAGGCACTCGGTCTCTCAAGCGAAAAGACCATATCCTCTCTAGCAATAAAGTCCAAATATAGCTCTTTCAATGTTTTCACTTTGTTAATAAATGCACCTGGAAGTTGAAACTGTTGGAACACACTGTCCTGAAGATGTCTTACAAACAGAATATGAAAAGACTTGAAGTTTGCGTTACTTTCCTTCTTTAAAAGTTTCGCAGTGCGAATAGACGGATTCAATATATAAACAGCGTCTGCCGTTGGTAAATAGGTTCTCTCGGCTTCCAACTGTTCTACCAGGGAAATACCAACGCTCACAAGCTCACTCATTCTAAACACTGCTGAAACTATACTTATGGTGTATCCATCAACTATAAGTACGCTGCACGCAGACCCTTTCACTAAGGTGAAAACTTCCTCTTCTAGGCGCTGACGCACAAGTTGCTTCAAGTGGGTCATAGCCAGCAGCGTCCAATGTCGGTTTACAATTGATTTGAAGGCACTGCTATTCAATTCTAGGTGTCTTCATATTTCATCCGAATTGCTTCATCTTGTCATGTTGACACAACAGAGATTATGGAGATTTCCTATCAATAATCCATGAAAGTAATAGATGGTTCGTCATCTTTACTAGTACTCAAACATGCTAAACTTCACTGGCGTCACAAAACAATACCAAAAAGTCTTTCTCACAAGGATTTAAGCTACCGCACTAAGGATAAAGCTTTTGTGGGATTCGTCTTTATTAAAACAACAAGACTATGGTGTACGTCAAGAAAATTATGAGAAGGCTAAAGAAAGGAATATTAAGAACTATTCATTTCTTCCACTGTGCAAACCATGCAGAACAACAAAATCATTACCAAACACTGCAAGTTTGTTCAGGAGCATATATCGATCCTTTCTGACAACCAAACGCATTTGCAAACTAAAAAGGTTACAAAATTAACAATTAGAATGTTGCATTCACGCTTACTTCTTGGTATTGGGAGAGTGGTCCTTTGACACGGAACTCGCTGGGGCTATAATACTGCATGTAAATATAACATCTCAAACAAGTAAAAAAAATCTACCTGTGTGGATCAGTCTCCAATAGCATTTCCAAGGTCTCTCGGGTGTATTTTCGGCACCAAAGCTGCGCGTAGGAGACAAAAAATAGTTGCTCATCGTTTAAGCCTGGAACAAAGTCATTGCCAGAAAATTGTGTTGCAAGTCCACCAGAGAAGTATTTATACGCCTGGTAAGCAACTTTCACTCCTCCGAGGTCTGCAATATTTTCTCCAAGAGTCAAGTTACCGTTGACGTGATGCTCAGAGGAAAGTTCGCTGGGATAAAATGACGAATAAAGCTTAGACACACACTGCGCTCGTTCTTCAAACATTGTTTCAACGTCACTTGTCCACCATTCATGAAATGCACCTTTGCCATCAAACTTACGTCCTTGATCATCAAATCCTAAAAAAAAAACTATTAAATCTTGATTGCGACAGTCTCAGACATATATACCATGGCTCAGTTCATGACCCATAACACTACCGAGTCCACCAAAATTTACAGCAGCTGGATACTCTTCAGAAAAAAAGGGAATCTGTAATATCGCAGCAGGAAAAACCATTTCATTTTGAGATGCTGAATTGAGTTAAGTACAAAGAGTTATATATAACCCAATAAAAACATACGATTGTAGTACGCGTTCACGGTTTGCGGAGTCATCAGCCACTCCTTTTTATCTACAGGCTTGCCCAACTTCTGCAGCGCTTTCTTACTGCCGTGCAGTCTTATAGATAGACTATTTAAGAAAAAGTTATCATTAGAAATTTCGACATCATCATAGGTATCAGGACTTTCCGAGTAGCCTATCTTGTTATTGACTTCACGGAGCTTCTCTGCTGCTGCACTTTTGACCTCTTCACTTAACCACGGAGAGTCTCGTAAAACCACAGCAAATGACGCCTCAATCTTTCGAAGCATATTTTCCGCTGACTCCTTTCTGGACGACGAAAAATTCTGTTCGACAAAAGCCATTCCAAGTAAGTCTCCGAGTCCACTGTTGGTATAAGATAAACAACGTCTCCAACGAGGTGATTTCTCTTTCTGTCCAGCAATCTATTTCAATCATAACATAAGATAAGCTACTAAGACCAGGAAAAATACAATAAATTACCTTTCTTCCATAGAAATCGAAGTACTTGTCGTACAAACTTTCTCCCAACATACCATCGGAGACCAACGAATTAAGAGCATGAAAAGTCATATAAGCTTTGATAGTATCTACTGGAGTGGTGTTCATCATTTCACTCAACTTTGCAAAGAATTCAACACTGTCTATCACAACTATGTTGTCTATCACACTGGGATCAACACCCAAAACAGATAAATATGCTTCAATGTGCATATATTGAGGGATAAGCGTAATAGGCACTGGATTGTAAGAAATGTTTGGGTCTCTCAAATCTGCGAGAGGTCGAGAAATATTGGCAAGCACAGTCTCTAACAGCAAAATTTCATTAGCAGCTTCCTCCAAACTCAAAGAAAATATGGAGGAACTCTCTTCTGACTCATTTTTTGTGTGCAACAAAGTTGAATTGAATAAATCCTTAATATAGCTGAGATATTGCGAACGAATTTTTTTCCGTTCTGTTGATTGTTCCAAATAATATTCTCGCGAAGGAAGAGAAAGGCCTCCCTGAGAGAAATAAAAAGAGTACCTAAAATAATAGTATACAAACATCAACAATTTCCATGCTGCTAGAAATGCTTACTTTGTTGGATCCAATAAATCTTCGGCAACACTAGCCTCGAAGAAGACACTGATTTGAGCGCTATGGAACAATGCTGTCAAATTGGCAATGCTTCTCGAGTCTGAAAGATCCTTCACCAGGCTGTAGTACGAGAGATTCAAATACTGCAGAAAAGAATTCTACACAAATTTGTTCAGTAGAGCTTTTCAAACTGCTCTGTTTCAACTCACGGAATCGTCAGGCATATTCATGCAAGAATAATAAAGTTTGCCTGTTTTAGTACGTCCCATATAAAGCTCTCCTTCTAAAAGGTTTCGAAGTGTTGCTTCGATCCTTTCAGTCAAAACTGTAAAGGACTTTCCGTATGAAGACCTATCGGGTGGAATCGAAGTTCTATTCAGCCAACCGCCACACGCATATCTTTATAGCAATAAATAACAAGCAAACTTTTCCAAATTTTAAAGCTATACCTGTAAAAATCCTCACAGGGATCGATTCTTGAGTCCATCGCTTCTACTATGGAGGTTGCTAGTGAGTTTTGAGACTGGTCTTCACCTTGAGAAAATACGGTTTCACCACCGTCATCTCCAGATTCGCCACCTGTTTGTGAAGGAGAATTTTTCCAAAACCAGCCCGGAAAGGCAACAAAGATGAGTCCTGCAACTAAAAAACTGGTGCCAAATATAACTGTTAAGACGGGAAGCAATCTTTTGCTAAATAGGGGACAATCAGTTTGGGAGCAAAAAAAGACAAAACATCCACTAACATTTTACTTCTAGTGGAGACAACGTGATATGATTCATATCCCACTTCAGAAGTATCCTCTCCAAGAAGCGGAACAGTTCCGGAAGCAGAAGGTTCATCTTCCCTGGTTGACATGATAGGAAAAGAATTTAGCAATGAAGCATTCTTAAGAAATCGGTTCGATGTCACTCGATATGTTGACCCAAAACGAAGAATTTAGGTCGCAACCTCTTCGTAAAGTTTTTGTTACTGTGGGAAGTACAAGCTTTGACGAACTCATTATAACCATCAACAATCAAAGTTGTCTTGCGGTGCGTCAATAATAAACTGAGCTTGAACTCGTATTCTTATTAGAAAAAGGCTATGCACTCTCGTGGCGTGGAAGAAATAAAAGTACAGGTTAGTGTGTACTTTTTGCGGAGAACTTTTTTGATAGATTGTAGTACGGAAATGGGAAAGTGTTGCCAAGAACAAGCTACAAAGAAAAACTGAAGATGGAGTCGTTTCAATATAAGGTATTCTCCTGTTCTATTTGAAAGCTTACTCAAGTAACAACTTTAGTCGTCCATTGTTGAAGAGTTCAACTGGGCAGACCTTGTAATCTCACATGGAGGGGCTGTACGAAGTTCAATGTCGTTGTTCGTATGCTTCTAAACAGTACTGTAGGGTTCAGTTTTGGAAAGCCTACGAGCAAAAAAGAAGTTGGTAAGTTCTGCCCATTCTTGCACAAAGCGGAATTGTAAAAACGGAAAGATTATTGTTGTGAATAAGAAACTAATGGACAATCATCAACTGGAACTCGCCGAAGCCATGACAAGAAATGGATATGCCATTTTAGCTTCTACTGAGTCCTTAGTAGAAACAATAAAGAACGTGGTGAGTCGCCCTTTGAAATTTGTGTTTCTAACATTATGAAGGATTTCGAAAAACTGAAACCGCTACCTGAACCAAATGTATTCCCAGTTGTCAGTGTGCTCTATCAGGAGCTGAGTCGCTGTACTTGAATAGTAGGCTACGTTTTGAGCACGGGTGAAATTGCTGAGTAACTTGTTATAATATTGCGTTTTTTTTCAGTTTTTTACCATCGAAGTTGTATTTTTGGGTAACTTTCATGTGGAATAAGTTTTGATAGGTGTATCTCAAAGGTTTCCGAAATTTACTAGTCTTATTGATCTGCTATTGTGATGATAATAAGCGAACTTGTATTTTTTTCGAACTTATAGTTCATAATTTCTCAGGACGTAAATAGACATCTTCAAATGATTCATGTGAAGCTTTGTTTGCAAACTATTAGCTCCAAATAAGACATATGTCTCTTCTGTCTAAAGCAAGAACAGTCAAAAATTGTTCAAATGAATGGAATGATTAAAAAGAGAGATTCGAGTCGTCAACAAACTTATTGCTGACTCCATAGCATTCAATTGGGTCTTATTAAGGGAGACTGCACAGTTTTCAAAAGTCACAAGTAAGACGTAACCAAGTTTCAAACATACGAAAAGTTTACATGCTTCCAAAATATAATAAAGTAGCCATTATTTAGTTGAGAAACCAAATTTATTGCAAACTCAAGAAACTGTAACGGACTCTATGAAGCAGTTGAATTCCAAAACTTTTAAAATAGGGATAATCAGAGGCCTTAAAAAGCATTTTGAATTCCATTCAAAATTTTTTTGCCAAGCAGCATTTCCAAGTTTCTTTCACAAAGTATAACAAGTTCACAATTATCAGGTACTTTGAACGAACCACCTCAAATAGACATTCACTAGATTGATAACGACTCTGATTACCCCTTCACTGAAAACATTGAATCAAAATTTTGCATCAACTATAATAAGCATACAATGAATGTAATCCATTGCACTGGATAAGACTGGACCAGGAACAAGAAATTTCTTTCCTTCCTCTACATTATCTGACTAGCCAAATCCCTTCGACTTCCAACTTCCTTTACAAGCAACTCCAACAGTAAGAACGTCGGGTTCAAAGGCAAAGTGTAACTTGAATAAAATATAAGGACTATTCGAAGTGGTGTCCATTGCAATGTAAACCTTTTCAAAATTAATAGTTTCTCTAATCAACTCATTTCATTGATATACAACTATGAACGACAACATAGGTAATTTCTTCTTGGATATTCGCAATCGTAAAAATTTTCAACTTATACGACAGGCATTGTTGAAGCTCTAGTGGCTCTTGCCATAATATCCATGTTGACTTACAAATTCTGATAATATACTTCAAGAGCCTTATAAGTATTAAAAACTACGATAAATTTCATCGTTTGATTAAATGACAACTCCAGTCGATGGTTCAGCTATCATCAAACATACGAGAGAAGATTACTGGGAATCGCAGTTTCTGTCCAGGAATGAATATATAAGAATCTTCCAACAACATGTAGAATACCATCTTGGAAGAAATAGAGTCAACAAAAAGACAACAGGATAGTAGGGTTATCTTTGAAACTCAGAATCCCTACATTTAGGAAAAGCGCTGATTGACTATTTTGAAAGCCACTGCTAGAGAGAACGCGGCCTTAAGTAATATCATACATAACAGGATGACAAAGTGATTTTAATATAAAACGACTCTTAAAGGCTTACATGTACATTAAGGCTTACGTTAGAATTCTGTCAGCAACCAACAGTCAGTATTTTATAGCCTATCAACTACTTGTAGCAAAAGGAAGGACCTACAATTTCAGCTCCATCCAAATCTCCATTTGCCAGTGTTGGCACTTTAGTCAACTAGTTGTCTCACAAGTTTGTTTATTTTTATCGATAATTGTTTCAGAGCAGTTTTGCGTATTTATTAGCAGTTGATAGTCTAATCTTGTAGTCTGTTGTTGAGAATCAGTCTTTGAGTTATTATTTCCAAGATATTCTGCAAGAAAACAGTTAGACACTCAGTTGAGTCTTTTGGTCAGTACACAGAATTATATCCGTATGGTAGTTTTCCTTGTCTTCTAGATGACTCTTTTCAAGATGGAAAACTCGGTCTGTAGCTTTGCAACGGGTTCTGGAGTGCAAACGATATTTGCACTTTTTCTAAACCAAATTCATTTCTCAGGATAACGTAGTAAGGTATTTTTAATGATTGTTTATATTGTTGTGCTTTTAGATCAATTCTCTGTTGATTCGAGTATGTCTTTTGAAATATTATTTGCGGGGTCTTGGAAAACGATACCCATTAGGTTTGACAGTTTATGAAAACGAAAGCTGAATAAACTTGCTTTTTGAAAGCGCAGAAAAAGTTTCAACTCAAAATATACTCACCTTGTTGGGAACCATGAAATAAAGCAAGCAAAAGCACTGTTGAAAACTTGGTTGTGTTCACCTGGGTAAAATGTTTTGACGATGGCGACTGTAGCTACTAGTCCGTTTTGAAAAACGCCTTTGTCTTTATGAATTACTGGGTTTGCTGAGGGTGAAATATGTCTAAAACGATATATGAATAGTAAGAGTGATAAAGTTGGAACTAGTATCGATAGTGTTTCTGAAAGGCATCTATTGCAAATCGTCTTTGGTCCTTATATAGTTGGAAAGGAGGGTAACATTAGTAGTACGGTGTGAATGGGAAACAAGGCGACTTGTGTGAAACAGTATTTGCGTGTCAAGAGTGCTGCTGATCCGTTTTTTTCCCAACACACTGAAAGTCATGCTGTTGAAAGTGGTGGTAGTTGTAGCTGTCAAAAAGTGAAAAGGAGACACAACATTTTGTGCAAACAGGTTGCGTTTGGATAGTATACAAAGCATCTCTAAAAGAAGCTCATGAAAGATTGGTTGAACTTCTACAATGTTACACAAGTGCACGCATTGATATCATCGTTTCCGACTAGAGTTTTTGGTTTGACTCTGAAGATAAAGTCCGACTTTTGGTAGATAATTCCTAAAAAGCATACACAGACGAACAGAGTGGTTTGCACATTGACACGAACCCTAAAACATTTTTCTATTATCGCAGCAAAATCAAACCATTCGCCACTACTTGGAATTCAACCACATGAACAACAACAACAACAAATATGAGCCCGAGCCTAGTACAGTATGGCAGAGTCATCAATTCTACAAAGAGAATGACTTGTGTTTCTATCTTTTACCGTTTTCTTCGTTGTTGGCTTGACTGGAGAATTGCAACTGTTTTATTTACTTGGAATTGTAAACAGACAACAACAACAACAATAATAAGACAAAGTTATAGTTTATTGGTTAGTAGTACATGGAATATTAATAATAGTTTTCGTCATAAAAGTACGGATTTGACCTATTTTTTACCATAAAGGAAAATTGTATTGTTGACTTCACAAAATAAAAGGGCATTATTTGCACACTTACGACTATTCCTGCACATTACTATCAGTAGAACTACATACGGTCCTGATTTTGAACAACAAATAGAGTATCGAGTTGCTTTACTGGTCGATTTTCGATTTTCTTGTATCTGTTTGAGAAAAATCTTCATCTTTCGATTCTTGAAACGAACTTATTTGTTACCTCATGATAGTATGATGAAGCAACTAGTCGTCATTTCATTTTTGAAAACGCCGACGTACAACCTTTCAGAAGCTTTTTTCATTGGAAATCCCGATCACAAAGAATCTCTTTGTCCCATGATAGTTGCATTGCATCTGCAGGGATGGGTAACTCCAAATGATCAATTCGAGACAATTTCGTCAGTTGAATCAAGTAATCTTTCACAAGTGAACTTGCAGTATCATGAAAGTGTACAACATACTGTTTTCTGTGATCTAGAATCTACTACTGATTTATCTTGATATATTGTATTGTTCTTATGTCGAAACTACACCTTTTGACTATTTATGCTTCAGAACAATTCCATCTTACTTGTTCGACCCTAAGACCAGCTTCATATGGAGTAGTCATCTAGCTGATAAGGATAAGATGA